GATTCCATAAGAGATCATTGCCACGTCACGGGTAATTATCGGGGAGCCGCTGATAACGAGTGTAACTTGAAACTAAAAATGAATTCTCAAACAATACCCATCCCCTTTGAGTTTCATAACCTTAGAGGATATGATTCACATCTCATCATGCAAGCTATCTCAAAGAGCGAATGTGGCTTTAACGTGCATTCCTAATCATATGGAAAAATACATATCATTCTCGTTGACTAAAACTATACATTATACGGACAAGGATGGGAAAGCCAGAATAAAGCAAAGTAATGGGTTTAGATTCATAGACAGTTTCTGTTATCTTCCCTGGACAATTTAGCTAATGCGAACAATCCCCATGACTTTGCAATACCAAATCAATATACTGATCGGTTAACACATCATTTGTTATTGAGAAAAGGTGTATATCCTTACGAATATATGGATGATTGGTCTAGATTCAACGAAACTAAACTACCACACTTTGCTTGCATTGAATCATTCTATAGTAACTTATCATAATCTAAAATAACTGATGCAGATTATGATGGTCTGGGATAAATTAGGTTGTAAGAATTTAGGTGATTATCACGATCTGTACTTAAAAATCGATGTACTGTAACTCGTCGATATATTTGAGATATTTAGAAAGACATGTTTAAAACAATACGGTTTGGATCCGGCATGGTACTATTCCAGTCCTGGACTCTCGTGGGATGCATTGTTGAAGAAGACTGGTGTAGAACTAAAACTACTCACCGATTACGATATGCACTTGTTTATTGAGAAAAGGATTAAGAGGTGGTATATCGATGACGGCGAAAAGGCTCTAAGGCTAATAATAAATTTGTGGAAGATAATGATCCGAGTAAACCCGATACGCACATATTATATCTCGACGCCAACAATTTGTACGGATGGACTATGAGTCAACCTATACCCACGGGTGGTTTTGCGTGGGTCGATGTGAATGATATTCACAAGGTTGATGTGAATAGAGGGTACATACTAGAAGTTGACTTGGAATATCCAAATTCGTTGCACAAAGACTATAACAGTTATCCGCTAGCTCCCGAAAGATTAATGGTTAATAAAGATTGGATGTCAGAATATCAACACTCCTTGATGGGTAATACTAGGTCAGCTAACGTAGAAAAACTCGTACCAAATTTGATGGATAAGACAAAATATATAGTGCACTACAGAAATCTCCAGTAATATCTATCGTTAGGCATGAAAATAAAGAAAATACACAGAGTTCTAAAGTTTGATCAAAGCCCTTGGATGGAGCCCTATATAAAACTGAACACAGATTTAAGAAAGAGAGCTACCAGCGATTTCGAAAAGAACCTATATAAGCTCATGAATAACTCAGTATTTGGAAAAACTATGGAGAATCTAAGGAAGCATGTTGATGTTAAATTGGTCAGATCTAATGAGGAAGAAAGACTCAGGAAACTTATAGCCAGTCCGGCTTTTAACAGAAGCAAGATATTTGATAACGACTTAGCCGCACTACATATGCAGAAGAGTAATATAAAATTCAACAGACCGGTGTACGTTGGTATGAGTATTCTTGACTTGTCAAAACACTTAATGTATGACTTTTATTACAACGAACTTAAGAAGCAATACGGCGATAGATGTGAGGTGTAGTAAATAAAAAGGTATTAAGAAAGATGAAGGATGAATGTGCTGGGACCCCTATAGCGGAGTATGTCGGATTAAGACCTAAGATGTATTCTATAAAGAAGTCCGATAATGGAGAGATAAGAAAAGCTAAGGGTGTTAAGAGGTATGTGGTAAAAACGCATATCAAACACGAACAGTATAAAGAAGCATTATTCAATGGTAGAACATTCAAACACGAGATGAACACTTTAATCACAGGATATATGGATTAAGAATGAACAAGACATCAATCCCCCTTAGATACAAAGAGATGGATTGATAATGATGGTGTAACTACCTATGCTTATGGTTATGGTGGTAATACTGTATTGTTGGGAACTATGAGCAACTCTTCTCGTACAAATGCCCTGCCCGGTCCATCTTTAAGATAATAAAGAATAGGTGAGGTGAAATGGGGTTTAACGTCGCGTCCAAGATTATTGCACTTGTATAGCGACGTGCATGCACGTGTATGTGTGTGTGTGTGTGGCTGCTTGTACTAGTCCGGACTGATGCTGATTTATAGTGCTAGCTCACTGAGATACCATGCCGCAGTTTAACATGAATACCCCACTCAGACACAGTATACTGACTCCGAGCTGACCAGTCCTTGTTTTAGCCCCTTAATGCCGAGCGCCAGACAGGGTAACAACAAGTACCATCTTTTAAAGTCTTTTGGTATGACGCGGCTGGGGATCGAACCCCGGACCTTCCGCTCTCCGGGCGGACGCTCTACCATTAGACCACGGAGGCGGTTAATAAAGAATAGGCTCTCCTTCTTTCATAACCAACCGACTAATGTTATATATCTTAAGAGACCAAATCAGATCAGTTGCGGGACGTAGGCCTCCTTCGAGTTCACCGGGCTGGTATAAATATCTTACGCCTACTCTATCCGGAAGTTTTTGTTCTTTGCCTCTCCACGGTGCTGAAGATTCTGAAGTCACAGATTTCATTTTAATCGCATCGGATGGTTTCTTCTCCATTAATCTCGTTATTTCATTATTCAGCGCTGATACAACCAGCTGATAATCATTTCACCCATTCGGTTGATCTTAATCGTTCTGATTTCATTTCGATCCTATACTGATATCCAAACAAACGTTCCGCTAATGTCCGGTTAAATCTTTCAACGATAGCTTGACTACGTAGGGCTTCTTTTTCACCACGCCTGATTGCGACATCGTGCTTTGTTAACAGTTTAGTTACTGATCCCATAAACACGCGACCAGGATCTACTTGAAACAAGCATGAAATACTCATATCCCCCGCCAATATGACATGTCCAGTTATGTGCAATGCATTAGCTCCTGTGAACTATGGGTCCGTTTGTAAATGGCCTAATTGCAGCACTAAAAAAAGTTATTACTGGAGTTATTTTGCCATCTGCAGTTTCGGATAGAATATGTAACTGTATTTGTAATGAGTAAGGATGAGACATACGGACAAACAACTTCTTTATTACAATTAGGATCGATGGTTTCGGTGTAGGTTCGTTCTAACACCGTTATCAAGCAAGTGAAGTACAGAGTATGGTTGACAAGAATATATACAGGATAGAAGGCAGTGTTTATACAATTGAGTAGGTTCAAGATCAGTTACACTGTTGTATTTGTAATGAGTTGTGTTTCTGCATGAAGTTAGTCAGTGAATGCAACAACCGTGTCCATGACACTTTTGGAGGAACATACACACAAGCAATGCAGAACTTACCAACAAGAAAGGAAATGTGTTCAATACTGCGAGATGACATTATGTGCCAAGTTTGGTGAAGAAATATGGTAAGGTTTTCAAGATCTGCTCCGGAAACGAGGACAACCGCCATTTTCAGTCAAAGTCAAAGTCGTTGCCATGGAAACTCAAATTAAAAAAATAACATTTAAATCCCAAACTATCAAAAGACACCAGTTCACCACTAGACCTATCTATGCGCCAAGTTTGGTGAAAAATGGTATGGTCTCAAGATCTGCTCCGGAAACGAGGACTACCAGCATTTTCAAAGTCAAAGTTGTTGCCATGGAAACTGAATTTTTTTTAAAAAAAAATCCTAAACTATCAAAAGGCACCAGTTCACCCCTAGACCTATCTATGTGCCAAGTTTGGTGAAGAAATATGGTACGGTTTTCAAGATCTGCTCCGGAAACGAGGACTACCGCCCTTTTCAGTCTAAGTCAAAGTTGTTGCCGTGGAAACTGGAAAAATAAAAAAAATTAAAATCCAAAACTAACAAAAGGCACCAGTTCACCACTAGACCTATCGATGTGTCAAGTTTGGTGATGAAATATGGTAAGGTTTTCAAGATCTGTTCCGGAAACGAGGACTACCGCCCTTATCAGTCTAAGTCAAAGTTGTTGCCGTGGAAACTGGAATTTTAAAAAAAAATTTAAATCCAAAACTATCAATAGGCACCAGTTCACCACTAGACCTATCTATGTGCCAAGTTTGGTGATGAAATATGGTACGGTTTTCAAGATCTGCTCCGGAAACGAGGATCACGCCATTTTCAATCTAAATCAAAGTCGTTGCCATGGAAACTGGAAAAATAAAAAAATTTAAAATCCCAAACTATCAAAAGGCACCAGTTCACGACTAGACCTATCTATGTGCCAAGTTTGGTGAAGAAATATGGACGGTTTTTAAGATCTGCTCCGGAAATTAAATGTGACGGACGGACGGAAGGACAGATGGACGCAACCCATTCCTATATCCCCCTTCCACTTCGTGGCGGGGGATAATAACTTGGGCCATTTTAGTGGTCCGCGTTTATATATGAGACTCGGTGCATTAGCTACTTCTGTTGAATCCTTTGAGGTTAATGGCTCAGCCTCCTTTTAGTGAATAGCCACATCCACTACGGTTAAAGCGTATTTATACGTTTTGCGTTTTACCATATCATGGGGAAGAAACAAGAGGTCAGCCTGATGAACTTCATTCGTTGTAAAAATATCAAACTTCTTCCTCGGGATATAATGCGGTGCCAGTAAGTATACACACATCGCTTGTTTCTTTAACCAATCCTTGGCCACATCTTTAGATACCTTAGCAGCAGTGGCTAATTTTTGTATTGCTCCTATACCTTTCCAATATCCTCGTGGGCTATAGTAAATTTTATTCATTATTAATTAATATTGATGATTCTTTTAATATGACTCATGACGATCGTTGAATCTCATCATCATTTTTGCATAAAAAATTCCCCTGTAGTAGCAGTATAGGTATATAAATCTGGCTCCAGTGGAAGTGGTCCAGAATCACTATACTACTTGGTGGATCAAAATTAGGTTTCTTATACCATTGCCTTGATCTTTCTCAAATATTGTGTATACAGGTTTTCTCACCTGGTATTTGACATCAGACTCGGGGGGAACCCCATCAAACTGGGAGAGGAATCCTGAGTCGCAGCTCCAAAACAAGCGTATGTCTGGAATGGAGTAGAGCCTCATTGCCAGCCTTTCCAAGCCCAAACCAAATGCCCAGCCGATCTTGTCTGCTGTACTTGCTGGAATCACAAGCATTCATACCACTGTCCACTCAGCTATCTCTTGTATCATGCTTATGTAAACACATAAAGTCATGAGGCGCTGAACCTCCCCTACATTCAGGCTATTTGCAAAGCTAATAGGCCAAGTTGTAGATCATCTAGGAAATAGAAAACAAATGTATTTTCCCAAAATTCTATATCACATTGTGTGAGTTGAAGGAGCAAGTCAGAGTTATCAACAACATAGTAATAGTGACTCTGTAGCTCACCTAGCTCCACAATAATCTTAAAGTTGCTGTCAGCAATGAAATTTTAAATGTTTACTGCAGCTACATTTCAACATTTCTTCCTAATCTACAACAAAGAATGCAATACAACATTATTAATATTGTATAATAATCTTACAAAAAATAACAATGACAACAGCTATATTGGCTTTAGGCAAACTTAAGACTTATATATAAACCTTTTGGTGATATTTTTCACTCTCTTTAAGCCCTACATTTTTATCCAATTGCACACAAAAGATTGTGGATGCCTTTTATAAAACTAAACTTCATATGAGTGACAAACATACGCATAAATTATCAGAATATTTCAGTCAGCTGTTACTGTATTTGAAAGTAAGGCCACCATTTCTTTGGGTCAGGAGCCAGTACTACACTTCAGAACTAGTAGTTTGTTTCTTTTTTTGTTGCTTAAATGCCGTAATATTCCAGCTATATGACGGCGGTCTGTAAATAATTGAGTCTGGACCAGACACTCCAGTGATTGACATCATGAGCATCAATCCATGCAAATGGGATACGAGGACATGCATCAACCAAGTCAGGGAGCCCCACCATCTGATCCTGTTAGTTGCTCTTTACCGCAAGCATGGGTTGCTGAAGACCTATTATAACCCAGATCTTCATGGGTTCAGAACAAGTAAATGTCCCTGTATAATTGTAAAATACAAGCTTCTAAAATAAGTCAGGTGTAGTTTAACATGAGGCTACCATTTATAGCTGAAATTTCATTGTGATGCATACATTTTATTCACCATCACCTTCTGTTAAGTGGGGGGCTGAGTTTTTATGGCCAACTGACCTGACTGCAGCAGCTCCTGTTCCATAATGCCACAACCAAGGACTTCCAGCCACTCTCCTTGAAACTTAATCTCCAGTTCCCATGAGGGATGGGTGAAGGGAAAATAACTATCTGTCCAGCGCAATTCAACATCTGTCGTGAATAAGAGAATGCAATATTTTGAGAGTGATCTGAAGCTTTAGAAATATGAAGATAGAATCTGGTACAGAGACATGACTGAAGCCTTCTCTATGGCCACATGCTTCAACTTACAACCTGTGGCCATAGTTACATTAAAGAATCTGGATCATAGAAGTATTCCCATCATGACCATAAACATTTAGTATTATATGTAGGGCAATAGTTTCAATATTGGCATGTATCATCACCTGCAGTAAGGAAATCATTATAAGCTGTTGCAGGATCCCGGGGGGCACATTGGGTCTAATACCACGAGGCTCTGGCCATATAACCTAACACAGGACGTAGAAAACCCAACGTACCCCTTGTGATCCTGCAACAACAAATTTATCTTACCGACATGTTTTAATTTGACATTGTCAAAGAATTAAAACAAACTCATAATTGATAGAAAACAGCTTTTCGAATGACTCGGAAAAAGTGTGCATCCATTTGCTTAAAAATGGGGAAAAAGGGGTTTATTCTGATTTTCAGAAATCCATGTGCAGCCAGACTTGCTTCTGGTGTTTTATTCTCCCTTTGAGATATTTATGGCGGGATACACAGTATTTTATCATGATCGTGTGAAACAATCAGATCTCATCATTCTGACATGGAGGTATGATAAAATGGGTTGTCTACACTTCCTACAAACAGAATACATCAATTGTGTGGATCTTAAAATAGGAGTGAGTTTGGTTTAACACTGCTTTAAGCAGTATGTCAGCTTGATGCAGGAGGAAAGCCCAAAGGGATGCAGGTCTTAGACGTTAACCAATTAGGCGAAACCCACAAGTATGGGTATTGTGCTGATAAACAAAGAAACATAATCAGGGCAATCTAGAATTCAAACCCAGAACCATAGTCTTGTGGCGTGCCCAGAGGAAGCAAACAGGAACAGAATAAATCAATTGTGTGGATCTTAAAATAGGAGGAAGCAAATCTGCGCATCGAAATGCAACTCCTTAGATGAGTGGGCCATGCCCCCCTTACAATAGGAACTGCACAGAGAAGGGAAGTAACTCTTCTATGCCCAAATTGCAAGGTTGACATCTACATGATCTACCTAACATGATCATGATGATAAATTAGGTAATTTCTGGCACATGAAATTGTTCACCATAAGGAGAACAGGACAAGATCTGTCAGGATTCACAGAAAATATAGTGAGCTTTACTGTTATACAGGCATTTGAATAATCCTATTCAGTTACCGTGAAATGTCATCTACTGTATGTGAGTTCAATTACTTCAAGTTCAGTGGCCACATAGGAATTTTTCAACAGGTCTTGAAATTCCCTTCTTGGAGTGATCACATGATACATTTTAATTATTAGGAAAAGAAAGAACTGAAACCAGAGATTGCAATTGAGGAAGCAGGGCCCCGTTCCGCAGAGCGATATTAGCACTACTACTGTCATACGTCTGTGTGAAAATATGGAGGTTACGATTATCTTAGCACTACGATTGCTTTGTAGGACAGATTGAAGATCCATTTGCTCCAAAACTGATTACAAATGGATGAATTGGCAAAGTTATTTTGTATTGTTGATATCTCAGCGATAATAATGACGAATGATCACTTTACACATAAAGTAAACACACCCTTTCCAAAGAGGCTGATTGTCAGGTCTTGCAGTGTTGTCTTCAGACTGTGTTCCACAAGTTTAGCAGCATCAGTTGTGTGGAAAGCCTGTTTGTCAGTAAGTCTCTTTCCATCTTCAAACAGGCACAGATTTGTTGAGTCTGACACATCCTTAAATAACTGAAAAAGAATCAGGTTTTGTTTGATAAGCAGGGCTTACTCTGTCACATTGTACTTTGTGCTAACCCAGTACAGTCACATTACACTACGGACACAGCAATACTCACATGGTTCACATGCTAACTTTGGTGCTGGTGGGGAATTCACTAAATTTAAAGTTTAGTAATGCGTTTTGTAAAACTCATTATAGTCTTAGACTATGAGTTTACAGTGAATGCACTTGGAATAACTATATTTTTGTAACAATTTTTAAGATATTTATTTAGAAAATCAAAAACACCCATCCAGGTGGTTAACATTTTCTCATTTTTAGCCAACAATCTGCCCAACAATTAATAAACATTAATTATATTCAATCATGAGGAGGGCAGCAATAACAACAAACATATCAAACTGAGTAGCCTGAAAAGTAACCTCAAATTCTGTGAAAAGCCGGACACCTTCCAGCTGATGGAATGCTGGGTAATGACTGGCATCAATTTCATCTCTTCGGTACACATCTCCAACAACAAGGAAGGCATCTAGTCCAGACTTCATCAGATCTCTCTGATGTGCTGATGTATGTGCCCGCAACATATATTTGGAGTTGATATAATAGCTGTCTGACCTTGATCGACTAACATGGTCAAACGGCACCAATAAACTATCAAAGTTCTGTTCAAGTGTTACAACTGGGCTAAGCTGATCATAAACTGAAAATATTGGATTACTTCTGCGATTTATGTAGTGTTTGTAAAAGAAGTTTTCTATTCTTCTTTTTATCAAATTGAGTGGATGATTTTTTTGCATATGCAGATTCCGACCAAGTTTTGTAAGCACTCCTTGATTAACATTGGTCCAGTCATCTGTACTGAAAGTGTGGCCCGCTATGTCAATGGTGTGTGGAGCTTGTTTTCCACTTGGGCCTGTGCCACTGGCTAGCCTCTTCACAACGTACATAGCATCCACTCTACCACACAGAACAACACACAGAGAGTGTTGAATCCTGAAATAAGAGGAAATAATTTTAAAGAAATCATAGCCATCTTCTCCAAAATGAAATTTGCCTGTTAAAACTAATTTTTTTGGAACATATTACATATGAACGATCTCTTGGCTGTTAACACCACAGCTTCCCGAGGCAAGGGTTTTAACTGATCATAAACATCCAGTTTCCACACTTGCCGAAATAGGCTGGAATTCCCAGGCTCAATCGTAGAGCCACGAGTGGCTGTTATGAGTGATGTCCCTTCTATGGCCCTCCTATTGACCAATCAGATTCCATCTCTCATATCACTTGCATTTGCTTCAAATAAAACGGCAGCCCCTGGTTAAGACGATCTGATAATCAAGATCTATATTGTATTGAAACAGGTCTTCCCCCGCGAAGGGCATCAAATCCATTGAGCACCTTGATTAAAAACATGAAAAGATTTTCAAAATATCTTTCGACGCCCAGTTGATGGTACACATGCTTGCAAATCCTGCAGTCAGTGGAAATCTTCACATTGAAATCCATGTTATTTACGAACCGGATGTCTAGTTCGTAACACGATTTTGATTTGACTATGCATAGTCCAGCCAAAATGTAATTCCTGAATTCCACCCAAGTTTGGCAAGGGTGGAAAAAGAGTTTTATAGTCAGTTAACACCCTTGCAACAGCAAGATATCAGCACCATAACTTTGTTGTGGATTGGTTTTAACACCAAATTATAAGGGTTGTTGTGTTCTATTAAGATGAAAGGATGACAGATGTATAAACTATCTTCGTCTTTGGATCTTCAAAGTGTTCAATTGCACTCAGATGACAGATCATATACAAAAGAATTACACAAGATCCTCAGCATGCTCAGTGGAACTTAGACAAAATCAAAGAAACAGTGAAGAAAACAAGATCTATTCTACAAGTTTTCAAGAGAGGTCCTTGAATAAATGAGGCCTGTAAATGATCAAGACTGAATCACACAAACCATTCATTGATATTATGAATAACATACCACTGGGTACAATGTCACAAAATCGAAAGTCACAGAGTCTGACCACCCCATCCATTATGACTAAAATCAAAGGCACTTGAGGACCTATTCTTCAACTATCAATAAATGTACTTAATTTAGTTTTTTTTATTTTGTTAAATAACACTTGTAGATGCGTTTTAGTGCTACATGTAGAAATCCATGGTCCATGGACAGGCAGTCATGTGTACAAGTGACCCTCTCAGGTATTCATTTGTACAAATATTGAACAGGGACCGTCTCGCATACATATTACGTCCTCTACTGTTCCAACCCAGAATATTAAAGAGAAAATATCCATCAGGCAACCTACATAATTCTGATATATACTCCTGTATCTGTCAAGAGGTTCCTGCTTTTCTGATGCCAAAATGGTCTGAAATTATACTCTAATGACATGGGTCTGACACATTCACACATTTGTTCTTGATGTAACAATTGCTGATTTTCTATAAATGAATATTTAGTTATAACAGTTGAATTATGGATAAGAGCAGGGTTTCCAGTTTATTTGATGTGACTGACCCAATCATATTTGATGCAACACATTTGTACAGTCAGTTCTAGTTCCTACAAAAACATCAAAGATACTGTCACATAAATTGTTTGTTTTCTGTACATCAAATGTATAACATAAAAGTATGTTTGTGACAATTAGCTCTCACTTCTGACCACTAGCCAACAGATCCTCAGTATTGTAGCTCAGAGTGCAAACCCATGACATGACAAGTAAGTGACATCACAAATAATGCCATGATGTCCATACTGGCGACCAGTGGATTTGTAGTGTTAGGAATCGTTTGGTAATTTATCATTGATCTCTGATCATATAGTTGATTACATTTTTGACTGGTTACCTGTTGGTCATGTTGAATATATTTAAGCATAATATTTACAAATCAAAGAAATGATTGAACACGTTGAAAATTTTGAATTTAATTATCATTTTCTCCACATATGATACATCTATATCAATTATGGATACGCTTACTTACTACTATCAACAAGTGATCAACTGAATATCTTGACTTCAGGGAGCCGGATAGTTCTTACAATTTATAATCCCAATTTATTCTTATAACATATGACCGCCTCCTTGGTCTAGTGGTAGAGCGTCCACCCGGAGAGCGGAAGCTCCAGGGTTCGATCCCCGGCCGCGTCGTACCAAAAGACGTTAAAAGATGGTACTTGTTGTTACCCTGTCTAATGCTCAACATTAAGGACTGGTCGGCTCAGAGTCAGTATACTGTGTCTGAGCGTGGTATCCATGTTAAACTGCGGCATAGTATCCAGTGTGCTAGCACTATAAATCAGCATCAGTCCGGACTAGTACAAGCACCCACACACACACACACACACGTGCATGCACGTCGCTATATCTCAGTGTGCTAGCACTATAAATCGGCATCAGTCCGGTCTAGTACAAGCAGCCACACACACACACGTGCATGCACGTCGCTATATAAGTGCAATAATCTTGGACGCGACGTTAAACCCCATTTCACCTCACCTCACCTCTTATAACATATCTTGGCCTGTATATACAGGATGCTATTTTATATCGTCGACTGTCGTATTGTAAACAAATTTTAATACCATTATGTTAAAATTACAATGACATGCCTGGGAAGCATCTTGCACGTGGACGAAATCACTCGGGAAATACTAAGTACGCTTGACACAGCTCCTCAGACATGTTATAACAGAAGTTGTCGAGTGGGTGTTCACGACATTCATACATATAGTGTTAGAACAGTTTCCTAAGGTCAGTTGTCGATTCCACTAGAATGTGTTATCACGCCCAAATGATAATTATTGTCCTTACTCTTACCAATTCTATAAAGTGACTGTTTAATGTCGTAAATTGGAATTCTCCCTTGAAAGAGATTCGATTTCAACACTTCCGGTACAAAATGGCGATCTCCACAAGACCGCAAGTGTTAGCGCTTTATAAGTCCTTATTGCGCGAAGCACGTAAATTTACAGAATACAACTACAGGTACATAAACTGGCAACAATGCAGTTTACCGGGCGCAGCCCGAGCTCTTCCATTCAGTCAATTACCGCGCTATATAGTGCTACCGCTGTCTCGCTAAACCGTTACCGTGCCTCACGCTCCGGCGATTCTCGCTTCACGATCCAACACCCATTTTTTGTCTTAGGGAAACTTACACGTCTTTACGATCCAACACCCGTTTTCGGTCTTAGGGAAACTTAGACATCTTTACGATCCAACACCCGTTTTGGGTCTTAGGGAAACTTACACGTCTTTACGATCCAACACCTCTTTTCGGTCTTAGGGTTAGCTTGCTTTGGGCAAGGGTTAGCCATAAATTCTTACCTTTTCAAGCGTTAATCCAGTTAATCCAATTGGTTGGTCATGTTGACATAAACAATGGCAGATATGGTTTCAAGAAACGATGAATGGGAGAGCGGACAGTGACGTCACATGCATCCGCAATTAATTGTTTTCTGAATTACGCATGCTTGTTAATGGGGTGCTAATGACCCGTTAAACGAGCACTGAAAACATGTGATAGCGCCTGTGGTCCAGTGGTAGAGTGTCGGCTAATTAACACATTGATTAGCCAGGCCAGGGGGCCGGCGAAGCACGTTCCAGCCCCCACAGCGCTAATTGGATCTGAAAAAGTGCGCCCGGTTAAGTGCACTACTCCCGGCTCAAAACTATAGCGTAGAACGGCCTACCTTTAGAATACAGTACCACACAACTTTTCAAACACGTGACAATACCCTATGATGTAATTTGTAGTATTTTGTTGCCAGTCACACCGGCGAAACAATGCCCTGTGACGTCAGGGGGCATCGAGTGTGCATAAGCTCCTCCCAGTGATCTATCATCTCTACATGAAATGTCACTGAATACGCCAAGCGGTGTGGGGAGTTTTGAATATTTGTTTACCAAATATAGCCTGTGGTGGCACATTTTATATCAAGCGCTAGTTTACGAAAGCACTGTTATTTTATTTATTTCGTTTTTTTCGTAATTCAAAATGGTTATAAAAGCGAACTAAAATACATACCGTATATTATTTTTTCGATTCATTAATTTTCATTATTATGCACAAGAATGCAGTTTATTAGGGATATCATATTGGCGCTGAACACATCCAAATATCTCTAGTGTTAGGGTAGGTTACCCTGAACTCTATCCTTAGCCCTTGAATTCCCTTTACGATCAATCACCCCTTTACGATCATTAGGGTTAGGTACCCTTGTTAAGAAGGGACTAGTTGTTCCCTCTAGTTACGAAGGGACTAGTTTACTCTAGTCAAGAAGGGCCTTAGTTGTTTTCTCCAGTTAAGATGGGACTAGTTGTTTGTTACAGTTAAGAAGGGACTAGTTGTTTTCTCCAGTTAAGAAGGGACTAGTTGTTTTCTCTAGTCAAGAAGGGACTAGTTGTTTTCTCTTGTTGAGAAGGGACTAGTTGTTTTTTCTAGTTAAGAAGGGTCTAGTTGTTTTCTCCAGTTTAGAAGGGCCTTGTTGTTTTCTCTTGTTTAGAATGGACTAGTTGTTTTCTTTAGATAAGAAGGGACTGGATGTTTTCTCTAGTCAAGTAGGGACTAGTTGTTTTCTCTTGTTTAGAAGGGACTAGTTGTTTTCTCTAGTTAAGAAGGGACTGGTTGTTTTCTCTAGTTTAGAAGGGACTAGTTGTTTTCTCTAGTTGAAAACAATCTCATTAAAATCAGACCTTAGTTCTCGCTATCGCTAAACAAAGATCTGAGGACATCACATTAAGGGTCACGTCAGAACGACCTTTCATCCACCCAATCAGAGCGTCGCTTACCAGATCATGAAAGTGACAGTCGGAATGTGTTTTCTAATCATGCAACAACAAAATATTTAACATGGGGTATTCCGAATGACAGTTCCGGGTTTTATGATTATATCCATACAATCTAGGCCATCCATAAGCCATTCCAGAATGTTCTTCTTATCAGTTTTAATCTTTTTAATCAAGAATACGTCAAAATATGTTTCGAAGCGTAGTCGCCAGTTTTAAACTAGTGTCGTAAATCTCGAGAAAGCTGCCCTCTGATTGGCTAATGTCGATTTCTTGTCAGTCATTTCATTGGTCGGTCAAAATTCGCGGAAGGTCCTTCTGACGTGACCCGTAATGGGATGTCCTCAGATCTTTGTTTAGCGGTAGCGAGAACTAAGATGTTATTTTAATGAGATTGAGTTGAGAAGGGACTAGTTCTTTTCTGTAGTTACAAAGGGACTACCGGTAGTTGTTTTTTCTAGTAATGAAGGGACTAGTTGTCTTCTCAAGTTACGAAAGGACTAGTTGCTTTCTCTTGTTTAGAAGGGACTAATTGTTTTCTCTTGTTTAGAAAAGGACTAGTTGTTTTCTCTAGATGAGCAGGGACTAGTTGTTTTCTCTAGTTGATAAAGGACTAATTGTTTTCTCTTGTTGAGAAGGGACTAGTTGTTTTCTCTAGATAAGGAGGGACTAGTTATTTTCTCTAGTTTAGAAGGGACTAGTTGTTTTCTCTAGTTGAGAAGGGACTAGTTGTTTTCTCTAGTTAAGAAGGGACTAGTTATATGTTCCAGTTAAGAAGGGACTAGTTGTTTGTTCCAGTTAAGAAGGGACTAGTTGTTTTCTCTAGTTTAGAAGGGACTAGTTGTTTTCTCTAGTTAAGAAGGGACTAGTTGTTTTCTCTTGTTTAGAAGGGACTTGTTGTTTTCTGTAGTTAAGAAGGGACTAGTTGTATTCTCTAGTTACATAGGGACTAGCTGTTTTATCACAAACTCCTAACATTTTTCTTGAACCACTGGTCCAAAATGAGCTGTTGAATAGTTGGACCATTGATATGGCTACTGGTGCCTGTTGATCTACAGACACATCTGCCTACATCTCACGCCCCAATCATCTATTGCAGGATGTATGCTTTGAGGAAGACAAGAGATAGTTTTAGAACCAACAAATATGTCACTGATCCTCAACAAATATGGAATCTCCTGAAAGATGCTCAACAAAATCTAACCATTATTCAGCGCCAGGTGAGAAGTTCTTATGATATAGCTTCCATTTATAACTGTAACTATATCTTACAGTATTATGTATTATACAGTATTACATATATTACATATATTACATAGTATACAATATTACATGTATTACAGTATTACACTATAAACTGTATTGAAACAGTTTAGAAAAAAATGTGCCTCAGAATGGAAGAACAAAGTTCAGCTTCAAGTTGAGCTTGTTTAAAGAATGTGTATTGTTGTTCTTGAACATCATCTGTCTGTCCCATCATCAACCTTTGCAGTGGGGGCCTTTAATGGAACTCTCCAGCCTGTATATGATTAAATCTGGACCAGACAAAACAGTGGTTGACATTACGAGCAACAGTCTACATTGTTGTATGATGACACACAATCAACCAAGTCACCAAGCCTGACCACCTGATCAATTAATTTGCCTCCTACAATATGCATAGGTTGCTGGAGGAGCAAAAATCCCCACTGGGTTTAAAATAAGTTCTCACAGAATTCAGATCTGTTTTTTACATGGTCAATATCATGTTTCTTACCGTACATCAAATTTGATTTTAGATGCCGCTATGGCCTTTGACTTGCATACCCATGTTTATCTAGATTTACTGCAGTTGACATCTGATTATATTGTTAAAAACTGAAAAGGGAAATATCATCTTGGACCAATACTCAGCCACATTTCCATGATCAATATCATTATTTGGCATTTAGTATAAATAATAATGAATGAGTTGTGCTTAAACATTTTCAAAACCTGTGTGTTGCAGGTTGTTGTGGGCCTGCATTACATGTGTGTGTAAAGTCAGGTGTGTGTTGCAGGTTGTTGTGGGCCTGCATTACATGTGTGTGTAAAGTCAGGTGTGTGTAGCAGGTTGTTGTGGGCCTGCATTACATGTGTGTGTAAAGTCAGGTGTGTGTAGCAGGTTGTTGTGGGCCTGCATTACATATGTGTGTAAAGTCAGGTGTGTGTTGCAGGTTGTTGTGGGCCTGCATTACATATGTGTGTAAAGTCAGGTGTGTGTTGCAGGTTGTTGTGGGCCTGCATTACATATGTGTGTAAAGTCAGGTGTGTGTAGCAGGTTGTTGTGGGCCTGCATTACATATGTGTGTAAAGTCAGGTGTGTGTTGCAGGTTGTTGTGGGCCTGCATTACATATGTGTGTAAAGTCAGGTGTGTGTTGCAGGTTGTTGTGGGCCTGCATTACATGTGTGTGTAAAGTCAGGTGTGTGTAGCAGGTTGTTGTGGGCCTGCATTACATGTGTGTGTTAAGTCAGGTGTGTGTTGCAGGTTGTTGTGGGCCTGCATTACATGTGTGTGTAAAGTCAGGTGTGTGTAGCAGGTTGTTGTGGGCCTGCATTACATGTGTGTGTAAAGTCAGGTGTGTGTAGCAGGTTGTTGTGGGCCTGCATTACATGTGTGTGTAAAGTCAGGTGTGTGTTGCAGGTTGTTGTGGGCCTGCATTACATATGTGTGTAAAGTCAGGTGTGTGTTGCAGGTTGTTGTGGGCCTGCATTACATATGTGTGTAAAGTCAGGTGTGTGTAGCAGGTTGTTGTGGGCCTGCATTACATGTGTGTGTAAAGTCAGGTGTGTGTTGCAGGTTGTTGTGGGCCTGCATTACATGTGTGTGTAAAGTCAGGTGTGTGTAGCAGGTTGTTGTGGGCCTGCATTACATATGTGTGTAAAGTCAGGTGTGTGTTGCAGGTTGTTGTGGGCCTGCATTACATGTGTGTGTAAAGTCAGGTGTGTGTAGCAGGTTGTTGTGGGCCTGCATTACATGTGTGTGTAAAGTCAGGTGTGTGTTGCAGGTTGTTGTGGGCCTGCATTACATATGTGTGTAAAGTCAGGTGTGTGTAGCAGGTTGTTGTGGGCCTGCATTACATGTGTGTGTAAAGTCAGGTGTGTGTTGCAGGTTGTTGTTGGACAGCTGTATGGTGAGGGGAGACTCATCATTGAAGGTGGAAGGAGCAATTCCCCCCCTGGGTAGCCACAACTGGTCACTGCCATGAACAAATGGAGGAATGTGTGGATGTTTGCAAACATTACTGACAGTTATCACTCTGTCAGCAAGACATCAGGGCAGTGCTGAACTGGGAAATGGTCTGTTTGCCTTGAACACTGCAGTGCTGGGACACCCTCAGACTTGTTACAGATTCAGGAATACAGAAAACATTTTTCAGCGGGTTAATAGTTGAAGATTGATGAGTGATATGGATTTGAGTTTGTTAGAATTTGTGTATATTGCATGTATCAATAAATGAGGCTGATTCCCGACTTGTAAGTCAGTGCTCTATTCCTCCAGCTTTGTAAAGTTGCATTACTGAGTTTCAGTCTTGTATGTTCCAAATATGTTACATTATTAGTGAAAAGAATGTGATGGAGGAGAACTCTTTTGATTTCTTTTCCCACCAAGAATACAAATAAACAGAACTGTTATTTTGCAGGAAAGGCAGGTGGATATAAAGTGATGGTCCAGAGCCTCAGAAATAGCTACTGTTACTTTATCCCAACCCTGAATTCATGTTTGGAGTAAGTTATGTTTGGGGTATAGGTCCCTGTTGCACAAAGTGATCGTAGTGCTATGATTGTCATAAGTCTGTGTTGAAGTATGGCAATTACAATCATCTTAGTGCTACCATAACTTTATGGAACAGGGACCAAGTCAGAAGCCAGATGTGACAAAATGTCTGCTACTTATTGGGTCCATGTCCCACCAATCATGACAATGGCTCACTTATCACAGTCCTTTGTCTTTGAAGTATGAAATACAAGGGGTTCATATAAAACGCTGTAAATCACACAATCTGATTGGTGATAGTAACAGTGTCCAACATTTGGCAAATGTAAGTGCAGATAGCCAATGTGATCTGTGCCACAGAAATATCACTGGTCCCACAGAAACAACACTAAAACTAAAATAATTATAGACAATTTCACTTATTTTTTTCACATTATATCCTCAAAGTATCATGTTGAACTTACAATAAGTAAAGGTACTTGCACCATCAATTGAACGAATAACCAAGTGTTAGTGTGTGTCACCTGTGTGTTCCCTGAAGCCTGTGTTGTCTGAAGAGTGACCTTGCACCTGCATAGTTCCTGTAGGAAATAACTCAGTTCAACATGGGATATGTTGTGTGAAACATGTAATCAGATATACATTGGTTAGAAATGACATGTTGCTTGTGTTTAACATACGGGTTTAGCAATAATGTACACAACACATGCCCTGCATGATTATTATTTTGCGAGGAAAACATGGGCATGAAGTGAGGATCTGGAACAGGAGCAAAAATATTTACACATAAAAATATTAACACACACACACACTACTAAAGGTCCACATCGATTCCTAGCAAGCTCTCATGTCACCATAGAGCTATCCAATTAGGACTGTCCCACAATATATCTGGTTGTGGGTGTTGTCTTACCCAACCCCTTATCCAGTCTCTCACAGCAGAGACCATATATTACATGGTCTCTGCTTACAGCATGGCTGTTACTCCCCCAGGACTCGGATCACTGCACGAATTTACATTCAGAGTGTCAAAAAAGGGCCACAAAACTGTATGACAATAGGGGTGACTTCAACAAAAGTCAACTTTCACTTTATGTCGAGCATGAATTCCAGCGGAGCATTTATCATCATTTTAGCCACTTGAATTACGAAAGAAAACGAAAGCAAAAATGTTTTCACAAACTAGCGCTTTCTTTATTATAAAATGGGCCGCCGCAGGCTATATTTTGTCACACTTCAGCGCGGTGGTGACTCAGCATAACACCAGGTACTATGCTGGCTGGCTGCCGGCCGCATGGAGCTCTGGGTAGGAGAGTGATATTTTGCAAACAAATTTTCAAAACTCTCATTGCACATCTCGTAAGTCACCTCTTACAACAAGCGGAATCGCTTTTAGGCAAGCATAGGTTGCTGAAGACCATTCTCATTGCTATACCTGCACAATTTGTAGAGGACCGCAATTCCTTTGGCTGTAAGTCTAAATAAAACAAAGTGAAAAAATGAAGAGAAACATCCAAGTTATCTGCAAACACTTGATGCCGAGGATTGTTTAAGTAAGAACAGATATATGGATAAAGTCATGATGTAATGATACTAATTGCCAATGAAATTCTTGTGGAATAAATAAACCAACTGAAATGTGTTTGTCGAGTCTGAGATGATAATAAATTCATTCCTATTTTCATTCAGAACTAAATATATTAAATATTGATGTTCTACCAATGCGCAATAACTGAGGTTTTTGTTTGCAATCTACTGACTCTATTAAATTCAACATTCTATTGTCCTCTTTAGTATCATTTGAATTATTATAAGGGTAATGCTATTTTTCAGGGCATTATCATTTGCAGAAGCCTGAGGTCTTCCATTAACTGCCTGACGAAGGAGGGCAGTTGAAAAGACCGAGGGCTTCTGCAAATGATAATGACCTGAAAAATGGTGTTACCATTATGATAGCTAAAAAATTGATGGAATTTGTTATCAAATAAAAAGAAACAACAATATCGGTTTTGAAACATTTACTACAATCGACACCAATGTCACTGACCAACTTTTAAGAATATGGAAACGTCATAGAACAAACCATGACGGCACTATTGAACGTGACGTCACCTATCCCTATCTTATGACGTCACATAACGGGCGTGATAATGGTCCGTCGTCAAGCAATATGAGAGCATTATCAAGTTACTGTGGACCGTGGTTTAATAATTCTATCCATTTTAGCTATAATACGTCATAGGGTATTGCCACGTGTTTGAAAAGTTTGTGGTACTGTATTCTAAAGGTAGGCCCAAAAGAAATGCTAAAAATATTGCGAATAGCATGCATAAACAGTCGATAGTTTCTATAGCTTCAATACATATATAAAGAACCAAATTAAAAACTTCACAATCCTAAAATTTTAACATTTTGACCAGTTATCATTGTGGGCCCTTATTGTGTATTTAAACAGTAATGGCCACGTATTGACTTCAGATAACACCCGTTTTTGTGCAGGTAAATCGATCAAAATCATGTGCACAGCACTATAGTGGCAAAAGTGTTTTTTCACGTGCAACTTGCACGTGGCCATAATACCGCACGTGTTTTCAGCCATACTTGTTAGCAGTCATTAACAAAAAAAAGAAAAACACAAGAAAACAAAAGTCTTTACGGCCATTTGTCATGCCACGCCTTTCAATTGGCAACGTGAACGTGCCATCGGCATGTTGCAGACGGGAACGTCCGTAGCTGAAGTCGCAAGGACGATGGGTTGTAGTCGACGGACTGTTTATGATTTACAGACGCGTCTACAGCGAACGGGTACCACCGCTGATCGCCCTCGGCCAGGTCGACCACGTGTGACGTCACATGCAGAGGATCGTCAGATTGTCTTACATCACCTCCGTAACCGATTTTTGACGGCTACATCAACCAGAAATGAACTGTTTAGGGGTAGACTGAGTGCGCAAACTGTTCGAAACCGTCTGAGAACTGCTCACCTTCAAGCACGACGGCCATACTGCGGGCCGATTCGGACTCAATTACACAGACGTCAACGTCAATTGTGGGCACAGCGACACTTACGATGGACTCCGAGGAATTGGAATCAAGTCGTCTTCAGTGACGAATCCCGATTTATTCTTCGATTTGCTGATGGTAGGGCGAGGGTGTGGAGGCGCCGTCATGAACGTTACGCCCAGTGTTGTGTAAAGGAAGTTGACAGATTTCGAGGCGGAAGTGTCATGGTGTGGGGTGCTTTCTGTGGCAATGCACGTTCCAGGCTTCTTGTCATCCGCGGCAACCTCAACGCTGCTGCTTACCGCGACCAGGTACTGGCACCAGAACTTCTGCCTTTTATGGCAGCACATGGACCCGGTTTGATCTTTCAAAACGACAATGCCAGACCCCACACAGCAATTTTGACAAGGAATTTCCTTCAGAATGCGGGAGTCAACGTCATGGACTGGCCGTCAAGGTCTCCCGACCTCAATCCCATCGAACACGTCTGGGATGCTCTTGGCAGAAGTCTGCGCACTCTCCAGAACCAACCACATAATTTGCAAGATCTTGGCACCATTTTGCAGCAACAATGGCGTCTTCCCAATCATGTGTTCACAAGCATCACAAGGTCCATGCGGAGGCGTTGTGTGGCAGTTGTCAACGCACATGGTGGCCATACACGCTACTGAACTTGTGTGCTATCAGAATCTCGTGCTTGGGACTTATGATTTAAACTGTTGATGTTATTACCGAATACCGTAGGTGCTTGGAACAAATTATGGTTACCACCGTTAATTAAAATCCTTCTTTGGACATTAATGATTAAAAATTACCTTCTCTGATACATTTGTCCGTTGTATATCATATATGGGATTACTTTTAAAAATGTGAAGTTTTTAATTTGTCTCAGTATATTATTCAAGTTTCAAATCTGCCTATGTTGTTGGTTAGCAAGGATTACCACCTCTTCATACTGTATTCCAAAGGTACTCCGAATCGATTTATATCGATATAATACTATCGCAGGGCAAATCATTGCGATAGTTCTATATATTGTTACACTCCTATATTCGTATAACATGTGTAAAGAAGAAAAGTTGCTAATTCCAGACTGGGGAAATCTTTTCACGTCCCTAAACTGAATAGTGAACAACTAAGTTTGTAAGTATAAATTTAGGAAAATAAATTGCACAGAATACTGCAAGAGAAACCTTGACACAGTATCAAACAAACATTCCAACAGAAACATAGGAGGTTTCTTCGAACCACCGCTATATCCATGACAATGTAACAATACTTGCCAAAACAACACGTGCAGTGACCGTGTTTGGAAAACAAGCAACAAAAACCCGACACAATATATGATTCTTGAAAGCTTATATATATATTGAGACATTAACTTTTTTGAGTAAATCTTTATAGGCCATCCGTATTTTTGTATGTTTCTCACCTCCAACCTCAACCAGCAAGAGTGCGGGCAAGCGAATATTTTGTGTAAGTTATTTTTATGAAAGTCCCTAAATTAATTTAGGACGTAGATCGAGTCGGTTTGCTTTGGAAGCTATTTGTTTCAAAATATTGCGGAAGAAAGATCAAGCCGACCTGTGTGTAATTGTAGCGCAATTTCTTTTTTTATCACATCGGGGCATACAGTTCCACAGCGGCGAGTTCCGAAAACTTTTTATTTCACGTAAAAAAATCAGAGTGGGCGGGAAATGTCAAACACAGAGAAAATACGGACAGCCGTAGCGCCTTGTCTGATTGCGCCTACTTCACAATTGGCGCAATCGCCTACTTATAAATCAATAAAACTTAGTATGATGTCTCCTTTCACTCAGGCCGTAGTACAAAGAACGAGGCTTTGAGCCGCCAGCCAAGCCTGACATCCACGTGGCAATGTTTACATCTGGTACCCTTTGTCCTATTGACCTGCAGGAGGTCAAGTTCTGTGACGTCACTTAACCTTAGTGATGTATTCAGGGCCGTAAACTCAGTCGAATAACCTTCAGTGACTTTGCGAAGGAAGTGTGTACCCTTCATAGTTGGAGGGTCACAATGGGATACAGTATACATTGGGAGGCCACAGTGAACGACTGTAGAGGCTGAGAGGGAACATGACAGCCGGAGCGAGCCGCGGCCGGTCATATCAACAAACCCTCGTGCGAGTCGACTGACCTTGAGACTGTCAGTCAGCTGGCTCGGTGGTAGTAGCGAGACTGGGGATTATACGATATCACAGGCGGTGTCATGTTGGTTATGATCAGTTATTTGATTTAGTACTTGAATGGAAGCTGACATAACCGGCATGGATTTCCCCTATCTTATATACAATTGCCACAATGAACGGTGACCGCGAAGATGACATGACTGTCTTCCTTCCGCGTAATCTCTCCTATGTGCGGGATAGCAACTTAGACGAATATAGTGTCAGTTCGACATTCGTGCAGAACCCTCGAGAACGCTTAGGAGACTGTAGTGAGTGCAGTGAGTGCATGCATCTGTTTGAAGCGATGGCCGAGGAGGGGGGAGCCACGAGCATGCAGGAGATGCAGGACTATGGGTCGTCGGTGGACCCGGAGGATAAACCTGTGACTGAGATGCAAGAGACTGTTGGCTCGGATACTCCCAGTGAAGAAGGTATTTTCGTCAATGTAATCGATGATGAGTTAGACCATTTTGAGACTGCTATCAATGATGGCCATGAGACCGATGATCACTCTGGTGACTCTGTTTACAGTCCAAATGGCTCTGACCTTGGCGAGACACAGGAAGGTCACAAACAGCGACTTGAGGAGGCTGTGAACACAATTGCTAACTCCGATTTCAATGCCAAACCAGAACTCAAAATAAAGATAAACGATCGACCATTCCTGGAAACAACAACCGAGGAAGCTTTCCTTAAATTTGTATCTTCAAAAAGTCCCGTATATGAAGATAAGGAATTTAACTTTTCACGTAGTGAATTAAGGAAGTCATCGTCTCTCAAGACTAACAAGACTCCCCCTGGAACACCGAGTAGAAAGAAAGTTGTCCGTTTTGCGGACGCTATGGGTTTGGATCTTGAATCTGTGAGAAACATTGTGAACGTGGATACCCCGCCCAAAGTGCCGGCGTCTGCCCTGGCCGACCTGCGTGTTGGGCTGGAGGAAGACAGACGTGCAATGGGGAGCAGGTTTCTCACTGCCTGTTTTTCCCAGCCAGGGGCGTCAGAAAATTTCATGAAGAAGGTTCTTGCTCAAAAGGTGAGTTTGGAGAATGCCGTCATTACAGGGATGACCATCACAGGCGTTATCCGAGTGGCCAACATTTCCTTCAACAAAATGGTGCGAGTGCGCTACAGCACTAACAGGTGGGCCACCTTTCATGACATAGCAGCATCTTATGTGCAGAACTCGTGCGACGGACCCACAGATAGATTCTCGTTCAGTATTGTGGCACCTGCAAATTTCGATGTTGGATCCAGGTTGGAGTTCGCCGTGTCCTATGCCGCCAGCTGTACCGTGTTCTGGGACAACAACGAGGGAAGGAACTATGTGTTTGAATGTTTTGCGAAGACCGTCCCAACAGAGGCCGAGAATTCCTGGATGCACTTTTTGTAAGTGGCTGAGTGTGTTGGGCTCTGCATGTGTGCTACTCCCATCATGTATATCTGCTATATATTTAGACATTGGTTTAGTGATAAAAAATTATACATATAATACAATACTTGATAATTGTGAGATCTGAGCTTTTGATTACGATATTTCTGTTAAGGGTAGGGGTAAATAGATTTTATATGTTTATTATGAAGTTGATCGACCCATGAAGATCTGGGCTACAGTAGATCTTCAGCAACACATGCTTGCCGTAAAAGGCAACTAATGGGATCGGGTTGTCAGGCTCACCGACTTGGATGATGCATGCTATCGTATCCCAATTGTGTATCCCAAATGCTCATGATGTCAATCACTGGATTTTCTGGTCCAGGCTTGATTATTTACAGACCGTCGTCATATAGCTAGAATATTGCTGAGTTCGGCGTTAAACAACAAACAAACAAAAAAATATTATGTATGTGTTTGTGTTTGGTATGTTTTATGGTAGAGTTTTCTATATGGAATACATATTCATGTCGTAAGATATTTGATGTATGTCACATTTAACGCCTGTCTGTCACAGCTGCGTAACACAGTGTACAATATTCACTTGCATAATATTGAAACAAACATTGTTTTGATTGTGTGCATACGGGTACATATTAGTAAGTTTCACCCTGAACAACCCCCAATGAGATATACATTTAGGCCTTTTAGTCTTGTACATTTTAATGTTAGCGCTGCCACTTCTATCATGTATTTACTGTATCACAGCTGTTGTGAAGGCTTGCCATGTAAGTAGCAGATGAACAACTTCAATGTAAAGCCTGTCAAGTCGTCAAATAGTTGACCAGTAATAGACCTGGGATGCGACATAGGATGCATACTGTATTGGCATAATCGCATTGTTGAATGTTGACATCTTGACAATCTGCCAATATCATTCCAGCTCTGAGTAGAAGGTGCGTGAACTGTGTACACATCTAGAGCCTGCCCTAGTGTGGGTGTCCACTGTGTGCGGCTGTTCCTGTGTACACATCTATAGCTAGCCCAGGGTTAGAAACTAACAGTTTTCGTCCACTAGCCCTTATAATGATAACATATAGCAAAACCCTTAAAAAGGGCAAATTTCTTCTACTCCTTATGATACCTTTACCATTGGGCAGTTTGGCAAGGACTATAGGACTAGTGCCAATTTCTAACGCTGTAGCCCTAGTGTGGGTGTCCACTGTGTGCGGCTGCTCCTGTGTACACATCTATAGCTTGCCCAAGTGTGGGTGTCCACTGTGTGCAGCTGTTCCTGTGTACACATCTAGAGCCTGCCCTAGTGTGGGTGTCCACTGTGTGCGGCTGTTCCTGTGTACACATCTAGAGCCTGCCCTAGTGTGGGTGTCCACTGTGTGCGGCTGTTCCTGTGTACACATCTAGAGCCTGCCCAAGTGTGGGTGTCCACTGTGTGCAGCTGTTCCTGTGTACACATCTATAGCCTGCCCTAGTGTGGGTGTCCACTGTGTGCGGCTGTTCCTGTGTACACATCTAGAGCCTGCCCTAGTGTGGGTGTCCAGTGTGTGCGGCTGCTCCTGTGTACACATCTAGAGCCTGCCCTAGTGTGGGTGTCCACTGTGTGCGGCTGTTCCTGTGTACACATCTATAGCTTGCCCAAGTGTGGGTGTCCACTGTGTGCAGCTGTTCCTGTGTACACATCTATAGCTTGCCCTAGTGTGGGTGTCCACTGTGTGCAGCTGTTCCTGTGTACACATCTATAGCTAGCCCTAGTGTGGGTGTCCACTGTGTGCGGCTGTTCCTGTGTAAACATCTATAGCTTGCCCAAGTGTGGGTGTCCACTGTGTGCAGCTGTTCCTGTGTACACATCTATAGCTTGCCCTAGTGTGGGTGTCCACTGTGTGCGGCTGCTCCTGTGTACACATCTATAGCTTGCCCTAGTGTGGGTGTCCACTGTGTGCAGCTGTTCCTGTGTACACATCTACAGCCTGCCCTAGTGTGGGTGTCCACTGTGTGCGGCTGTTCCTGTGTACACATCTAGAGCCTGCCCTAGTGTGGGTGTCCACTGTGTGCGGCTGCTCCTGTGTACACATCTATAGCTAGCCCTAGTGTGGGTGTCCACTGTGTGCGGCTGTTCCTGTGTACACATCTATAGCTAGCCCTAGTGTGGGTGTCCACTGTGTGCGGCTGCTCCTGTGTACACATCTATAGCTAGCCCTAGTGTGGGTGTCCACTGTGTGCGGCTGTTCCTGTGTACACATCTATAGCTTGCCCAAGTGTGGGTGTCCACTGTGTGCAGCTGTTCCTGTGTACACATCTAGAGCCTGCCCTAGTGTGGGTGTCCACTGTGTGCGGCTGTTCCTGTGTACACATCTAGAGCCTGCCCTAGTGTGGATGTCCACTGTGTGCGGCTGCTCCTGTGTACACATCTATAGCTTGCCCTAGTGTGGGTGTCCACTGTGTGCAGCTGTTCCTGTGTATACATCTAGAGCATGCCCTACTGTTCCAGCATAACAAGTTAAATATCAACTTTATATTTCATCATTAGATATATAATGCAGACATTTCTAATGGTGCACTTAAATTTTAATCCACTTACATTTCTTGCATATGATTTTAATTAGATTAAATTTTATCGTTGCATATCATTTGTCCATGGCCCGATGGCAATACACCTACAACAATGTTGTGCCTCGCTGGAGTATTGATAGTACACATTCATATATTTATAAAACAATAGCCAGGAGCTTTCCCCATTTCCAAAAGTATTTCTCAAGCAATCCACGGATCTAGGATTTGATTGCCGGGTAGGCATTGTCCTGTCCAATACTGAAGGGGAGTTGGATGACGGTTGAAGAACTTACCTATGGCAATACCGTGGCAGTATCTATACTGCGATAGAAGTGTTTCAAACATTTGCAATGCCATTGCCATAGTAGCAATGTCCCCGCTACCCCCAGTCAGTATGATTCACCAAATATTAGGGTAATTATAAACCTGTTATCAAATACTGCCAATTTCCAGTTATATTAAATTAGCAAAAGTGACAGCACGGTGACATGTATCGATCAGGCAATACAAGGGACATCAGGCTATACAAGGGGCATCAGGCTATACAAGGGACATCAGGCTATACAAGGGGGATCAGGCTATACAAGGGACATCAGGCTATACAAGGGACATCAGGCTATACAAGGGACATCAGGCCATACAAGGGACATCAGGCTATACAAGGGGCATCCGTCTATACAAGGGAGATCTCGCTATACAAGGGCATCAGGCTATACAAGGGACATCAGGCCATACAAGAGGCATCAGGCTATACAAGGGGAATCAGGCTATACAAGGGGCATCAGGCTATACAAGGGACATCAGGCTATACAAGGGGCATCAGGCTATACAAGGGAGACCAGGCTATACAAGGGACATCAGGCTATACAAGGGCATCAGGCTATACAAGGGACATCAGGCTATACAAGGGAGATCTCGCTATACAAGGGCATCAGGCTATACAAGGGACATCAGGCCATACAAGAGGCATCAGGCTATACAAGGGAGATCTCGCTATACAAGGGCATCAGGCTATACAAGGGACATCAGGCTATACAAGGGCATCAGGCTATACAAGGGAGATCTCGCTATACAAGGGCATCAGGCTATACAAGGGACATCAGGCTATACAAGGGCATCAGGCTATACAAGGGAGATCTCGCTATACAAGGGCATCAGGCTATACAAGGGACATCAGGCCATACAAGAGGCATCAGGCTATACAAGGGGCATCAGGCTATACAAGGGAGACCAGGCTATACAAGGGACATCAGGCCATACAAGGGGAATCAGGCTATACAAGGGGCATCAGGCTATACAAGGGGGACCAGGCTATACAAGGGGCATCAGGCTATACAAGGGGCATCAGGCTATACAAGGGAGACCAGGCTATACAAGGGACATCAGGCTATACAAGGGGGACCAGGCAATACAAGGGGCATCAGGCTATACAAGGGCATCAGGCTATACAAGGGAGATCTCGCTATACAAGGGGGACCAGGCCATACAAGGGGCATCAGGCTATACAAGGGGCATCAGGCCATACAAGGGACATCAGGCTATACAAGGGGGACCAGGCTATACAAGGGGGGTTGAGGAGTTCTCAGCCTCACAGAGATATGATTGAGTAATAATCAAATTTCTTGTCAAATAGTTTCGCTGAGACAAGGAAAATAAAATAAGCAGGGATCTGTTACTTTAAATGACGTGCAGTTTAAGTTGTATAGGTCATGACGGAACCACCCCTAACCCACCCCGGGAGGTGCTGACAGTAATCATCTGGAGGGACCATTTTGCTTAGCTGATATACGACATGTCTTTAGAAAAAGCAACATTTTCTATTTTTCGTGTTAACATTTGTCCTAACTTGCCAGGGGTGCACGTTTGCGTCAGTGAGAGCGTACAGGGGTACCGCTGTATAAGAGGTGTTTTATCGAGATCGAGTATTGTAATACAAATGTCTGCCTTGTCAACGAAGACAACCGTGATAGAGACAACCTGCTGCGTCTTGCCAAACATTTGTATATTTGTATATATTTGCGTAAGGCTTTGTTTTGTAGACTGGTTTTGTAGTTCGATAGTTTTAACAAACGTAAGGTGTTTGAAAAATTACTAATTCCAAAAGAAATCCGTCAACCAACCCTTGCCTCACGGAATGGGTTCAGAAGCTAGATTAGGGCATGTGTGGGGATATGCCAGGTTTGAAATGTTACTGTTATCATGATATACCAGAGGTCAAAGGTTTCACTGTTATCATGATATACCAGAGGTCAAAGGTTTCACTGTTATCATGATATACCACTGGTCAAAGGTTTCACTGTTATCATGATATACCACTGGTCAAAGGTTTCACTGTTATCATGATATACCACTGGTGAAAGGTTTCACTGTTATCATGATATACCACTGGTGAAAGGTTACTGTTATCATGATATACCTGTGGTGAAATGTTACACTGTTATCATGATATACCAGAGGTCAAAGGTTTCACTGTTATCATGATATACCACTGGTCAAAGGTTTCACTGTTATCATGATATACCACTGGTGAAAGGTTACTGTTATCATGATATACCTGTGGTGAAAGGTTACACTGTTATCATGATATACCTGTGGTGAAATGTTACTGTTATCATGATATACCAGAGGTCAAAGGTTTCACTGTTATCATGATATACCACTGGTCAAAGTTTTCACTGTTATCATGATATACCACTGGTCAAAGGTTTCACTGTTATCATGATATACCACTGGTCAAAGGTTACTGTTATCATGATATACCTGTGGTGAAAGGTTACACTGTTATCATGATATACCTGTGGTGAAATGTTACTGTTATCATGATATACCAGAGGTCAAAGTTTAAACTGTTATCATGTTATACCAGAGGTCAAAGGCTACACTGTTATCAGGGTAATCCTCGTTTGGGTAGGCAGTCGTGGCGGGAAAGTATTCGTGGCGTGGGGGTTGGTGCTAGGAAACTGGAGTTATTGCCGTGTTTCAGGACATGTTATACATACATGCAATGGCTAAGCAAGCAATGTAAGTACACCAACAGTATAACCTCATAGGATAGCTGAACTACCGGTGGCAGTAAGCGCCCCGGCCACCTTTACCATTCCTACAAGACGGTTTCATCATTGTGTTAAGATGGTACGTACGTGGTGTGACGTCATGACAACATTGTTGTGACTTACGTTTCAGGGCGGGCGGTGAGCCAGACACGAAGCCTGAGTCGTCTGCTCGTCTGCAGGTCCCCTCGTGTTGATAGGCCGTCCTTGCAGCAAGCAGGTCCCCTCGTGTTGATAGGCCGTCCTTGCAGCAAGCAGGTCCGTGGTGACTGCATGGCGTGACTGGTGGTCCTAACCCTCTCCCTTGACTTGCAGATGTATACTAATGAAGTGCAATATCCCCTGTAACCGCTCTGCTTTCTAGTACCACAGCGGCCAATCACAGTAGCATGTAAACTATGATATGAGTAAAAGTCGAGGCCTACTATATTCACTGTGGTATGCAGCGTGTTGGATGGCCTACAGATAGAGAATATAGGAAATGAAATTATCGTTAAAGGCACTGTTACGGGCATTTGCTGGCCGACATTGTAAGTATCTTGGGCGTTATGTCTACAGTCTTACGGTCTTGTATTCATTTGTAATATTCTACTCCTAGCTGCAAGTTGTGTGTGTGTGTGTGTGTGTGTGTGTGTGTGTGTGTGTGTGTGTGTGTGTGTGTGAGAAATACAGTTATTCTTTCATAATTAGCCAAACCATGGCATACCAAGCTACAAAACAAATTCTTCTACACTATGATATGTCCCATTATCTTTCTTTATTGTGCTTCAAAATCGAATCTGTCCATATTATTATTAGAGTTATGTTTTATCCAATGATTCAGTAGTACTCTTTATATTGATTGTTATTGTTATTGTTATCTACTCTGCTCTTGTTGAATCTGTGTGACGCGGAGGCGGGGGCTGGCATCCTCCGTCATCCCGTCCTCTCCCTCATCCTGTGCAATATCACGGCATCTATTGACACTTATATCATGTTGTTGACTGTTCGCATAATATTTTGTCTTACTGGTTTGTTTGTTGTTGCGAAATTAAACATGAATCTCTTCGTCTAATTGTAGAAAAAAACACCCTTTTTTACATGCGTTTTATTGCTTGTATTATTGTTAAATCAGGATCTCATAAATCCATTTTTTGCCTATAAATATCTCAGCTTTTTTGTAACAGGGTATTATGTTCCTATTAACCCTATTAGTTTTTTCTATGTTAATGTAACCGTTGTTGTGGATGCACCAAGAATTACTGTCAACCGAGTGTATATTGGTACCTATGGCCTTCACTCAGACATTCTTGCTTGTACCATTATTGGAAATTCGATATTTAGCATACATGTGTTTCTATGAATGACATTTTTTGACATATGATGTTGACACTTTTTGACATATGATGTGTGATCCAGCTACAGCCGTTGACTTTCACCTACCACTGTTTTCTGGGGTTCATCCATCTCCTCTGAAACTACAAGGCCTACGAAACTGAATCTTTGCAACAATGATCTAAGCTACCGTGTCTCTAAAAGGTGACCACATGAATTGGATCCGATGTTAAACATGACCCTTACGGCAGTCTTATTTAGAAACCAATAAATGGCTATTAATCGTCCATCCTTTTTTCAATAAGTTTGGTATGGCATATGTTCCATTTGTTCAATATTATGAATCGTTACCTTGATTCAACCTTTACATCGTAATACTTGGTGCCACCGAAGTGAAAATGGGCAATAACAATGCAAGGAAAAAGCATATCTTAAACCACACTGCTCACTAGCCTGCCACCATACACCACATTATCATCATACACAGGAGATCAATGGTCAACTGTAGGTTTTGATCTTTTCCACCAATCGTTTTTTTATCAAAATAAGGTTGATGTATCATAACATTATTTGTTCATAAGGTGAGCTACAGACCTTTGCTGCTATATTTGTGTAGAGTGGGTTTCTTCTATTCATATTTCCACTGAAGTTCAGAATATGTACTCTCCACTCTGAAGTATACTTGTATTTTGCTTTGTGTTTGACTGGGATTGTATGATTATGTAATAACTCCTAGTGATACCATCCATCATTTGGCGGGTCACAGTTTGATACTGTGTGGGTCATGTTACGCCTGGACCCGACATCTATTTTTGGGTATGAGAAAATATGTTAAAATTAGTATCTCACTTATTGTTCCAGGGAAATATAAGACTAACTGATATTTTTGGAATAACACATATTTTGTGCTGTGTTGATTTAGTAACTATAGAAACGGAGAGAATATGAAACAGCGTGAAATCTCAGTTGGGTCCGAGACACATGGGCCGGTATCTTAACAGATTGATATTTGAATGTGTCATGATGTACTGTATCTGCAGGATATACTTGGGAGGTAATGTCTGTTGTGCAAGTGTCATACTGTGTATGTCAAGTGACACCATTCTATCTATAAATACATGTTTGACTGTGATACTAACGCTGGAGATACTGCGATCGGGATGCTATATTTTCACCTGGATTTGTTTTTGACGCTGTCAGCTGTGATACAATGTCTGGTATGGTTAACAAAGGATTGTTGGACATATTTTCCATGTGAAGACTAAAACAAACTATGTGTCATTGTTCTCACCAATATGATATCAACTTATGAGGACATGTCTAATTACGTCATGGATGCCGTCACATCCACGGTGTCAGCACTGCTGTCTCGACTTACGAGGGCACGTCATGTCGGCAGTGAGAGCTACGGTGTCCTGGTTTTACTAAGAATGCTGTAATGTCAAATGTTGCTCACTCCCAATACAACATCATTCACTATCAAGAGGTTAAACATGTTGAAAAGTGCCGAGAAATGTGTTATTGCACCAATTACAAGTATTCTGGTATGTGAGACCGGCAATTGACGTTCTCCTACACTGCAGTCAATAAAACTGTTGGTTGAATTACATGTCTGTTGTGTTTTGTTGAAGTGTGCATGTGGACAGTTAGCGGTTGTATACAGTTGTTACTGTTGTCCTTCGATAAGTGCTCGAACAAGCACAAAGTAAGACAGTCACGCCCATGTGTTGAATTATTACAACATGGGAATCGGGTACGTGTTTCAGGTACATGAGTGACATCATGATAAATGCTTTTCACTGTCAGGATATATGCTTTTCACTGTCAGGATATATGCTGTTCACTGTCGGTCAACGTTATGTCACACACACGTGTTACCTCGCACAGCATGCAGAGAAAGCCTTCACTGAGATTGTAAATGTCCGATACGTTATGTTATTATGACCGTTTTGATAGTCAATGAACCTTGTTTTAAAAACAGCAACAAATGCTTCAATATAAATGACAGATTTGAAAATGTGGATTGTTTCCTCAGCCGCAGAACCAACCATGACCTTTTCTATGACACCACCAAGCATTAACACATTCAACTGCTTACTACCTTTTCTATAACTTGCCTGAATTACCTTATTGAAGGTGGTTTGTGTTTCTTGCTAGGAACCTTTTTAAATCGCTTCGATTGTGCAAATTGATTTCAGTAATCATATCTCCGATATCTTAATTTTAACTCTATAAATTCGATTTTTTCATCGGCAAATAACAGCGCGATTGTTAATTTCAAACTAGGTGTGGGTGGTAGAGCTGTGCCTTGCAGGGACGAGAGGATGGCCTGTTTGGTGTGGGTGGTAGAGCCGTGCCCTGCAGAATGGCCTGTTTGGTGTGGGTGGTAGAGCCGTGCCCTGCATGGACGAGAGGATGGCCTGTTTGGTGTGGGTGGTAGAGCCGTGCCCTGCAGAATGGCCTGTTTGGTGTGGGTGGTAGAGCCGTGCCCTGCATAGACAAGGGGATGGCCTGTTTTGTGCGGGTGGTAGAGCCGTGCCCTGCAGGGTGGCCTGTTTGGTGTGGGTGGTAAAGCCGTGCCCTGCAGAATGGCCTGTTTGGTGTGGGTGGTAGAGCCATGCCCTGCAGGATGGCCTGTTTGGTGTGGGTGGTAGAGCCGTGCCCTGCAGAATGGCCTGTTTGGTGTGGGTGGTAGAGCCGTGCCCTGCATGGACGAGAGGATGGCCTGTTTGGTGTGGGTGGTAGAGCCGTGCCCTGCAGAGTGGCCTGTTTGGTGTGGGCGGTAGAGCCGTGCCCTGCAGAATGGCCTGTTTGGTGTGGGTGGTAGAGCCGTGCCCTGCATGGACGAGAGGATGGCCTGTTTGGTGTGGGTGGTAGAGCCGTGCCCTGCAGAGTGGCCTGTTTGGTGTGGGTGGTAGAGCCGTGCCCTGCAGAATGGCCTGTTTGGTGTGGGTGGTAGAGCCATGCCCTGCAGGATGGCCTGTTTGGTGTGGGTGGTAGAGCCGTGCCCTGCAGGATGGCCTGTTTGGTGTGGGTGGTAGAGCCGTGCCCTGCAGGGTGGCCTTTTTGGTGTGGGTGGTAGAGCCATGCCCTGCAGGGTGGCCTGTTTGGTGTGGGTGGTAGAGCCATGCCCTGCAGGATGGCCTGTTTGGTGTGGGTGGTAGAGCCGTGCCCTGCAGAATGGCCTGTTTGGTGTGGGTGGTAGAGCCGTGCCCTGCATGGACGAGAGGATGGCCTGTTTGGTGTGGGTGGTAGAGCCGTGCCCTGCAGGAATGCTCGGCATTAAGGGCCTCGTCTCGGAGTCAGTATGCTATGTCGGCATGGGTATTCATGTTAAAATGGTATAAGATGTGAAGATGATGAAAGTTTAGTTGGTGTGAAGATAATGGTTGTTTACTGGGTGTGAAGATGATGAAAGTTTAGTGGGTGTGAAAATGATGAAGGTTTAGTGGGTGTGAAGATGATGAAAGTTTAGTGAGTGTGAAGATGATGAAAGTTTAGTGGGTGTGAAGATGATGAAAGTTTAGTGGGTGTGAAGATGATGAAAGTTTAGTGGGTGTGAAGATGATGAAAGTTTAGTGAGTGTGAAGATGATGAAAGTTTAGTGAGTGTGAAGATGATGAAAGTTTAGTGGGTGTGAAGATGATGAAAGTTTAGTGGGTGTGAAAATGATGAAGGTTTAGTGGGTGTGAAGATGATGAAAGTTTAGTGGGTGTGAAGATAATGGTTGTTTACTGGGTGTGAAGATGATGAAAGTTTAGTGGGTGTGAAGATGATGAAAGTTTAGTGGGTGTGAAGATGATGAAAGTTTAGTGGGTGTGAAAATGATGAAGGTTTAGTGGGTGTGAAGATGATGAAAGTTTAGTGGGTGTGAAGATAATGGTTGTTTACTGGGTGTGAAGATGATGAAAGTTTAGTGGGTGTGAAGATGATGAAAGTTTAGTGGGTGTGAAGATGATGAAAGTTTAGTGGGTGTGAAGATAATGGTTGTTTACTTGGTGTGAAGATGATGAAAGTTTAGTGGGTGTGAAAATTATGAAGGTTTAGTGGGTGTGAAGATGATGAAAGTTTAGTGGGTGTGAAGATAATGGTTGTTTACTGGGTGTGAAGATGATGAAAGTTTAGTGGGTGTGAAAATGATGAAGGTTTAGTGGGTGTGAAGATGATGAAAGTTTAGTGAGTGTGAAGATGATGAAAGTTTAGTGAGTGTGAAGATGATGAAAGTTTAGTGGGTGTGAAGATGATGAAAGTTTAGTGGGTGTGAAGATAATGGTTGTTTACTGGGTGTGAAGATGATGAAAGTTTAGTGGGTGTGAAGATGATGAAAGTTTAGTGGGTGTGAAGATGATGAAAGTTTAGTGGGTGTGAAAATGATGAAGGTTTAGTGGGTGTGAAGATGATGAAAGTTTAGTGGGTGTGAAGATAATGGTTGTTTACTGGGTGTGAAGATGATGAAAGTTTAGTGGGTGTGAAGATGATGAAAGTTTAGTGGGTGTGAAGATGATGAAAGTTTAGTGGGTGTGAAAATGATGAAGGTTTAGTGGGTGTGAAGATGATGAAAGTTTAGTGAGTGTGAAGATGATGAAAGTTTAGTGAGTGTGAAGATGATGAAAGTTTAGTGGGTGTGAAGATGATGAAAGTTTAGTGGGTGTGAAGATAATGGTTGTTTACTGGGTGTGAAGATGATGAAAGTTTAGTGGGTGTGAAGATGATGAAAGTTTAGTGGGTGTGAAGATGATGAAAGTTTAGTGGGTGTGAAAATGATGAAGGTTTAGTGGGTGTGAAGATGATGAAAGTTTAGTGGGTGTGAAGATAATGGTTGTTTACTGGGTGTGAAGATGATGAAAGTTTAGTGGGTGTGAAGATGATGAAAGTTTAGTGGGTGTGAAGATGATGAAAGTTTAGTGGGTGTGAAGATAATGGTTGTTTACTTGGTGTGAAGATGATGAAAGTTTAGTGGGTGTGAAAATTATGAAGGTTTAGTGGGTGTGAAGATGATGAAAGTTTAGTGGGTGTGAAGATAATGGTTGTTTACTGGGTGTGAAGATGATGAAAGTTTAGTGGGTGTGAAAATGATGAAGGTTTAGTGGGTGTGAAGATGATGAAAGTTTAGTGAGTGTGAAGATGATGATAGTTTAGTGAGTGTGAAGATGATGAAAGTTTAGTGGGTGTGAAGATGATGAAAGTTTAGTGGGTGTGAAGATAATGGTTGTTTACTGGGTGTGAAGATGATGAAAGTTTAGTGGGTGTGAAGATGATGAAAGTTTAGTGGGTGTGAAGATGATGAAAGTTTAGTGGGTGTGAAGATAATGGTTGTTTAATCGGTGTGAAGATGATGAAAGTTTAGGGGATGGGAAGATGATGGTTGTTTAATCGGTGTGAAGATGATGAAAGTTTAGGGGATGGGAAGATGATGGTTGTTTACTGGGGGTGAAGATGATGGTTGTTCTCTGAAGTGAGTTGTGAGGATGATGGTTGTTTACTGAAGTGTGTTGTGAGGATGATAGTTAATTATTGCAGTGTGTTGTGAAAATGATGTCCGAATCATAAAAGTGCGGTGAAATTGGATGGTTTATAGTAATGTGTGGGAATATTGGTTCACAACCCACCCGCAGCAGCCCGTCGCCAATACGCATGGATTCGAACAACATGTCTTTGACACAGGTGTCAGACAGCAACTCCGTCCGCACCATCCCTGGCAACAGCGGCGTATCTGCGAGGACAGTCCGACGACGTCTACGCATCTGCGGCATAGGTGCGAGGCACCCAGTCAGACAGCCAGTGCTGACGACAGGCCATTACTGCACATCGATCAGTCGTCAATCGTCGACGCACGGTGTCCGCACTAATGTGTCGCTGGTGTGTCTCCATGGGCTGTCGAGCAGTTTCCGCAGCAGTAACAAAGCGATCTTGAACATGCTGTCGCACAATCTGACGATCCTGACGTCGAGTGTTGACCCTTGGTCTGCCACTACGTGGTCGGTCGTCTGTAGTGTTGGTGGTCGGTACCATTGCTGGAGCCTATGTATGGTCCTTACGTGGTCTTGAAATGCATTGGCTACTTGCTGGGCGGTTCGTCCAGTTTGCAATCGTCCAAGGGCTTGGTGTCGCTGATTTCTTGTCAATCTTGGCATGTGGTAGCAATTCAACAACGAACAAATGTTATCCGATCTGGATGGATTTCGATAGGGCAAAAAATGGGGGAACGCATGTGCATTTCAATTTGCACAGAACACATGTGCATCGGGTCACCATGGACATTGCCGTGATGCGTTTGGGCGATCGGTTTTATTGTCATCTTCTTTGGGGTTTTTTATCATCAAATTTCATTTTTCCGGACAAGATAATGTTAAATTTTAGAAACTTTACCCAGATATTGTAACGACAACTTTTCATGCAATGTTATTTGGGGTGACGTTTCTTTTGCTTTTCAGTATAGAAAGGAAATTGAGATATTCTTCTTTTCGCCGTGCATCAGTACAGTGTGCTTGATAACATTGATTAATCAACGGATTTAAATTGCCATGGTGGCCATTAATCAAAATACAAAACTACAATGTATATTACGTTTGGCCACTATGATATTGGAAAGTTGTATATCTTGGTGGAAAACATGTTTTAAGCTCAGTGCTGATGATGACCTGGAAGACAGATGGAAACCCGTGCCAATTGTTCACTTTTGACAATGTCAAGTGTGAGCTGAGTTCTGTTTCCCAGTACAAAACACAACTGAAATGTAATACCTGACACTCTGTGTACAATAATACATACGCCATACATTTCTTTTGTTTGTTTGTTGTGTCACACTGTACCCTCAATGTTTTAGCTATATCTAACTGAGTATGGACCAGTCAATACAGTTTTGTAGTTGTAGCTGAAAAAAGTATCTAATCTGTCGCATAAAACTCATGCACCCACTCACGCACCCACACCCCAACAATCTCAAATTGTCGGTCCCTTAAGTGATAATTGTCAACGCGCAATTTGTTTGTACACATTCAGACATTCATAACCAATTCGTCCGGAGAATGGGCATTCCACACTGAAGACGTTTCATTGTATCTGAACATAGTGTTGTATTGGCACCGAATGATAGATATGATGTTTGAACAGTTCTATAAAATATGATTGAAAAACTAAAAAACACTAGCCTTATCAAATACGTTTTTATTTTTTTTCAAATCTGGTATATACAGTAGACTACATTTCCCGAGGGAGACTACTCCTGCACGTAGTTCGGCGGGTAGTTGATGACGTAGCCTGGTGGACAGTGGGGGATGGGGCAGCACTTGCCGGCCGGGGGGGCCAACAAATTGCACACCTTCGGTAGTTGCCACTGTAGACACCTGCAAAACAACGACATATCACCACTAGCTCCCTTCTCTACACAGAATTCATATTTAACCGACCGCACACAACACCATATGACCACAAGCTCCCTTCTCTAAACAGAATTCATATTTAAACTGACCGCACACAACACCATATCACCACTAGCTCCCTTCTCTACACAGAATTCGTATTTAAACCAACCTCACACAACAACATATCACCACAAGCTCCCTTCACTACAAAGAATACATCTTTATACTGACCGCACACAACACCATATCACCACAATCTCCCTTCACTACACAAAATAGATCTTAGTACCGACCTCACACAACACGATACCACCACCAGCTCATTTAAAAATATAGGTGACATCAAATTGGTGAAATATATGACTTGGTTAATGGTGATCCCCTCATCTGACAAATGGATGAATTAACTGGTTATTACTTGAGGGTACACTGGTAGAAGCTCTTGCTGGCATCCATGCATGTGCACTTGTAGTCACAGCCGTCTTCCCATGTCTGGCCTTGGGTGTAGTATTTGCCCTTGTAAAAGCACGTGGCTGAAGTGACAGTGGGAAACAGTGTTAGGTGAACATTTATGCCCGCCCCAGAATTTGTACATGAGAAAGATACATGCTAAATACTTTGTTTCTTGTTTCAAACCAAAATTAGCTACTTTCTAGCAATATCACGATAGCCTGTATACACATAACTGTAGCCTGTAAATATATCACGGTAGCCTGTAAATACATAATGGTAGCCTGTAAATATATCACGGAAGTCTGTAAATATATCACGGTAGCCTGTAAATACATAATGGTAGCCTGTAAATAGTATAGTCTGGTTAAGACACGCCAGTTGTTATGGGCAGCATCCCGCAGAGTCGGGTAAGATGACAGCAGTCATCTGACAAGTGGATTCGTACCACATGCCTGTGCATCAGGTTTAGCACTGATATGTTCATTCGTATACATCAGTATAAGTATCAGATATGTGCATGGCAAGCGAATGTTTGTGTCATTAGGGGTCACATACAATTATGTAGATTGCACCTTTGATTATGAAGAATATGATTGTAAAATACTTGATGTTACAACTACTAGTATATTACCCACTTATAGAGTGCCTACTCCTCTAATAAACGTGTCAAATTTAGTTCATCTTTCAATAAGTGAGGAGACTGTTTACCCCCTGCTGGGTTGGTACAGTTGGGCTTGGCGCAGCACTCGCCCGGCTGCTTCACCATCTTGCAGCTTGCCGGAAGGTCCTGGTACACTGGACACCTGGACACACGTAGACATACATCTTACATACTCTTGTCCCCTTTCTTGTGTATCTTAATGCAAAACTGTACTTTCTACTCAGGTGTTACTCTACAATACTGTACTTTCTACTCAGGTGTCACTCTACAATGCTTTTATTTCTACTCAGGTGTTACTCTACATACAATACTGTACTTTCTACTCAGTTGTCACTCTACAATACTGTACTTTCTACTCAGGTGTTACTCTACATACAATACTGTACTTTCTACTCAGGTGTTACTCTACAATACTGTACTTTCTACTCAGTTGTCACTCTACAATACTTTTATTTCTACTCAGGTGTTACTCTACATACAATACTGTACTTTCTACTCAGGTGTTACTCTACAATACTGTACTTTCTACTCAGGTGTTACTCTACATACAATACTGTACTTTCTACTCAGGTGTCACTCTACAATACTTTTATTTCTACTCAGGTGTCACTCTACAATACTTTTATTTCTACTCAGGTGTTACTCTACATACAATACTGTACTTTCTACTCAGGTGTTACTCTACAATACTGTACTTTCTACTCAGTTGTCACTCTACAATACTTTTATTTCTACTCAGGTGTTACTCTACATACAATACTGTACTTTCTACTCAGGTGTTACTCTACAATACTGTACTTTCTACTCAGGTGTTACTCTACATACAATACTGTACTTTCTACTCAGGTGTCACTCTACAATACTGTACTTTCTACTCAGTTGTCACTCTACAATACTTTTATTTCTACTCAGGTGTTACTCTACATACAATACTGTACTTTCTACTCAGGTGTTACTCTACATACAATACTGTACTTTCTACTCAGGTGTTACTCTACAATACTTTACTTTCTACTCAGGTGTTACTCTACATACAATACTGTACTTTCTACTCAGGTGTCACTCTACAATACTGTACTTTCTACTCAGGTGTCACTCTACAATACTGTACTTTCTACTCAGGTGTTACTCTACAATACTGTACTTTCTACTCAGGTGTTACTCTACATACAATACTGTACTTTCTACTCAGGTGTTACTCTACAATACTGTACTTTCTACTCAGGTGTTACTCTACATACAATACTGTACTTTCTACTCAGGTGTCACTCTACAATACTGTACTTTCTACTCAGGTGTTACTCTACAATACTGTACTTTCTACTCAGGTGTCACTCTACAATGCTTTTATTTCTACTCAGGTGTTACTCTACATACAATACTGTACTTTCTACTCAGTTGTCACTCTACAATACTGTACTTTCTACTCAGGTGTCACTCTACAATACTTTTATTTCTACTCAGGTGTTACTCTACATACAATACTGTACTTTCTACTCAGTTGTCACTCTACAATACTTTTATTTCTACTCAGGTGTTACTCTACATACAATACTGTACTTTCTACTCAGGTGTTACTCTACAATACTGTACTTTCTACTCAGGTGTCACTCTACAATACTTTTATTTCTACTCAGATGTTACTCTACAATACGGGGTGGTCGGGTTGCCTGGTGGTTAAAGCATTTGCTCGTCACGCCTAAGACCTGGGTCCGATTCCCGACATGGGTAAAAGGTGTGAAGCCCACTTCTGGTGTCTCCCGCCTTGATATAGCTGGAATATTGCTAAAAGCAGCGTAAAACCATACTCACTCACTCACTCTACAATACTGAACTTTCTACTCACAAATTTATGCACTTATAGACTCCACTGCTTGCATCCTGGCAAGTACAGTTGTACTCGCAACCATCCAGCCACGTGTCCCCCTGCTGGTAGATGGAGCCCTTGTACACACAGAACTGACCTGGGGGAGACAGTGAGAGGTGCAGGGACGTGTCTATTCGCCATGTTTTACATGTATGTGGGGAAAAGTACATTGAACTTAAATAATGGTACTTACTGTTTGAAGTGAAGCCTGTCGGTGGAGGATTGGTACTGCCATTGCCTGAATTGAACGAGAATCACAAGTGTTGGTGTTCAGAAACAACATTCCAACCTATACATGGTGACACTTTTTGACAAAGCTGTCTTCTCTGGATGAAACAATGAACTGATTACTTACACTGTCCTCCTTGTGCCAGGATGGCAAACACATCTCCTGATCCTAGCTGAGCTGAAAGTAAGAACATCAATTATTATTATTATCACATCACCATTGCACTGCCAGTATCATTGTTATCACAGCATTTTTATTATTGTTCATCTTGGACGATCATGATGTCAGATTATACAGCATCATACGAGTTCCCATCCATGTTTCAGTAAGTCATTTACCACCAAAAATATCTTACTCTGGCTGAATTTCGCTTGGGTTGTTCCTGGTACATAGTAAAATGCTGGCTTCGCCCCGTTGGTTTCATAGCTGCATCCGGGTCTTGTAGAAATCATCATCCACCCTGAAGCGTCGCATGAGGAGCCCGACTGGCCGCTGGTATAAAACTCCCGACCCGTCATTGGGTCTCTGAAATGTTTTCATTCAATCATTCATTGCTTTGTTAGTTGGGACACAGTTTACCCTTTAATTAAAACAATGACACGTCGTTGAGAGTCATTATACTACTGGACCAAGACTTACAAGTGAATGAACCCATTACAAAAGAAAACTGTTTGATGTTTTAACAGACTTTGATCAAGAAGTAAGTGTGACTGTACCATCTACATGATGTTATTGGACGTATTGTACATAGGTATTGGGTCAAGACTTAAGAGTGACAATATCATTCACAGCAACAAGTACTGTAATAGTAAAAGCTTGTAATAGTGAATGATGACGGTGGCCAGAATGGCAGATACATAAGCTAGGCATGGAATACCTGAATGTTGCGTATCTAGTCCCCATTGCCAACCATGCAAGCTCAAGTGACTCACCCCATCATAGAGAAGATGCTCTTCTGGGCAGTCTTGATGTCAGACCATGTGGAGGAGATGATTCTGCTGGGATCAAACCAGCTCATCTTGTCAGCACCGTGGGCATCGAACACAATACTGGCTTTTTCTACACCGTTGTTGAAGATGCCCACCTTTATCTGGAGTTATCAATATTTAACAAAGGATAGAAGCAACATGTTATAATCATTACCGATAATTAGATAAATTACAGTTTTTCAGCTATGTTCACACTTTTCTTCAACAGAACTGTTTACTATAATTTTGTTGAAGAAAAGAGTGAACATTGTTTGTTTTCTGTGTTTAACAGTTAAACTGTACCTAAGTGAAAAATGAGGTGAAGCAGAACCAGTTGTCTGCTTAGAACCTACATATCTCATTACAAATCTCAATGTCTAAATGGTCTTTACTTTATAGGACTCAAGAACAAAGGTGGGATGAAGTTTTCCTCGTTTACCATTTTTGTCTGACCGTTATTTACCATGATTTTAATATCAATTGTAACCAATAATTAATTTGCATTGAGATCACATTTGATGCTGCTCTTTATGACCCATATCATGACATAAGACTTACATGATCAAAGTTACAGTCGTTCCAGTGGTTAGACAAATCGGATTTGTAGGAATGTGGGTAGGTGCTGGTCAGGTATTGTGCTGAGGGGACATTGGCGCTGGCGGTGTTGGGGGATGCCCACAGCTGATACAGGTCGCCTGGTACACCCGCAACACCCTTCATCAATATTGTCCAGCCGGTGGCGGGAACACCAACACCTCCACCATGCCCCTGATTTACACCAGTGCCAGTAGCTGTGGATGAAGAAAGGGCTATATAGGAGCAAGGTAGCTAGAACGGCGCCCAATTTCAACCATTCATCTCATCCCCTCCAAACTGACTGTATTAGAATAGTGTCCTGGCACTGGAGCTTATCTCATTAAAGTTGCAACATCATAAGTCAGTAGATCAGTCGTAAACCATAATCCAAACCTACCAGAGAGGCATTCCCAAAAGACGAACACAAAATTACAAGTGCCCCTACATTTGGGTATAGAGGGCAAATTCCAAGATTGTGTTGGTTGCAATGATGATACCAGGAGGGTAACGAAGGTGACACAAAGGAACTTGCACTCATAAATAAAGAGTTGCCTCCCCTTAAAGATCTCCCACCAACAAAAAGTTGTCTCGACTTAAATATACCCACACAAAAAGTTGTCTCGACTTTAATATACCCACACAAAAAGTTGTCTCGACTTAAATATACCCACACAAAAAGTTGTCTTGACTTAAATATACCCACACAAAAAGTTGTCTCGACTTAAATAAATTATACCCACACAAAAAGTTGTCTCGACTTAAATATACCCACACAAAACGTTTTCTCGACTTAAATATACCTACACAAAACGTTGTCTCGACTTAAATAAATTATACCCACACAAAAAGTTGTCTCGACTGAAATATACCTACACAAAACGTTGTCTCGACTTAAATATACCCACACAAAAAGTTGTCTCAACTTAAATAAATTATACCCACACAAAAAGTTGTCTCGACTTAAATATACCTACACAAAACGTTGTCTCAACTTAAATATACCCACAGAAAAAGTTGTCTCGACTTAAATATACCCACACAAAATGTTGTCTCGACTTGAATATACCTACACAAAAAGTCGTCTCGACTTGAATATACCCACACAAAAAGTTGTCTCGACTTAAATATACCCACACAAAAAGTTGTCTCTACTTAAATATACCCACACAAAAAGTTGTCTCGACTTTAATATACCCACACAAAAAGTTGTCTCGACTTTAATATACCTACACAAAAAGTTGTCTCGACTTAAATATACCCACACAAAAAGTTGTCTTCCCCTGACAAAAAACTTGCATTGCATCATGGCTGAGAGATAGATCATAGTGTAGATTAATGACATTGTTACTTTTTAGATTAGATTTAGATTCAGACATTAATTGTAATCTTAAAAATGTAATTGTAATTCAATAAGCATCTTCATGTGTATTGTGTTAAGCAGTTTCTGATAAAGAAAAAACATTTTCTCAAAGTCAACTTAAACGATCGACCACGAAGCTTCCATACTTATTGTTACCATTATTTATGAAAAGAAAACAGTTATTTTATCTTTTGATTTCTAAAAACAACACATTAAATGTTTTCCTAAAGACCGAGGTAGAGTGTGGAGAAGTGGCTTTAGAGTGAAAGAAGGAAAAAATAAATAGTGGAATACTTGGAATAGTGGAATATATATAAGGTGCTATAAACACACAGAGTTTTTAAGTATTTTGTTATTCACATATTATTTATGCTATATTAAAATTATTATTAAGATACCAGAATAATATTTGGCGATACTAACTCTAAAATGTCCTGTTCAAAGTAGAGTGGGACATATAAAAATCAAATAACCATTTGAGGTAACATAGAGATTCCATTAGAATTCAATCTTTGTGGTATAATTACATTGTTCTTCTATAGGACAACTACAGACTGGTGAATGTGGTGGTATATCTTACAGCAATATCCACAGGTGGAGGCACAGTTTGTCCTTGCCCATTGCTCATATTGTCCTGAGCAGGAATAGCTGCTGTAGGCTTTGCAGTTGTTGAGTTTATCTGCACAGCCTGCAGGGGGAGTGGAACTCACGCCAGTGTTAGCTGAAGAAGAAGTCATAACGTAATACACACACGTCAGTATAGCAAGAACAGGGATCGCATACAGAGGGAAGTGTACTGTGGCTGATAAATTAAATATAACCTTTTGACTAATATGATTAATAAAAGCTTCCCCTAAGAAACAAACATTGGACAGTTTTCATACTGTTTTCTACATATGACATTTGTGGTAGCACGTTACACAAGGTATTTGAAGTTTCACCCACAGTACGTCAACGTACGTTATAGGAATATTTACTGATTTGACGGAAAAAGGTAAATGCAAATACTTCCACACAAGAACAGCATTTTCAATATATGGACGTTTCAACACATAATATGGATATACAACATTTGCATACAGTCAAAATTAGTTTGTGCCTCATAGATGTTTTGGAAAGAGATTATTACTTACGACAGAGGTCACAATACTTCTGACAGTTGACCTTTGCCCATTGTTGGTACTGGCCGCTGCATGATGGTTTCCCATAGCTCGCGCAGTTGTCCAGTTTGTCCCGACAGCCGGTGTTTGGCGGCGGTGTATCTGGGTAAGTAAAGGCCACGCTACTGTCACCATTCACGATAATGATACATCACGTTGACACTATTTCAACCAATCAGTGACGAGTGTTCAGCGATAAACATGAAAATAATACCATATAACTGCTACCTTGTCTGAGTTAGATTATTTTATCCCTGGGAATACGATACATACGTTCAACCGATATATGGAAAGTGTAAACAAAACAATTAATTACATAGTGGGTTATGCTTAGATGTACATACAACAGATCCCGCAGCGTCGAGCACAGTTCTTCTTGGCCCAGTCTTCATAAGGAGCCTTACAGGACGAGTCCTCATACAGTTCGCAGTTGGGCAGCACATCCACACAGGGACCAGTGACACCGCTAGGGGTGGTAACTGCAGGTTTGGGGGTGGTGTTTTGCCCCTGGCACGACACTTGTGGGCAGCACTTGTTAGCCACGCTCAAACTCTTGCACATAGGGGGCAGCTTGGTGTAAGTAGGGCACCTGCAGGATGATAGAGTACAAGAATGCTCTTCAATCATATGATGGGAAATGCCACTAAATCTACGCAGGGAACATCTAAGCCTTAATTTCTGGGCCGCGTCCCAAACAAACCTTCTCATCCAAAACTTAATTAACCAAAACATTAGCCCAAGAAACCAAGCTCTAGCTCGCAAACACCCCTTACTCACCCCAATATCCCAAAGAATAACTAACTACCGCAATGAACACCAAACCCAAAATCTTAAACAAAACTGCAAAAAATCAAATATCTTCACCCCTAAACTCAAAATACCCAAAATAGACACAACGCTAGCTAACCAAATAAATAAACAAACCGACCCAAACATATCTAAAACCACCACACTTGCATACATACACGAAAATTGGCCAAACTGGTGTCACATATACACTGACGGATCTTCAGACCCGATCTCCAACCACACAGGCTGCGGAGTCCATACCACACAACCAGTTATATCCACACAATCTTACCGACTCCCTAACAACCAATCTATATTCACGGCCGAACTTATGGGCATGGCCTCAGCCCTGCATAACCAGCAATCAAAAAACAACAATAACATCCTAATTCTTAGTGGACTACAAGCCCTCCAAAACAAAAATACCAAAAAACGACCTAAATTAATAAACCAAATACTTAAAAGCTCCAACAACCTAACAAAAGCAGGCAAACAAATAACCTTCTTGTGGATCCCCGCCCACGTAGGAATTTACGGCAACGAAAGCGCCGATAAAGCAGCTAAATTATCTCTCAAAATTCCAGAAATAAGCCTAAACCTACCCACCTCAAAATCAGAAATTAAAAGTGTAAACAAACAAAACATACCCAAAAAATGGCATAATCAATATCAAAACTCAAATAGCCAAATCAAAAAAGTGCTTAGAAAACCACTAGCCAAACCTAAAATCCTACACCCCTCTAAAAAAATTGACAGATTAATTACAAAACTCCAAACAGGACACACGAACCTAAATAACCACCTAAAAAAACTTAAAAGACACACCACAGGCAACTGCCCCCACTGCAAACAACCCGAAACCACAGAACACGCACTCATCCACTGCACCCACTACCAAACACACAGAACCACACTACAAACCACCCTCAATCTAAATAAGGTTCCTACTCTAGATGAAATACTAAACCCTCAAAATAAACTAGAAAACTTCAAGGCCCTAGGCGTATTCCTAATCAAAACAGATCTAATTAAGCGCATCTAAAAACTCATTAATCTACCAATCCAAAATCCAATAAACATACACACACCCACCTCACCCGGCTCCCTTAGTTCCCTTCTCCACCCACCTCGGCATTTATTCCAAATTTAAAAATTCCAAAACTTCAATATAAGCAACCCCTAAAAGCCCCCTCTTAGGTTGCACACACCACTTTCACCCTTTTCGGAATACACTAAATGGTCCGGCCAGGCCCGTGTGCGAAATACGCTACAGTCGGAAAGCGCACGTTAAATCTCCTATATCAGTCAGTCATATGATGGGATTTTTAGGATTTTTATTTTAATAGCTCTGAGCAGTTTGATGAAGTTAACAAAAAGGAATTCAAACTGTTCTCCTTTATGAGTGTGTAAATGTCTGAAAGAGGCTCACTTGGGTGTGCATCTGTATTGTCCAACTGAGGAATCGATACACTCGCAATCATAGTCACAGGCATCGGTCCACCTCTGTCCTTGACTGTAGAGACTGCCCTTGTACACACAGGCATCTGGAATACATACACGTTATACACACAGTTGGAACACATATTACACATTATTCACACAGTTGACAAGCTCTTTACACACATATCGAAAACGCAGACACACCTATTCGGCCGCCGTATGTGGCGGAGATGCCGGGAGTGTAGCCAGGACGGAAACCAGTGAAGCCGCCAGAGAAAGACCCAAACACTGGATACACGTTTGGTTGTAACAACGGGTTGACTATTGAACCATCAGGCTTAGAACACACGGGAGTTTCACAGCATTGGCCAACAGCGTGAGTCATGTAACAGCCATTTGGCAGCATGCTCTTGGAGTAGGTTGGACATCTGTTTGATAAAGAGAAATGACATGTCACAGCATAGGATCACACAGATTCAGCAGAGAGGCGATCTACAGAGCGATGGCTCTTGCACAGGTTAAATGTTGGAAGCAGAAAATGTAATTAAATGTAGATCCCGTACTTAGGCAAACATTTGTAGAATCCGGACTGAGATTCAATGCAGGTGCAGGTGTACTGACACCCGTCATCCCACTTCTCTCCCTGGTCGTACATCTTGTTCTTGTAGATACACTTGTCTGAAACAAGTCCCAAACTAACATGAATTAACACTGCAAACATGTTTAATATAATACACATACAAAGGTTCCTGTTAAATCCAGTCCAGTTAATCATCGGGTACCCGTGAAGATCCGGGGTAGAATAGGTCTACGGTTTGCCGTAAAAGGCGACTATGCTTGTCGTAAGAGGCGACCAACGGGATCGGGTGGTCAGTCTCGTTGACTTGGTTGATGCATGTCATTGATCCTAATTGCGTGGATCGATGCTCATGATATCATTCACTGGGTTGTCTGGTCCAGACTCGATTATTTACAGACCGCCGCCATATAGCTGGAATATTGCTGATTGCGGCGTTAAACAATAAACAAACAAACATCATTGGGAAATAAAAAGACAAATAAAGAAAGGGAAGGATTAGGGGAAAGAGTTCCCTATTGCTGTAGTTGCTGTGTCGTACACAGCTTGCAGCAAAATTTCTTTTTAATGAGGAATTTACCACCAACAACTGTCTCACCATTAATCCCACCTACTATCGTAGGGTTGGAGGGTACCAGGGAGCCATGGCCGGGCTGACCACTTCCACCAAACACGTTGCCTTGACCAGGTCCAACGATAAGCTGCGGGCTGTTGGTGGGCTGCATGGTGGGAGTCTGGCCGGGGCTAATGTTGGGGGTGAGGCTTGGGTTGAGCTGTGGCACTGGGTGATACTGTCCTACGTTGGGTACGTCACAGTGAAGACTGGGGCAGCACTGCCCAACAACTGGGATGAATTGGCAGTACGACGGCAGTGGCGGGAATGTCGGGCACCTGTGGTGACAGGTAAGGCCCAGTGTAACCGTAGTTATGCGTGACAAGAATACTCAGATTTAGCTGAACGTACTTTCAATGCAATCTCATCAAGTTTACTAAGTCTAAAATATATTTAGTTAGTTGGCTTTAAAGTGTGAGAAAGTGAAAACAGATAAATTTTATTTTATTTCAGTTTAACTGAAAGGTATATAAAAGCATCACATTTTTTCCGATCCATTTATGAATTATTCTACCTATTTTCAATGTAATGATGTTCGTTAAAACAGTGGGCTCTTTCAACTGGTGCGGCTTGAAAGGCTATAACATATCCTATCTATGTTTTGTTTTTACCAGTTTATCTGTCTGTACGCCGACATGCTCGAACCCTACCTACTGTCTGAGCAAATACCGTCTGTCGAATAAAAGTAATGTCATATAGATGAACAGCTGAAGTACAGCGTGTTTTCTTACTTGTCACTGCATGAGTACAGGCCATTTCCCTTGATCTGACAAGTACATGTAAACTTGCAGCCATCGTCCCAGGTCTCGCCGGGCCTGTGCATCACACCATTGTACACGCACACATCTATGGGAACAACGGGGTATGTCAAAAACACACGATTGGTTAGGCACGTTTTGGAGGTACACATACAGAAACGCATGCCTTAAATGAAAAACTCAAATGAATAAAAACAGCTCGCGTAAATAACGAATGAAACTTTTTCAGCAAGCGTACAAAGGAGCTAATTACCGAAACACAATTACGGGCTAATTTACTTTCCGAATCAAGCCTATATATTTAGAACAGTTATAAACATCTAAAACATTCTTTCATTTTTAAAAAATCCCAAAATGTTCACTAATTTTTGGGAAATACCCAATAGAGTGATAAAGAGATGAGTGAAAAAATATTGGTTACCCAATAAAAAATGTAATAACCCAATTAAAATAGCAACCCTAGAGTGAAAACGCAATTGCCCAAAACGTTATCTGGAGCTCTGTTCACATGAGTGGAAGTTACCTCTTCCTCCCATAGACGTGGAGTAGACTGTTCCCGGTGGGTGGCCGGAGCCAGAGAATACAGCGTGAGTGCCTATAGGCAGGACATTGGTGATTGAAGGACTGAGTGTTGGTGATGTGGTGGGTTGTTTGTTGCCAATCATGGGAGTGAGAGGTGTACCCTGGTAGTTACACGAAGGCTTCTTACAACAGGTGTCTTGAGGGTCCTGGACCATATGACAGAAGGACGGGATGGCGGCGATGACTGGACACCTGCAAGATGACGCACACCCACATTTCATTCTGGGCAGTCTTCAATCCTCCTCTATGACATGGACTGAATTGTGATCAGTCTAATAACGGAATATGGTGAATCTGGAGCTGCAGTTGCATTTATCTGAACACTGCATGTAGATTAGGAAACAGTGTATAACATGTCGACACAAAAGACAACATTAAAAACTCCCAATCAGTAATCACTAGTAGATGGTCTTCAATAAAATAAAACTTTCTCTCAATGTAACAATTCCCTGCACCTGCATTGGAATTGTGACTTTGGGAAACTAGTCAGACTTACAGCATAAATATCACCAACGCAGGTTTCGAGAAATCAAGGCAAATACGGTTCAGAGGACTAGATCGTCAACTATAAAACTGGCGTAATATTTCTTATTGCAAATCTAGCAACGGACTTGCTGAATGTATAGATCTACACCTTGGAAGGCAGGAGCGTTTCATATGATTTCCTAAATGCCATGTGTTTACTGAAGATCTCGTATAAACAATACAGAACATATGGATGTTACCTCTGGTTACACCTGATGTCGTTGGTGACCGAGTCCTGACAGGTACAGGTCTCCTTACAGCCGTTTGCCCAGGTCTGGCCTTTGGTGTGCAGTGTGCCGTCCTTGTACACACACGTATCTGTCAATACAGAGTGAGTGAGCCAATGCTATTTTACGCGACAGTCACTAAAGTAAGGCAATATGTTGACATATGTAGTAACCCAGTTGACATATGTAGTAACCCAGTTGTTGACATATGTAGTAACCCAGTTGACATATGTAGTAACCCAGTTGACATATGTAGTAACCCTTTCGTTGACATATGTAGTAATCCAGTTGTTGACATATGTACTAACCCAGTTGTTCACATATGTAGTAACCCAGTTGACATATGTAGTAACCCAGTTGACATGTGTCGTAACACAGTTGTTGACATATGTAGTAACCCAGTTGACATATGTAGTAACCCAGTTGACATGTGTAGTAACACAGTTGTTGACATATGTAGTAACCAAGTTGACATATGTAGTAACACAGTTGTTGACATATGTAGTAACCATGTTGACATATGTAGTAACCCAGTTGTTCACATATGTAGTAACCATGTTGACATATGTAGTAAAGGAGATTGGTGGCTTCAGAAAAAGCCTCCGACTAAACAGTATTTATTTTGAGTGTCAAATAGATACCTTTTACATGTGGGATTGTGCGGCACTTACTTGGTGGCCTGGTTCCAGTGAAGATGTCGTATGTTGTGTGTCTGACGGGCGGGGTCCCGCTCCCCCCAATACCTCCCACAGTATGAGGGTTGAGGGTATGTGTAGGGTTGTTGGAGAAGGAACCGAAGGATGGGCTTGGGCTCGGTGGTAAACCACTGCCCCCAAATCCCCCGCCATTGGTGGGTGTAACGTTGGTCAGATTGCCGTTTGGAGCCGGGGTAGGGGTGACAAAGGAGCCGGGACTTGGGGTGAGGAATGCTGATGGGTTACAGCGTGCCTGTTGGCAGCACGCGTCTCGGGAATCTGTTACATAGCTGCACTGCGGCGGCAGGAAGAAATATTGAGGACACCTGCAGCAGAACATCCACATGAGTGTACACAGGCCACATCTCAACATGGGACTTCCTAGTACAGCAATGTCAGGGTAGCACTTGGGCACTTAGACTACTGTTTAATTCAGCCAGAGAAATGCAAGATTGTTTCAGAATGATATGTGCTTAGTACTAGTCAAGATTAAGATTCAGTTAGATGATGCACAAGACCAACAATTGAGTCTTTATCTTTCGAAAAGCACAGACAATATTATACTAACGTTAACGACAACATACTCGAACTGGATTGGTTTATTCTTACTGTACCCAGTCATCACAACATTGACATGTAGATAATCCCCTATGAATGACTAAATATTGAATGTACGAGACAAGAACTCCAACAACCACCGACTACAACAGGTTGATTATTCCTCACTCAACAGCAGTTGCTAAACAGTATTCAATGTGTCCCTTCTTAAGCATGAGGATTACCTGTAGATCAATTGGTACATTTGATGTTTGAGATATCTGAATAAACGTTGCTGTGATCACCTTTTAAAGTAAATTTAGACATAAAGCTAAAGAATGACATAAAGCTAAAGAATGACATAAAGCTAAAGTATGACATAAAAGTAGGATGGCGGCGGCTGCAACGACACGCTGTAAGTAAGATTAAGATAAGAAATAATCACCTGTCTGTACATTTGTAGTTTCCTCGGACAGCGTCCACACATTCACACTTGTAGTTACATCCATCATTCCAGACCTGGCTCTGCTTGTACGTCACGCCCTTGTACACACACGAACCTGCGCAGAGACAGACACAGCACAGATAGACACAGGCTGCTGCGACAGGAACACTACACTGGCACGACATGTAACAGATTTTATCAACGTGTTATCAGCATGCTACAGTAGATCGCATGTTTTCTTAATTTAATATCCTTAGATTTCTCGTGAATATTTAAATATATTGGCCAAACTTAAAAACAATATTTGATATGATAATACATGTAGAACTGATAATTGTATGATATTGTGCATCGTGATCATTGTTAGTAATCATTGTTTCGGACCGCCGTCACATAGCTGGAATACTGTTGAGTGCGGCGTTAAACAACAAACAAACAAAACAAATATTGTTTTACTTAGATGACCTACCTCCAGAACCTGTTATTATGCTACCATATTGTGGATTCAGGTTGTTAGGACCATTTCCGCTGGTGCCGGAGAAAGTACCAGGGATACCTGTGGGTACTACATAACCATTGAAGCCGGGTCCATACCATGGAGATACACCAGGCGCATTGGACCCACTTGGTCCCGTCCCCGTATGTGGTGTGATTCCCATGCCGGTGCCACTGCCATATGTGGTGTGGGGCGGAATGTTGGACCCTGAGGGACCTACTCCTGTCCCAGGGGTTACAGCAATAGGAACCAGTGGCAGTTTGGTACAGTCGGGCACAAGGCAGCACGAGTCTTGTGGGTTAGTCTTCATGACGCAACCAGCAGGTACACTTCCAAATGATTTACACCTGTCGCAAAGTTGTACAGTTATGCGTTAGATGGCCCCACTGATGAACATATCATGCTATATAATGTTTCTTCAGACATTAATGGATTGCAACAACCTTGAAGAAAATACATCAAATTATCCAACCTTTCTCTGCACGTGTATCTCTGATTAGCAGCATCGTCACACACGCATGACTTATCACATCCGTCAGTCCAGCGGTCATCCTGGCGGTAGAAGCTGCCCTTGTAGACACACATCCCTATGACACATAAGGCAACGACAGTTAATTCTGCTGGTTCCATCAGCGTTTCTACAGATATATGATGTACACACCTCCCTAATTAATGTATCCTACTTACACGATGGATCCCCACATTTTAATGCCATACAGGTCAATATGATCAATGTATTCTATACTTAGAGATCGTCTCTTGCTAATTTCAACATCTTGCTAGGTATCGACCAAACGAACTAATATCTGGCCGATATAGTCGGGATGCAACATTAACGCCCAGTTTCAGTTGGTGGTGTTGAGATTTCAAGTGAAGGTGTCTGTGAGGGTGTTTAGTGACAGGGTGTGGTAGGTGGATGTTTGTTGGATGTGTTGTCGATATTACTTGATTAGTGTGACTATTTACATGATTGATGTCAGCTTGGTTGTATTTAATAATGTACATGAGTGTGAGTGAGTATGGTTTTACGCCGCTTTTAGCAATATTCCAGCAATATCACGGCAGGGGACACCTGAAATGGGCTTCATACATTGTACCCATGTCGGGAATCGAAAACAGTGTACATGACATGTGTATAGTTATTGATGTGCTGATGTATATACAGAGTTTAAGACATACTGTCTATATGAAGTGCATGTTGAGGAACTAGAGCGTATGTAGAAAACAGTGTACATGACATGTGTATAGTTACTGTTGTGCTGATGTATATACAGAGTTTAAGACATACTGTCTATATGAAGTGCATGTTGAGGAACTAGAGCGTGTGTAGAAAACAGTGTACATGACATGTGTATAGTTACTGTTGTGCTGATGTATATACAGAGTTTAAGACATACTGTCTATATGAAGTGCATGTTGAGGAACTAGAGCGTGTGTAGAAAACAGTGTACATGACATGTGTATAGTTACTGTTGTGCTGATGTATATACAGAGTTTAAGACATACTGTCTATATGAAGTGCATGTTGAGGAACTAGAGCGTGTGTAGAAAACAGTGTACATGACATGTGTATAGTTACTGTTGTGCTGATGTATATACAGAGTTTAAGACATACTGTCTATATGAAGTGCATGTTGTGGAACTAGAGCGTGTGTAGAAAACAGTGTACATGACATGTGTATAGTTACTGTTGTGCTGATGTATATACAGAGTTTAAGACATACTGTCTATATGAAGTGCATGTTGTGGAACTAGAGCGTGTGTAGAAAACAGTGTACATGACATGTGTATAGTTACTGTTGTGCTGATGTATATACAGAGTTTAAGACATACTGTCTATATGAAGTGCATGTTGAGGAACTAGAGCGTGTGTAGAAAACAGTGTACATGACATGTGTATAGTTACTGTTGTGCTGATGTATATACAGAGTTTAAGACATACTGTCTATATGAAGTGCATGTTGAGGAACTAGAGCGTGTGTAGAAAACAGTGTACATGACATGTGTATAGTTACTGTTGTGCTGATGTATATACAGAGTTTAAGACATACTGTCTATATGAAGTGCATGTTGTGGAACTAGAGCGTGTGTAGAAAACAGTGTACATGACATGTGTATAGTTACTGTTGTGCTGATGTATATACAGAGTTTAAGACATACTGTCTATATGAAGTGCATGTTGTGGAACTAGAGCGTGTGTAGAAAACAGTGTACATGACATGTGTATAGTTACTGTTGTGCTGATGTATATACAGAGTTTAAGACATACTGTCTATATGAAGTGCATGTTGAGGAACTAGAGCGTGTGTAGAAAACAGTGTACATGACATGTGTATAGTTACTGTTGTGCTGATGTATATACAGAGTTTAAGACATACTGTCTATATGAAGTGCATGTTGAGGAACTAGAGCGTGTGTAGAAAACAGTGTACATGACATGTGTATAGTTACTGTTGTGCTGATGTATATACAGAGTTTAAGACATACTGTCTATATGAAGTGCATGTTTAGGAACTAGAGCGTGTGTAGAAAACAGTGTACATGACAAGTGTATAGTTACTGTTGTGCTGATGTATATACAGAGTTTAAGGCATACTGTCTATATGAAGTGCATGTTGAGGAACTAGAGCGTGTGTAGAAAACAGTGTACATGACATGTGTATAGTTACTGTTGTGCTGATGTATATACAGAGTTTAAGACATACTGTCTATATGAAGTGCATGTTGAGGAACTAGAGCGTGTGTAGAAAACAGTGTACATGACATGTGTATAGTTACTGTTGTGCTGATGTATATACAGAGTTTAAGACATACTGTCTATATGAAGTGCATGTTGAGGAACTAGAGCGTGTGTAGAAAACAGTGTACATGACATGTGTATAGTTACTGTTGTGCTGATGTATATACAGAGTTTAAGACATACTGTCTATATGAAGTGCATGTTGTGGAACTAGAGCGTGTGTAGAAAACAGTGTACATGACATGTGTATAGTTACTGTTGTGCTGATGTATATACAGAGTTTAAGACATACTGTCTATATGAAGTGCATGTTGAGGAACTAGAGCGTGTGTAGAAAACAGTGGTTCGTGTTGAGGAAGTAGTGTGTGGGTAGAGATAAATGGAGGAGACATGGTGCATGTAGACGAAGCTGTGCGTGCAGTTGGTCTTGGGGAAGTGGCGCGTGTTGTTAAAGTGGTGCGTCTTGAGGAGGTGGAATAGAATCGTCATTGTCAAGCCACGTCAAGACAATAACGAGCTCGCCAAAAACACCACATCAACGGGTAGATACGGATAGGATGATTCCTGCTAGATTGAGGTAGGGGTAGGACCACGTTCCTGTGCATATACTGAACAAAATTAAAAACTTCACAATCCTAAAATTTTAACATTTTGACCAGTTATTATTGTGGGCCCTTATTGTGAATTTAAACAGTAATGGCCACGTATTGACTTCAGATAACACCCGTTTTTGTGCAGGTGAATCGATCAAAACCATGTGCACTGCACTACAGTGGCAAAAGTGATTTTTCACGTGCAACTGGTCACGTGGCCATAATACCGCACGTGTTTTCAGCCATACTTGTTAGAAGTCATTAACAAAAAAAGAAAAACACAAGAAAACAAAAGTCTTTACGGCCATTTGTCATGCCACGCCTTTCAAATGTGCAACGTGAACGTGCCATCGGCATGTTGCAGACGGGAACGTCCGTAGCTGAAGTCGCAAGGACGATGGGTTGTAGTCGACGGACTGTTTATGATTTACAGACGCGTCTACAGCAAACGGGTACCACCGCTGATCGCCCTCGGCCAGGTCGACCACGTGTGACGTCACATGCAGAGGATCGTCAGATTGTCTTACATCACCTCCGTAACCGATTTTTGACGGCTACATCAACCAGAAATGAACTGTTAAGGGGTAGACTGAGTGCGCCAACTGTTCGAAACCGTTTGAGAACTGCTCACCTTCAAGCACGACGGCCATACTGCGGGCCGATTCGGACTCAATTACACAGACGTCAACGCACATGGTGGCCATACACTCTACTGAACTTGTGTGCCATCAGAATCTCGTGCTTGGGACTTATGATTTAAACTGTTGATGTTATTACCGAATACCGTAGGTGCTTGGAACAAATTATGGTTACCACCGTTGATTAAAATCCTTCTTTGGACATTAATGATTAAAAATTACCTTCTCTGATACATTTGTCCGTTGTATATCATATATGGGATTACTTTTAAAAATGTAAAGTTTTTAATTTGACTCAGTATATAATATTGTATCTATATATAACTCTTTTTCATCTTACCAACGTTGACATTGTTGTTATGGTTGGCACTTAGTGGAGTTGTTCCGATCCCGGGAGTACCCGGAGTGGTCTGGCCCGGAGCAAGTGACGGATTCTGGACAGGGTTGGGCGTGGGGATACCGCCAGGGAAAGGTGTCGGATTGAGGAAGTCACAGTATGGAGTTTTACAACATTTGTTGTTAGGGTCCGGCAAAAGGACACAACGTTGAGGTAGATTTGGCACGCGCAGGCATCTGGAGGAATAACTCACACCTATACTGTATGGCAACACTGATGTACATAAAACGATTTTACTTTAACTGGAACTAAGAAAATAGATGTGGTATAAGTGTAACTGCGATATTAGGAATCACCCTTTCAATATGAACTATTTTATTAGACTTTCACTTCATAATACTTCATTAGATCTCCTTGTGCATGTTCATATAATATATCAATAATAGACAACTAACATTATAAACACGAAGAACCTGAAGTTTCCTGTAAACCTACTTCTCTGAGCACAGATACTGTCCAGAGTGGTCGTCCACACACTCGCAGCTGTAGTCGCAGCCATCATCCCACTTCTCACCCTGCTTGTATACACTGCCCTTGTACATGCAACCTGGCGGCACAGAAGGGATGTCATTACATTTAATGTCCCACATACACACAACACTGGGAGGTTGTATTCTGCCCTTGTACATGCAACCTGGCGGCACAGAAGGGATGCCATTACATTTAATGTCCCACATACACACAACACTGGGAGGTTGTATTCTGCCCTTGTACATGCAACCTGGCGGCACAGAAGGGATGTCATTACATTTAATGTCCCACATACACACAACACTGGGAGGTTGTATTCTGCCCTTGTACATGCAACCTGGCGGCACAGAAGGGATGTCATTACATTTAATGTCCCACATACACACAACACTGGGAGGTTGTATTCTGCCCTTGTACATGCAACCTGGCGGCACAGAAGGGATGCCATTACATTTAATGTCCCACATACACACAACACTGGGAGGTTGTATTCTGCCCTTGTACATGCAACCTGGCGGCACAGAAGGGATGTCATTACATTTAATGTCCCACATACACACAACACTGGGAGGTTGTATTCTGCCCTTGTACATGCAACCTGGCGGCACAGAAGGGATGTCATTACATTCAATGTCCCACATACACACAACACTGGGAGGTTGTATTCTGCCCTTGAACATGCAACCTGGCGGCACAGAAGGGATGCAATTACATTTAATGTCCGGCATGCACACAACACTGGGAGGTTGTATTCTGCCCTTGTACATCCAACCTGGCGGCACAGAAGGGATGCCATTACATTTAATGTCCCACATACACACAACACTGGGAGGTTGTATTCTGCCCTTGTACATGCAACCTGGCGGCACAGAAGGGATGACATTACATTTAATGTCCGGCATGCACACAGCACTGGGAGGTTGTATTCTGCTCTTGTACATGCAACCTGGCGGCACAGATGGGATGTCATTACATTTAATATCCCACATACACACAACACTGGGAGGTTGTATTCTGCCCTTGTACATGCAACCTGGCGGCACAGAAGGGATGTCATTACATTTAATGTCCCACATACACACAACACTGGGAGGTTGTATTCTGCCCTTGTACATGCAACCTGGCGGCACAGAAGGGATGCAATTACATTTAATGTCCGGCATGCACACAACACTGGGAGGTTGTATTCTGCCCTTGTACATGCAACCTGGCGGCACAGAAGGGATGACATTACATTCAATGTCCGGCATGCACACAACACTGGGAGGTTGTATTCTGCCCTTGTACATGCAACCTGGCGGCACAGAAGGGATGCCATTACATTTAATGTCCCACATACACACAACACTGGGAGGTTGTATTCTGCCCTTGTACATGCAACCTGGCGGCACAGAAGGGATGCCATTACATTTAATGTCCCACATACACACAACACTGGGAGGTTGTATTCTGCCCTTGTACATGCAACCTGGCGGCACAGAAGGGATGCCATTACATTTAATGTCCCACATACACACAACACTGGGAGGTTGTATTCTGCCCTTGTACATGCAACCTGGCGGCACAGAAGGGATGCCATAACATTTAATGTCCGGCATGCACACAACACTGGGAGGATGTACCCTGCCCTTGCACTTGCAACTAGATTTTAATAGGTTTAGCGAAAGAAAAACTTGCAATGGAAATGTTATGAGAAGAGACCAATGGGCGAACTGACCAGCCTTCGGAGCGGGCGTGGCGTTGGGGTTGTGTGACGGAGTAGGTCCGGGGGTGAAGTATGGATACACGGTCGGCCCTGGAGTCACAGGTTTCACTGGCCCATTGCCGCTAATGACGCCAGGTTTCCCCGTCACATGGATGTATCCGGGGGTCGGAGTTGCTCCGGACGGAACTAGTGGGCAGCTGGGAACTTCACAACAGGAAGGATCTTTGGGGTCAGGCATCAGCATGCAGTTGGGAGCCATACTGTATTTGGCACATCTAGCACAGACGAATGACGGTAATTATACAAGGGTTCTTCATAAAAGTCCATTACTCTCTTGATATAAATAAGGAAGGCAAGATCGGAATTTATTAATAAATTGCAATCGAATATGGTAATGTAGTTTTTTTTACAATAATCTTTGATTAATTGGAACCCAGGTTTGATAGGAAATTACCCTGTCATTTTGTCTTTGTTCACTTGTACCTATATATTGCATTTTTATTATCTGAAATTATCTATGAAATATGCAATCATCATCAGTCCTAATTACTAACCTCACGGCAGCGGTGTCTTCTGCTCTATGGGATACAATTTCATCACTCACCTCTCCTGGCATCGTACGTCTCCTGTGTCTCCACTCTCACAGCGGCAGGTCTTGGTACAGCCGTCATACCAGGTTTGTTGCTCGTGGTAATACTGATTCTTGTACACACACATTCCTAAAGAACAGATGCATGAATGAACACTCCGAATTATTATGAAAAACATAATGCCAACATTACAAACATATCTAAAAAGCGTCAGGTGAAATTATGAAGAAGGAACCTTCCAATTATTTAATACATATCTTCATGATGTCACGCTCAAGACATTTACAACTTCATAGCATCCGAAAGTATTTTATTTATACGTTTATCCATAGCTATGCACACGTATTACTGCGTGAGACGGACGGATTGCTTCTAATTATGATGATGTTAAAGTATTCTTTGATGATTAACCTTTAGGCCTTGGAACAGGGGTAGGTCCTGGCGTTGGCTGAACAGTGTATCCTGGTGGCAGAGTGGGACCGGGGTATGGTGTTGCTCCAGGCCAGGGAGTGTATCCGATTGGGTAGGGCGTTGGACCCAGGTACGGTGTAGCTCCTGGGAAAGGCGTAGCTCCTAGTGGGTACTTAGAAGGTCCAGGGTAAGGCGTGCCCCCATAGCGTACCGTGTATCCTATCGGCCATGGCGTAGGTCCTAGATAGACAGTGGCCCCTGGATATGGTGTAATTCCAATAGGCCAGATAGATGGTCCGGGATAGGGCGTCGCACCAGGCCATGGGGTGACGCCAACAGGATATGGTGTTGAGAATGGATTAATAGTACGACCTGGATAAGGCGTAGCACCTGGTGATGGCGTGTATCCTATTGGCCAAGGTGTAGGGCCGGCATATTTTGTGGCACCAGGATACGGCGTGTATCCAATAGGGTATTTAGATGGTCCTGGATAGGGGGTCACACCTTGAGATGGAGTATAGCCAATAGAATAAGGTGTTGGTCCAAGATAAGGTGTAGCGCCTGGGCTAGGTGTGTAGCCTATGGGGTATTTGTTTGGTCCTGGGTAAGGCGTTGCTCCTGGCCATGGTGTATAGCCAATCGGATATGGTGTACGTCCCGGATATGGTGTGCCTCCTGGTTGCACAGTGTATCCAACTGGCCATGGTGTTGGTCCTGCATATGGAGTAGCTCCTGGGTATGGGGGAATGTATCCAATTGGATAACGTGATGGTCCTGGGTATGGTGTTGCACCAGGGGATGGAGTAAATCCTATTGGCCATGGTGTTGGACCTAAGTAAGGTGTTGCTCCAGGGAAAGGCGTGTATCCAATGGGCATCTTAGATGGCCCTGGGTAAGGGGTAGCACCTTGAGATGGAATAAATCCAATGGGATAAGGTGTTGGACCGTAATATGGCGTTCCACCTGGAAATGGAATTGAGCCAATTGGATATCGTGATGGGCCTGGGTATGGTGTTGCTCCTGGGGATGGTACAAATCCAATAGGATATGGCGTTGGTCCAAGGTAGGGATTTGCTCCAGGGCTAGGTGTATATCCAATTGGGTACTTAGATGGTCCAGCGTACGGTATAGCGCCAGGGTATGGAGTATATCCAATTGGAACTGGTGTTGGACCAAGGTATGGTGTTGCTCCTTGAGACGGAGTATAGCCAATTTGCCAGGGGGTTGGTCCAAGATAAGGAGTAGCTCCTGGATATGGTGTTGCGCCAATAGGATATTTCGATGGTCCAGGGTAAGGTGTCGCACCAGGCCATGGTGTATAGCCTATGGGATATGGAGTAGGTCCAAGATATGGTGTGGCGCCAGGAGAGGGTGTGTACCCAATGGGATATCTATTTGGTCCAGGATAAGGAGTAGCTGAAGGCCATGGGGTGTACCCAATTGGCCATGGAGTTGGTCCAAGATATGGTGTAGCTCCTGGGCTTGGTGTATAGCCAATGGGGTATTTGCTTGGTCCAGGGTATGGTGTTGCTGATGGATAAGGCGTGTAACCAACTGGCCATGGAGTTGGTCCAAGGTAAGGTGTAGCTCCAGGGAATGGTGTGTATCCAATAGGGTGTATCGATGGTCCTGGGTATGGTGTAGCTCCTGGTGAAGGTGTATAACCTATTGGGTATGGTGTTGGTCCGGGGTAGGGAGTTGCACCAGGCCATGGTGTGTATCCAATTGGGTAAGGTGTTGGTCCAACATATGGGGTAGCACCTGGGCTAGGTGTGTATCCAATTGGGTATCTAGTTGGCCCAGGATAAGGTGTTGCGCTTGGATAGGGCGTGTAACCAATGGGATAGGGCGTGGGTCCGAGGTATGGTGTTGCACCAGGATATGGAATGTAACCAATTGGATATTTTGATGGTCCCGGGTAAGGTGTTGCTCCTGGAGATGGAGTATATCCTATTTTCCATGGTGTTGGTCCAAGGTAAGGTGTGGCACCAGGACTTGGTGTATAGCCAATTGGATATTTTGAGGGACCTGGATATGGTGTAGCCCCAGGGAAGGGGATATATCCTATTTTATATGGAGTAGGTCCGAGGTAGGGTGTTGCACCAGGAGATGGAGTGTAGCCTATGGGATATCTGGATGGTCCAGGATAAGGTGTTGCATATGGCCATGGCGTGTAACCAACTGGCCATGGAGTTGGTCCAAGGTAAGGTGTAGCTCCAGGGAATGGTGTGTATCCAATAGGCTGTATCGATGGTCCTGGGTATGGTGTAGCTCCCGGTGAAGGTGTATAACCTATTGGGTATGGTGTTGGTCCGGGGTAGGGGGTTGCACCAGGCCATGGTGTGTATCCAATTGGGTAAGGTGTTGGTCCAACATATGGGGTAGCACCTGGACTTGGTGTATAGCCTATTGGGTACTTAGAAGGCCCTGGGTAAGGAGTAGCAGATGGGTATGGTGTATAACCAATTGGGTATGGAGTTGGTCCAAGATATGGTGTTGCACCAGGGTATGGAGTATATCCAATGGGATATTGTGATGGTCCTGGGTATGGTGTGGCATAAGGGTATGGCGTGTAGCCAATTGGATATGGAGTAGGCCCAAGGTATGGAGTAGCTCCAGGTGAGGGTGTGTAACCGATTGGATATTTGGACGGACCTGGATATGGCGTTGCTCCTGGGTATGGTGTGTATCCAATTGGGTAAGGTGTTGGTCCCAGATAGGGTGTTGCACCTGGTAATGGCGTGTATCCAATAGGGTACTTAGAAGGCCCTGGATATGGAGTTGCTCCAGGGAATGGGGTATATCCTATGGGGTATGGCGTAGGTCCTAAGTACGGTGTTGCTCCTGGATAAGGAGTTGCTCCAATGGGATATTTTGATGGCCCTGGGTACGGTGTTGCCCCTGGAAATGGAACATATCCAATGGGATATGGTGTTGGTCCTAAATATGGCGTTGCGCCTGGGTAAGGTGTGTATCCAATTGGGTATTTAGACGGACCAGGATAAGGTGTAGCACCTGGGAGGGGTGTGTATCCAATGGGATATGGCGTCGGTCCAAGATATGGTGTTGCTCCTGGTGAAGGTGTTTGACCAATAGGATACAGCGATGGTCCTGGATAAGGTGTTGCTCCTGGGTATGGGGTGTAGCCAATTGGATATGGTGTTGGTAGAAGAACAGTCTGAGTGGGAACAATGGTTGGACAGTAGACAACTCTGCAGCATTTATTCTTTAGATCCTGAATCAAACTGCAGCTTGCAGGTACGTTGGGAGTCTTGGCACACCTAGAATCACGAATAAGATCGTTTTATTGCATATGGAATATAGGACATTACCGATTTTAACAATGAAATATTGCAAGTGTTTCATACTGACTTTTCATTGCACTTGTATTTGCCGCTGTGGTCATCAAGACACTCGCAAGTGTAGGTGCATCCATCATCCCAGGTCTGTCCCTGTGTGTAGGTGCGGCCGTGATACATACAGCCTGCTGAAAGACGAAGTAAGTGTAAGCGTGTTAATGCCTTCATCCCCCATCAAACCACCACAGTCGACAGAACAAAAGCACTGTTTGTTTTCTACTTGTAACGGTATGACTTTGACTTACTTGTTTTTGTCAGAGGATTGGGGTTACTTGGTGGCAAGCTTTGTCCAGTAATCGAACCAGGCATTCCTGTAAGAATATGCTGGTTACCATTGGTGTTAGGGCTGTTGCACTTTGGAATTTGACAGCAAGCATCATTGGGGTCAGTTATCATCGTACATCCAGGCTTCAGTTGTGGGTATGTAGCACACCTGGGACAGAAAACTATAATATAATCATGAGTGACATATATACTTTTAACTTTCCACTTTAATCATATTTGTGGTATAGAAAATATGATACACTGGTGGACGATGTAGTGGAAGTTTGTGTGACTACACAGGCTTAAGGTTCACCTGTCATCACAGTTGATCTGGCCTGTCTTGGCGTCCTCACAGCTGCACACCTTGTCACACCCAACGTTAACAGTCTGGCTTTGCTTGATGGGCACACCATTGTACACACAGAAATCTACATTAAACATAGCAGAGTCATTATTATAGGGACACACGGGTATCGGAACTCGCACAATATAAAATGGGTATAAGTATATATAAAGGTTAGATGATAGTTAAATGTTAGTTAGTGTCTGTGGGATTGTTGTGACTGTCTTGTTTTACAGCAAGATACATTTAAAACAAAATCTAAACAAGTAATTGGAATACAGGGTGCTATATCAATGGTCTTTTGACAAATCCACCTGTACAATATTGGAATGTGCCATTATAACTATCAACACGAAGATCGTGCCTCACCTAGAGAAGGGTTGATTGGGGGTGAGGATGTAGGTGCAGGTGTTTGTCCCGAGGGTGGCTTGATGGCTGGGCCCGGAGTTGGGGCCGAGCAGTCAGGCGTCATGCAACAGGGGTTGGTAAAGTCTGCTATCATGCGACACCCAGGTGCCATGTTTGGGTACTTTGGGCATCTACAATACAGAAAACATTCACAGTGCGCCTTCGATCATGCAAACTGTAACCATATAACTGAATCTACATTGATAACATCATTCAAGAAATAGATTAATTGTGATAATAAAGGGTCCAACAGTCTGACATAGACATTTATCTAGATTGTATAATAATGGGCAGGATATAAGTGTGCAGTTGTGTTACATGTTCCAGTGACCTACAACCTACTTCTCAGTGCACTGGTATTTGCCAGTCATGCCATCCTCACACACACATGTGTAGTCGCAGCCATCCGCCCACCTCTGCCCAGGTGTGTACAGTTTGCCCTTGTACACACACCCTGAAACACATCCTTCATTATATGACACAAAATTGACACAAAGAACTAATATAATTCAAGGAATTTTGACAAAGGGTTAAGAAATAATTGCTTTTGAGCTACCCTTATTTAAATAAAATGCAGTTATTTAAGATTGCCAAGTTTGTCAAGCAACAATTATTTATCAGATGCACTATAACCAATAATCCGTTTGAAATGTATACCCCCACTATGTAGCGTCTACCTGATGCTGGTGTCGGTTGCTGGTGGTCACCGGGTGTCGGAGTGATGCCTCCTGGGACTGGAGTGGCTTGAGGGGCGGGTGTAGGCGGCTTGCCATAGCCCGTGATAGTACCCTGTATTCCAGTGGGGGTTTGGTGGGGCTGGTTGTTACACTGGGGGGCCTGGCAGCACGTGGGGTCCAGTGGGTCTGGCACCATGACACAATTAGGGGCGATGCTGGGGTAGCTCGGGCACCTTGGTACCAAGTGCAGGTTATTACAACAAGGTAAGTTGAATTTGGCACTGTAAACCGACTGTGAGTGACACGATTTGATCAACTGGCAATGATATGTATTTGCCCAACACGTTACAACACATTCTATAAAAGTGACGTTTACATTTGCTTTCCCATTCTGTCCAGTTCTCGTATTTATTGTACTTGTACCGTGTCTCACCTGTCCACGCACGAGTAGTGGCCACTTGATGAATCGTCACAAACACACTTTTTATTACAGCCATCAAAGAACTGCTGGCCTTGTGTGTAGGGCTGTCCCTTGTACACGCATGCATCTGTGATAAGTGTCGAATGAGCTCACAAATCTCAAAACGGGTTCCCACATATTAATAGCAACTATGTTCTAAACAAAGCATATCATACATGTAAACAATCAATGAATAGTGAGCTCTTTTACATATATTATGTATTTGTATTCACAAAATATTAATAGACAAGTTATGGACTAACGGTACGTGTTTCTTGGCAGTTCTTACTTTTTGGGGTTGGTGTTCCTTGTGGATTTGGCGTCGAGAAAGGGTTGGGAGGTTTCGGTGTTTGTGTGGCAAAGGGATTTGGCCGCGGGGTCGTCAGCAGTGGTGACAGGGTAGGGCAGTCTGGCTTCTTGCAACATGTGTCATACGGGTCCTGAATGACGTTACAGTAGGCGGGAATGCTGGCAATTTTATTGCATCTGAAAAAAAAAATGTTTCAAAGGAAGTTTGGAATAGTGTCTGCAGGTAGTCATGTGGTATGCTTTCCAGCTAGTTTACATACTTAGGCTATATACATGTACGTGTTTTTACCCAAACTGTGTTTCCTTGACCCATTGTTCAGTGTGACGTCATACCTCTCTGTACATGTGTACTTCCCACTCTTCTCATCTACACATTCACAATTATAGTCACAGCCATCTTGCCATCTGTCTCCCTGCTTGTACATCTGGCCCTTGTAGATACAGAACCCTGGAATACAGCAAAGAGGTATTTTCAGTCAATGGACATTGACTCATTAGGAGTAAATGAGTACACATAATTTAGCATATGTTTTATAATTAGCGGTGACACGCAGAGGAGATAGGAACAACGCATTGACACATATATCTAGCCACAGGTGACAAACGGGATAAGCAGTTTGTAACTTATACTGCGATCGCAGTCGAATTGATAAGACCACTGCCCAATACTTTCTACTTAGTGTGGCATGAAATATGCTATTTCCCCAGATGATATTTTACTGTATGAGTACCTTGGTTGGTGAGTGGGTTCTTGTTTGCATTTTCTCCACCAATAGTGCCATGAGGAATAATCGTAGGCTGGGGATAGGGGTTAGGTGTAGGGTTCACATTAGGATTAGAGCTTGGTCCCACATTGGGAGATGGCGTTGGCGTTTGGACACAATGAGGAATTCGACAGCAGGCATCGTTGGGGTCGACGTCCTGGGTGCACGTCGTAGACGGCGGTAGGTTGTAACTCGGACACCTGACATACAAGTTTGGGATTAGCAGGACTTCTGTTTATGGCGCCTTTGATAGATCTGTTTTGGGAAGGTCAAAAGAACTGACCCTCTTTAGATATTCTTGATTCTTCAATTACGCTTGTGCATACCTGTTGAAGCATGTGTAATAATTCCTGGAGGCATCATCACACCGACACCTCTGTAAGCACCCCTCCGTCCACTCTTTGCCTTGGCGGTACGGCACGCCCTTGTACATACAGAAATCTGGGGCACGGAATAGATATGCCATTTGTAATGCCAGGATAACTATTACCTTTCTCATATATTAAAGTAATGGTTATGGAAAATCTAGTCAGTAAATGAATATTTGTGTAAAGCTCTGGAAATTTTCTAGCATATTTAATCACATTAAAACAGATAAAAAGGATGTAATTGATTAGATGGGAAAATACGAAATCACATTTGCAAATCGTGCAAGTGGGTGATCATCAATGCAATTTGTTCAGTAATACTCGCTTTTTATGACTTCATGTGACATTTTACATGTTGTAGTCACTGATAGAACAGACAAATCCTTACATGGAACCAATATGTTTGACCCAGTCTGAAATATTGTCACATATGAACTCACTTGCCACGGGTCCTGGCGTCTGGTTGGGATTAGGTGTAACGTTAGGTCCTGGTGTCTGGTTGGGACCTGGCGTTGGGGTCTGGAATGGGTTGATGGTAGGTTTGGAGAAGTCACACACCATCTTGTAGCAGCAGAAATCAGTGTCCGTATCTCTCCGAAGTGAACATTGTGGTGGAATGAATGGATACTTAGCACATCTGCAAAATACACACTATCTACGTTGTAGGAGAACTTGAAACATGCAACACTTGTCAACTAATAGTTATTTAATACTTATTTAGAAATTTTCATTTATGAAAAATCGTGATACAATACGGCTAACCTCTCATTGCACTTATATTTGCCCGTCACTTCGTCTTCACACACGCAGTTGTACTGGCAGCCATCTTGCCATCTTTCTCCCTGTCGGTACGTGTGGCCCTTGTAGATGCACGCCACTGGAAACCAAAATGTAACTTCTAATGCTGTCCATTTAAGTTTTTAAAGAGGGCGAGTTTCCTTGACTACGTGAATCTTGGCTCTTACGTGTTGGTGCTGGTGTCTTGCCGTCTGGTCCAGGTGTAGGGGTGGGAGCAACTCCAGTCACAAAGCCAGGCACGTTGGTCACGACTGAGGGCGTGGGTGATACGCCTGGCACAGGGGTGGGGTAGCCATTAGGCCCGGGGGTAGGGGTACACTCAGGAACCTGACAGCACTGTGGGTCTTTGGGATCAGCAACCATGCGGCATTGCTGTGGAACGTTGTCGTATTTGGCACACCTACATACATATAGGTTTTTCTTAAAAACCATACACTAGCTCGCTTTTTTCCTAGAATCTAATATGAAGGAAAACTTACCGAATCAGGACGTATTCCCATTTTAACATGGAACAAAACAACTAATAAGGAATTGATGTCATGAAATGATTTTGTTCATATACTACATCACATATAATGCATCATAATACATGAACACTAATTTCAATGTTACTTGAGAGCACTTACATGAAACAGGTACATTTGGGGAAAGGGCTAAAACAGAGCTGTGACATTAATGGTAGTTCTGCATTATTCGTCATTAATTCAGCCGCATTACATGATTCCCTTACAACATGCTCCTGAAAGGTCATGGCTTACCTGTCACTGCATCTGTAGAAACCAGTTTTCCCATTTTCACATATACAGGACTTTGTGCATCCATCGTACCATTGCTGGCCCTGGACATAGCTGGTTCCTTGGTACACGCACACGCCTACAAATCAACACATTCACAACTACAGTTTACCTTCAAAACGTAACCTTACAGAAACACAATAGACTTATATATTGGCATGCTAGTTGCTTTATTGGTACAATGTTTGGTATAATGGTATGATTTGTGGTATGTTAGTATGATGTTTTGGAAGATTGGTATTATCTATATGGTTCATTGGTTTGATATTTGGTGCATTTATATGATGTTTTGTTATTAGTATTATGTATGTTATATTGGTATGATATTTGGTACATTGGTACAACGTTTGGTATATAGGTATGATGTTTGGTTCATTGGTACAACGTTTGGTACATTGGTACTACGTTTGGTATATAGATACTGCGTTTGGTATATAGATATGATGTTTGGTATATTGGTACAGCGTTTGGTACATAGGTACACTGGTACAACTTTTGGTATATTGGTACGATGTTTGGTACAATGGTACGATGTTTGGTACATTGTCACAACGTTTGGTACATAGGTATGATGTTTGGTATATTGGTAGGATGTTTTGTACATTGGTACGATGTTTGGTATATTGTTAGGATGTTTTGTACATTGGTACGATGTTTGGTATATTGGTGGGATGTTTGGTATATTGGTATGATGTTTGGCATATAAGGACGATGTTTGGTAAACTGTTACGATTTTGTTATATTGGTATGATGTTTGACATATAAGGACGATGTTTGGTATAATGGTACTATTTTGGTATATTGGTATGATTAGGGGCATATCGTATGGTGTTTGGTATGTCGGTTCGATGTTTGCTACATCGGTATGATTTTTGGTATATGGGAATGATAACCCTATATTGGTATTGGGTTTGCCATATTGGTATGGTGTTTGGTATATTGTTATGATGTTTGATATATCGGTATGATAACCCTATATCGGTATGATGTTTTGTATATTGGTATGATGTTTGGTATATTGGTATGATGTTTGATATATCGGTATGATGTTTTGTATATTGGTATGATGTTTGGATTATTGATATGATGTTTGATATTTCGGTATGATGTTTGGCATATTGGTATGATGTTTGGTATATTGGTATGGTGATGATAAATATACTGGTGTGATGTGTAGTATATAGGTATTAGGCCAGTCACCTGTAGGTGTTGGTAAAACACCACCAGTCCCGGGTGTTGGACTGAACCCTGGTGACACGTTGCTCCCGGGGGTCGGGGCGGGCGTGTTTTGAGGGCTTGGAGTCAAACCAGTGAGCGGGTTGCATATTGGCTTCTTGCAGCAGTTGTCATTGGGATCCACGGCCATTACACAGAAGGGTGGTGGGTTTAAGAAAACTGAACACCTATATTATGTACAAAAATACAAAATATTATGTATGACTACATAGCCAATGCAGCACCAGAATGCATCTGTCCAGATACTCATTTGTTAAAGAGTATATGTTGTGACACCTCACTATTAGAGAGTTATAGGTGAGGATGTGATATACTAACATGATGTGTATGATATGCTACTGCTTGAAAATTAAATATAATTTACCTAATATTTTTTAACAATTATGAACGTATGTGACCATATATGATATTGTGATGCAGTTCTATAGCTACACATTATACAGTTGTGTCACCTCTCTGTACAGGTGTATTTGCCGTTGTGCTGATCAGTGCATTCACACTGGTAGTCACATCCATCCGTCCATGTCTGTCCCTGTGTATACACAACATTGTTGTATAGACACACAGCTGCAAAGAGAGACATCATTATTCACACAGCTGTAAAGGCACATGCCATTAGTCACACAGCTGTAAAGGCACATCTCAGTAGTCACACAGCTGTAAAGGCACATGCCATTTTTATTAGAATGTCCAAAACTTTCAGAAATTAGAAACAAGTTTTTGCCTCAATACTACTGTATGTATCCTTCTGCCGTAAAATTCTCTCATTTGATGACCATTACTTATAAGCCAATTCTATTAAAACTGGCAAGTTATATAAGATCATGTATGGAAATGTTCCACTGACATGTTTTCTTCATTGTATTTAATTCCTGTGTCCAATTACATCTCTGTATCACTGCCGTGATTTACGAGAATAAACATCATTCATTCATTCATTCATTAGTCACACAGCTGTAAAGGCACATGCCATTAGTCACACAGCTGTAAAGGCACATGCCATTAGTCACACAGCTGTAAAGGCACATGTCATTAGTCACACAGCTGTAAAGGCACATGCCATTAGTCACACAGCTGTAAAGGCACATGTCATTAGTCCCACAGCTGTAAAGGCACATGTCATTAGTCACACAGCTGTAAAAGCACATGCCATTAGTCACACAGTTGTAAAGGCACATGTCATTAGTCCCACAGCTGTAAAGGCACATGTCATTAGTCACACTGCTGTAAAGGCACATGCCATTAGTCACACAGCTGTTAAGGCACATGCCATAAGTCACACAGCTGTAAAGGCACATGCCATTAGTCACACAGCTGTAAAGGCACATGCCATCAATCACACAGCTGGAAAGATAAATGATGTTAGTCAGACAATTGTTAAGATACACGTTATTAGTCACAGAGCTATAAAGTTACACGATATCAGTCGCACAACTGTAAAGGTACATACTTCAGTCACACAATTGTGAAGAGACATATCATGAAAAACAAAACTGTAAAGACACACCCCATTGTTCACACAACTTAAATACACTCACCATCAGTCACACAACCGTGAAAAAAAGCGACAAAACCCTTTCCAGAATCATAACAGACCTCTGCCAAAAGCAGTGTTGATTGTACGAATCCGACTTTATCATGACAATGTGTTAATGAATCACTATGAAATAGTGATGATACCAAGCGGCACCGGTGGCACCCGTCACAAACACATGCAAATGCAAGTCAATTGTTCACCTTAAAAAACACGGAAACATGTCTGCCATAAAACGCTTTGAAAGCTTTCCTGAGGCCTTGAATGTTCAAAGAATCGTGTGTTGAAAGTGGTATCTTGGTAATAGGAGTATGCTCGATTGTACCTAAAAGAGGTGAAATGTAGACAGCAAAGGCTGGAGCTGCTGGAATATTGCTCGACATAAAAGGAAAATTAACTATTGTAAAGTTGAAGTCCTCCCTCTTGTGATACAGAAGGGGAGAACAAGTGGTGCCCGTGCGGACGCCTACTTCTTGCCTGAATGTATAATCCCCATATTTGACATAGATATTATCAATGAGGAAGTCCAGCATTTCACATTTTGTTTTCTCAGTGAACTTCATATGGCATTTGCTTTCATTGTTGACAAATTGTCCTGAACCTCTGAAGATAGATATGTAACTGTATCCATGGTCTCCACGAATAGTAACAAATGCCCCCCGGATCAAGGAATGACGCTTTCTCTCAGATTTAATCACACACTTACTTGTAGAGAGACACGCCATTAATTACTCACTTGTAGAGAGACACGCCATTAATTACTCACTTGTAGAGAGACACGCCATTAATTACTCACTTGTAGAGAGACACGCCATTAATTACTCACTTGTAGAGAGACACGCCATTAATTACTCACTTGTAGAGAGACACGCCATTATTCACACACTTGTATAGAGACACGCCATTAATTACTCACTTGTAGAGAGACACGCCATTAATTACTCACTTGTAGAGGGGACACGCCATTATTCACACACTTGTAAAGATATACGCCATTATTCACACACTTGTAAAGAGACACGCCATTATTCACACACTTGTAAAGAGACACGCCATTATTCACACACTTGCAAAGAGACACGCCATTATTCACACACTTGTAAAGAGACACGCCATTATTCACACACTTGTAAAGAGATACGCCATTATTCACACACTTGTAAAGAGATACGCCATTATTCACACACTTGTGAAGACATACGCCATTATTCACACACTTGTAAAGAAGTACGCCATTATTCACACACTTGTAAAGAAGTACGCCATTATTCACACACTTGTAAAGAAGTACGCCATTATTCACACACTTGTAGAGAGACACGCCATTATTCACACACTTGTAAAGACACGCCATTATTCACATACTTGTAAAAATATACGCCATTATTCACACACTTGTAAAGAGACACGCCATTATTCATACACTTGTAAAGAGATACGCCATTATTCACACACTTGTAAAGAGATACGCCATTATTCACACACTTGTGAAGACATACGCCATTATTCACACACTTGTAAAGAAGTACGCCATTATTCACACACTTGTAAAGAAGTACGCCATTATTCACACACTTGTAAAGAAGTACGCCATTATTCACACACTTGTAGAGAGACACGCCATTATTCACACACTTGTAAAGACACGCCATTATTCACATACTTGTAAAAATATACGCCATTATTCACACACTTGTGAAGAGACACGCCAGGAACAGGACAAATCCTGGTGTACCTACACGTGTTCTGGGGCTTATTCTTGTCGGGGTTGTTGACAGTCTGTCCGGTGATCTTGCCAGGCGGTGCAGTGGGGAACAGGTATGGCTTCGGAGTGGCAATAATGTTTGGGTTGATCCCTGGGCCATAGGTTGGTGGGATGGAGGGAGATACACCAGGGGCATAGGTTACTTGGCCGGGAGTAGGATTTGTATTTGGAATGGGGCTGCAGTATGGCACACGGCAACAGGAATCACTTGGGCTAGTAGTCAGGCGACAGCCCTCAGGAACTGTGTCATACCGAGCACATCTAAAAACGGAAAGCACTGATATAAATGTATTTGCTCTTTGAGTCCTTTCATCTCGGGGAAGACACACTTGTAACACAAGCGGTGAGTCCACATGTTTGTGTGTGCATGACCTGTTGTTGATGTTAAACATTTAGACCAATGCTCAAAACGAGTTTTCCATTTTGTGTTTTTTTTAAACATATTCGGTTCTATGCGCACCTCTGATCGCATCTGTACACTCCCTTGACGGAGTCCTCACAGGTACACTTGAGTTGACAGCCATCATTCCAGGTCTGATCTTTGTCGTAGGCCACTCCATTGTACACACACATCTCTGAAAACACAGCATGCCACACACCGTTAAGAGGGCCATGGAACAAATTCCACAAAGAAAACTGAAATCTGCTGGTGAAGCCTGGTTTTCACATCGCCAGATATTTTTTTTTGTCTCGAAAAGTTATAATACTGGAGGAAGTCTACACTGCATACTTTTGGGAATGGGCGAAGCATTAGGGGAGACGCCTGGTAGACCGGTACCCGAGACTGAACCATGGCCCGGGGTGAAGTCACAGTAGGGCTTCTCACAACATGGGTTGTAGACATCTTGCACCATCCGACACTGACTAGGGATGGAGCCGAAGCGGGGACACCTGGACACAACAGAATATGTTGAAATACATTTTCAATGCAACTCAATGAATGTTTCTGTTACCTAATAACATAATACGAATGCGGCCGTTAACCAACAAACAAACAAAACAAAACTGACCGCTCTGTGCACTTGTATCTGCCGGCAGCATCAAGGCACGCGCAGTTGTAGTCGCAGCCATCTTGCCACTGCTCTCCATTCTGGTATGTCTTCCCCTTGTAAACACATACACCTACACAGCAACACAAAGCAGCATCCATCACATCTACTATAAGTGATTATGGTTTATTTGCGGCATCCAAACTGACATGCTGTGGCATAAATACCTCGCAGTTCTACCGTAATGTAGGATTCAGACGTACCTTGGGGGAACGGCGCTGGAGTATACTGTGGGTAGAAGCCCGGGGAGGGCGACACACCGGGGTGTGGAATTGGGGTCACGTTAGGCCCTGGAGTAGGGATCACGGCACCACCATTGATGGTCCCTGGGGCTACAGAAGGCAGGACAAACCCTGTGATGTTGCCGGAATGAGGATGGAAGTCACACTTGGGTACCGTGCAGCAGAAAGGGTCTTTAGGGTCAGCCACGAGACTACACTCGGACGGCAGCTTATCCCATGTCGGACACCTTGTTAGACCAAGACAATAAAATAGGATTGTTGCAACTTGTGCAAACAATTTTTGCTTTAATCATCCTCTTTATTGTCCATAGAAATAAGAGAGTCCATAAATAGTAATTCCACAAAAGAACCAGGTGGCACAAACGTCATTGTTTACACTATGAGGATAGGGGGAGTTTCTCAACATGGCCCGTCACTGTACAGACGCTTATAACAATGAATACAAATTACATTCCTTTGTTTGTCATACTGATTTTCCAAAACTCGTCTTAGAATACACGTATTTCCATTCCAAAAAATATTCTGACATTGTTTTTTATATTATATTATTATACAACACACACGATGATGTAATAATGTGCACACCCCAGCCACTCACACACTAACCTGTTGTCACATCTGTAGACGCCCTGGTCAGCATTCTCACACACACACTTGTAGGTACACCCATCAAACCAGGTTTGACTCTGTGTATAGGGCTGGCCCCGGTATATACACACAGCTGAGAAAGAGGTAGGTCAGTTTCAACATGGTTCACCAGCTGCTTGTTTGTTGCATAATGTAAAGCTTTATATCAGGGAAACATAAAATCAGATACTTTTGACGACTTTTCTTTGTGTTCACCTGGTGTAGATACTCTGCAGAATGTAACAGTTAGTTAATATACTCACATTTGGGCAGTTTAGGCGTTGGCCTAACATTGGGGTTTGGGGTGGCTCCACTTCCTGGTGAGGGAGTGACATTAGGCTTGGGTGTTATTTGTCCACTGCCTGAGATCTGACCGTTTGTGCCAGAGAAAATACAGTCTGGAGTCATGCAACAGGGGTTGCTTGCATCTTTCACCAATGTACACTGCGGGGGAAGGTTGTTGTACCGCGCACATCTGGGAACAACAATAGGAATCTGTCAATATGAAGTACATGTTGCAGGAATTTTCAGCATTAGTGTGACGGTTCTTAAAAGTTTCATCCTTGAATTTGTAAAACGAGCTGCTAACAAAATCTCTCATAAGCTTTTCATAAAGCACACATGTACTATTAATAATGCGATTTCAGAATATACTCAAAATGGTGAACAACATGGTACAGAACGGATGTTGATTAGGAAGGTGTCAAGACCTATCACATACTTCTCCTTGCATACATATTTCCCATTGAGTGCGTCTTGGCAAGTGCAGTGGTAGGTACATCCATCCTCCCATTCCTGGCCCTGTTGGTACACGTGGCTCTTGTAGATGCAGTGGTCTGATAGAACAGCAACATGTCAGTTACTTCCCAGGTCTGACAACAACATGTCAGTTACATGCCAGGTCTGACAGCAACATGTCAGTTACTTAACAGGTCTGACAGCAACATGTCAGTTACTTAACAGGTCTGACAGCAACATGTCAGTTACTTAACAGGTCTGACAGCAACATGTCAGTTATTTGCCAGGTCTGACAACATGTCAGTTACTTAACAAGTCTGACAACAACATGTCAGTTACTTGCCAGGTCTGACAGCAACATGTCAGTTACTTAACAAGTCTGACAACAACATGTCAGTTACTTGCCAGGTCTGACAGCAACATGTCAGTTACTTAACAGGTCTGACAACAACATGTCAGTTACTTAACAAGTCTGACAACAACATGTCAGTTACTTAACAGGTCTGACAACAACATGTCAGTTACTTAACAAGTCTGACAACAACATGTCAGTTACTTGCCAGGTCTGACAGCAACATGTCAGTTACTTGCCAGGTCTGACAACAACATGTCAGTTACTTAACAGGTCTGACAACAACATGTCAGTTACTTAACAGGTCTGACAACAACATGTCAGTTACTTGCCAGGTCTGACAGCAACATGTCAGTTACTTGCCAGGTCTGACAACAACATGTCAGTTACTTAACAGGTCTGACAACAACATGTCAGTTACTTAACAGGTCTGACAACAACATGTCAGTTACTTAACAGGTCTGACAGCAACATGTCAGTTATTTGCCAGGTCTGACAGCAACATGTCAGTTACTTACCAGGTCTGACAACAACATGTCAGTTACTTAACAGGTCTGACAACAACATGTCAGTTACTTGCCAGGTCTGACAGCAACATGTCAGTTATTTGCCAGGTCTGACAGCAACATGTCAGTTACTTGCCAGGTCTGACAACAACATGTCAGTTACTTAACAGGTCTGACAACAACATGTCAGTTACTTAACAGGTCTGACAACAACATGTCAGTTACTTAACAGGTCTGACAACAACATGTCAGTTACTTAACAAGTCTGACAGCAACATGTCAGTTACTTACCAGGTCTGACAACAACATGTCAGTTACTTAACAGGTCTGACAGCAACATGTCAGTTACTTGCCAGGTCTGACAACATGTCAGTTACTTAACAAGTCTGACAACAACATGTCAGTTACTTAACAGGTCTGACAGCAAAATGTCAGTTACTTAACAGGTCTGACAACAACATGTCAGTTACTTAACAAGTCTGACAACAACATGTCAGTTACTTACCAGGTCTGACAACAACATGTCAGTTACTTAACAGGTCTGACAACAACATGTCAGTTACTTGCCAGGTCTGACAGCAACATGTCAGTTATTTGCCAGGTCTGACAGCAACATGTCAGTTACTTGCCAGGTCTGACAACAACATGTCAGTTACTTAACAGGTCTGACAACAACATGTCAGTTACTTAACAGGTCTGACAACAACATGTCAGTTACTTAACAGGTCTGACAACAACATGTCAGTTACTTAACAAGTCTGACAGCAACATGTCAGTTACTTACCAGGTCTGACAACAACATGTCAGTTACTTAACAGGTCTGACAGCAACATGTCAGTTACTTGCCAGGTCTGACAACATGTCAGTTACTTAACAAGTCTGACAACAACATGTCAGTTACTTAACAGGTCTGACAGCAAAATGTCAGTTACTTAACAGGTCTGACAACAACATGTCAGTTACTTAACAAGTCTGACAACAACATGTCAGTTACTTAACAGGTCTGACAACAACATGTCAGTTACTTAACAAGTCTGACAACAACATGTCAGTTATTTGCCAGGTCTGACAGCAACATGTCAGTTACTTAACAGGTCTGACAGCAACATGTCAGTTACTTAACAGGTCTGACAACAACATGTCAGTTACTTAACAAGTCTGACAACAACATGTCAGTTACTTAACAAGTCTGACAACAACATGTCAGTTACTTAACAGGTCTGACAACAACATGTCAGTTACTTAACAAGTCTGACAACAACATGTCAGTTACTTGCCAGGTCTGACAACAACATGTCAGTTACTTAACAAGTCTGACAACAACATGTCAGTTACTTAACAGGTCTGACAACAACATGTCAGTTACTTAACAGGTCTGACAACAACATGTCAGTTACATGCCAGGTCTGACAGCAACATGTCAGTTATTTGCCAGGTCTGACAAAAACATGTCAGTTACTTGCCAGGTCTGACAGCAACATGTCAGTTACTTGCCAGGTCTGACAGCAACATGTCAGTTACTTAACAGGTCTGACAACAACATGTCAGTTACTTAACAGGTCTGACAACAACATGTCAGTTACTTAACAGGTCTGACAGCAACATGTCAGTTACTTACCAGGTCTGACAACAACATGTCAGTTACTTAACAAGTCTGACAGCAACATGTCAGTTACTTAACAGGTCTGACAACAACATGTCAGTTACTTAACAGGTCTGACAACAACATGTCAGTTACTTAACAGGTCTGACAGAAACATGTCAGTTACTTAACAGGTCTGACAACAACATGTCAGTTACTTAACAGGTCTGACAACAACATGTCAGTTACTTACCAGGTCTGACAACAACATGTCAGTTACTTAACAAGTCTGACAGCAACATGTCAGTTACTTAACAGGTCTGACAACAACATGTCAGTTACTTAACAGGTCTGACAACAACATGTCAGTTACTTAACAGGTCTGACAACAACATGTCAGTTACTTAACAAGTCTGACAACAACATGTCAGTTACTTAACAGGTCTGACAACAACATGTCAGTTACTTAACAGGTCTGACAACAACATGTCAGTTACTTAACAAGTCTGACAACAACATGTCAGTTACTTGCCAGGTCTGACAGCAACATGTCAGTTACTTGCCAGGTCTGACAACAACATGTCAGTTACTTGCCAGGTCTGACAACAACATGTCAGTTACTTAACAGGTCTGACAACAACATGTCAGTTACTTAACAGGTCTGACAACAACATGTCAGTTACTTGCCAGGTTTCACACCAACATGTCAGTTATTTGCCAGGTCCCACAGCAACATGTCAGTTACTTAACAAGTCTGACAACAACATGTCAGTTACTTAACAAGTCTGACAACAACATGTCAGTTACTTAACAGGTCTGACAACAACATGTCAGTTACTTAACAGGTCTGACAGCAACATGTCAGTTACTTAACAGGTCTGACAACAACATGTCAGTTACTTGCCAGGTCTGACAACAACATGTCAGTTACTTGCCAGGTCCCACAGCAACATGTCAGTTACTTAACAGGTCTGACAGCAACATGTCAGTTACTTGCCAGGTCTGACAACAACATGTCAGTTACTTGCCAGGTCTGACAACAACATGTCAGTTACTTGCCAGGTCTGACAGCAACATGTCAGTTACTTAACAAATCTGACAGCAACATGTCAGTTGCTTGCCAGGTCTGACACTAACATAACAGTTACTTGCCAGGTCCCACAGCAACATGTCAGTTATTTGCCAGGTCTGACAGCAACATGTCAGTTACTTAACAGGTCTGACAACAACATGTCAGTTACTTAACAGGTCTGACAACAACATGTCAGTTACTTAACAAGTCTGACAACAACATGTCAGTTACTTAACAGGTCTGACAGCAACATGTCAGTTACTTGCCAGGTCTGACAACAACATGTCAGTTACTTGCCAGGTCTGACAACAACATGTCAGTTATTTGCCAGGTCTGACAGCAACATGTCAGTTATTTGCCAGGTCTGACAACAACATGTCAGTTACTTGCCAGGTCTGACAGCAACATGTCAGTTATTTGCCAGGTCTGACAACAAAATGTCAGTTACTTGCCAGGTCTGACAACAACATGTCAGTTACTTACCAGGTCTGACAACAACATGTCAGTTACTTAACAAGTCTGACAACAACATGTCAGTTACTTAACAGGTCTGACAGCAACATGTCAGTTACTTAACAGGTCTGACAACAACATGTCAGTTACTTGCCAGGTCTGACAGCAACATGTCAGTTACTTGCGAGGTCTGACAGCAACATGTCAGTTACTTAACAAGTCTGACAACAACATGTCAGTTACTTACCAGGTCTGACAACAACATGTCAGTTACTTGCCAGGTCTGACAGCAACATGTCAGTTACTTAACAGGTCTGACAACAACATGTCAGTTACTTAACAGGTCTGACAGCAACATGTCAGTTACTTGCCAGGTCTGACAACAACATGTCAGTTACTTGCCAGGTCTGACAACAACATGTCAGTTACTTAACAAGTCTGACAACAACATGTCAGTTACTTAACAGGTCTGACAGCAACATGTCAGTTACTTAACAGGTCTGACAGCAACATGTCAGTTACTTGCCAGGTCTGACAACAACATGTCAGTTACTTGCCAGGTCTGACAACAACATGTCAGTTACTTAACAAGTCTGACAACAACATGTCAGTTACTTGCCAGGTCTGACAGCAACATGTCAGTTACTTAACAGGTCTGACAGCAACATGTCAGTTACTTAACAGGTCTGACAGCAACATGTCAGTTACTTAACAGGTCTGACAACAACATGTCAGTTACTTAACAGGTCTGACAGCAACATGTCAGTTACTTAACAGGTCTGACAACAACATGTCAGTTACTTAACAGGTCTGACAACAACATGTCAGTTACTTGCCAGGTCTGACAACAACATGTCAGTTACTTAACAGGTCTGACAGCAACATGTCAGTTACTTAACAGGTCTGACAGCAACATGTCAGTTACTTGCCAGGTCTGACAACAACATGTCAGTTACTTAACAGGTCTGACAACAACATGTCAGTTACTTAACAGGTCTGACAACAACATGTCAGTTACTTAACAGGTCTGACAGCAACATGTCAGTTACTTACCAGGTCTGACAACAACATGTCAGTTACATGCCAGGTCTGACAGCAACACCTCAGTGAGCTAGCACAATAAAAACTATGCACGTCGATATATAAATGCAATCTTTTTGAAATACGACGTTAAAGCCCGTTTTATCCCACCTATAATAGATTACCAGTCCCTAAATAATGTCCGAATATATAACAAAAAGTATTTATAAATAATCAACAGTGCCATTTGTTCATGTCCCACCCCTATAATAAACGACCAGTCCCTTGCTAGACTCTGAGTTGTAATCAATGGGCTCATTTCGTGTAATGATCATAAAGTACTTACTGATTGGCGTTGGAGTCTTGCCATCAGGCCCTGGGGTAGGGGTAGGAACTTGTCCAGTGATTGTACCGGGTACAGCTGTAGGGATCATGTTAGGTGACAGGGTGCCAGTAATCTGTCCCTGAGTGGGTACAAACTGACAGGAAGGTATTCTACAGCACTGATCCTTAGGGTCAGTTACTAGGGAGCACTCTGGTGGTAGATTGTCGTATGCCGGACATCTATAATACCAAGTATTGACTGTCACTAACATTGCCAGACATAGAAAATAAACATGTATTATTTCATTTTCTCTAATAGAAAGATACCAAATGCTGACAACATCAAAATGGGTCATATTTCTATTTTTTACATCAACTCTTTAGCTTAGTAAACGTTAATTAAGATGAAATACGAGTTACAAAAAGAGTGTTTCAACCACACAGCTCATAGGTTAGGTTGCATACAAAAATGCACAGATGAATGTTTGGGACCACACTCTTCTTGTTCACTTTAAGTGAAGCATGGTTGTTACAGAACTGGCTCGTCAGATTCTACTTGTGAAACCCCTTCTTGTTGTCTTCAACTGAAGGAATATTGTTCAAAGCGGTGTTTAACAAACTAACTATATATATGGGCATTTTTCATCTCAGTTTTAGCTTTGCCCTTCAAAAACATTCTGCATTAAAACGCATTTGTGTTAAAGCAAAAGAAAAGGGGAAAACAAAACTATTTTCATTAGACTCTCTTGGGGGACAAATTTGGAGTTTCAACTTTCTAAAGATTTTAAGATGTTCAAACCTTTGATGAAATAACAGCTTCTTGGATAAAGTAACTTGAACGAATTCAAAAACGAGTTGAAACAAGTGTCACAAAGTTCAGTTTCATCAATCCGGTGGTTTCTGAATGTTTACAGATCCCGATGACTGACACGCTGCCCATAACATAATTTCACATTAACTTTTATTTAGGTGAACCAAACACCAGACGAGTGTATTGACAGTTTTGAGTTGATTCCCAACTTATGTTTACAACGCTTGTTAGATGTTCCACAACAATTCACACTAACAGTCAGGTTGGAAAAGCCATTTAACAGACTTATAATGGGAAGTTCATGTTGTAGTAGATGAAGTGGGCTGACGAAATGTCAATCAGGTTACCATAGATGAGTTTCTGACCTGTCATTGCAGACGTACAGTCCCTTCACGGAGTCTTCACAGCGACATTGCTTGTCACAGCCATCATTCCATGTGGCACCCTGGAAATACTTGGCGCCATTGTACACACAGTAGGCTGCAAACCAGAATCAGCGTCATGTCATGTACCCACATCTCTCAGCATTGATTCCGTATCGTTATTTCGTGAAATGTCACATATGTACTCTATCTTTGGGTTTCCGAATGCCTAGTGTGGGAGTTCCTGTGTAACTGGAGGTTGAGGAATTGGTGAAATGAGTGAGTACCTGGTATGGGAGTACCTGTGTCACTGGAGGTTGAGGAATTGGTGAAATGAGTGAGTACCTGGTATGGGAGTTCCTGTGTAACTGGAGGTTGAGGAATTGGTGAAATGAGTGAGTACCTGGTATGGGAGTTCCTGTGTAACTGGAGGTTAAGTAATTGGTGAAATGAGTGAGTACCTGGTATGGGAGTTCCTGTGTAACTGGAGGTTGAGGAATTGGTGAAATGAGTGAGTACCTGGTATGGGAGTACCTGTGTCACTGGAGGTTGAGGAATTGGTGAAATGAGTGAGTACCTGGTATGGGAGTTCCTCTGTAACTGGAGGTTGAGGAATTGGTGAAATGAGTGAGTACCTGGTATGGGAGTTCCTGTGTAACTGGAGGTTGAGGAATTGGTGAAATGTGTGAGTACCTGGTATGGGAGTTCCTGTGTAACTGGAGGTTGAGGAATTGGTGAAATGAGTGAGTACCTGGTATGGGAGTTCCTCTGTAACTGGTGAAATGTGTGAGTACCTGGTATGGGAGCTCCTGTGTAACTGGAGGTTGAGGAATTGGTGAAATGAGTGAGTACCTGGTATGGGAGTTCCACTGTAACTGGTGAAATGTGTGAGTACCTGGTATGGGAGTTCCTGTGTAACTGGAGGTTGAGGAATTGGTGAAATGAGTGAGTACCTGGTATGGGAGTTCCTCTGTCACTGGTGAAATGAGTGAGTACCTGGTATGGGAGATCCTGTGTAGCCGGGGGAAGGGGTGAAGTACCCTGGGGGTGGAGTGTTGAGGTTACCATGACCTGACAGAGACCCAGAAGTACCCGTGAAGTCACATGACGGCTTTTTGCAGCAGGGGTCGGTGAAATCTGGGATCAGCGTGCACTGGGGTGGCATATCCGGGAAGCGGGGGCATCTGCATTATAAAACCAGCTGTCACTTATTTCCACAATTCAAATATGTAAAAATGAACATTTGCGTTATTTGAACGGAAACATCGAATTAAACCACTGTTTCGAAGATGTTTGCTTGGAATGTCTCAGAAGAACGTCAAACAATCACATTATTAAAACAGAGCGCCTCTTCACTTTAAGAACTATAGATGAGATGCTAAGTGGAAGTTTGCCCATGTACGTTGGAGAATCTGGCTTCCAGAAATGAACTACCTTTTTGGCAGTGTTGACAATTTACAATTCAGCCGCATGTGACTTCTTACATATCAATACAATTGATATGATCATAAATACAAGTGTCCTTGACAAGAATTTGAAAAACCGTATAATTTCTTTGAAAACAAGATTGAATATAGACAAGACAAAGGTGATAAAACGGATCTTTAATTACCACTGCAACAGTCAACTAGCCAGCATGCATTGTCAGCATGACAATGTAAATACACTATACATGTCAATACATGCCAACCTCAAAGTACGAGCCCCACATTTCTCCTCCTATACATGCAGACAAATAGGAGGACACGGTGTTGCATATCTGTGTACCTTCCCCTTTGACCAATGTTTCAGTCATAATGGTAGATTTGAGGATTGGTATTTCAGTCTAACTGTTGTCTTACCTCTCAGTGCACTTGTACAGACCACTGTCTTCGTCCTGGCACTCGCACTTCAGCTGGCAGCCATCTTGCCATTTGTCACCTTGCTGATACCGTGTGCCCTTGTATTCGCAGTAGCCTAACGGGGACACACAATTAAACAGTTATGAGAGATTGAAAACATCAGAGCTGGTCGTATTTTTGGCTTTGAATACAATATATAACTTTGATATACTTAAATATTTTGAAAACCTAAGATTTTATTAAGAGGCAAAATATGCGTTAGGTTTTTGTGTTTAACTGCACACTGACCGACGCCGGATGGCTTGCCGCCTGGATTCTGGTTGTTGAAATTGCCCGGGCTTAGAACAGGTATATTTCCTTGGCCAGACGTCCCACCAGAGGTTGAGCTGAACATACATTTGGGGACCGTGCAGCACATGGGGTCCTGTGGGTCGGGCACCATACTGCAGTCTGCGGGCACATTGTCGTACTGGGGACATCTATAATAGATCAAGTCAAGATCAGCGAGTTGGTATGGTACTACACGGTGTTACCTATGGCAGGTTGTGTAATGTAGCAAATGAACTGTTGTAACAAACTCACCTGTTCACACATCTGTAGTAACCAGCCCTGGCGTTGTCACAGGTACATTTCAAGCTGCATGCATCATACCACATCTGTCCTTGGTTGTACTTTTGGCCTTTGTAGTCACAAAACGCTAGAAAAATGTATACAGGTGCATGAGATGTAGAAATACATTGGACTAATGAGGACATTCACATAACGTGATGAAACGGACATTTGAAACAAAATTTGACGAAATACATGCTATCCAGACATGCCAGGTTGCAGGGGATACAGGGTTTTCCTCGCACTGCAGAGGTACTGACCTGGGGCGGGCGTGGTGATGACTGGGAGCGTCTGTGGGTATTGTGTGGCCGGCTGGGTGACTGGAGGACGCGTTAGGGTGCCGAACAATTCCCCGTATTTGCCGGTGAAATCACAATGAGGTACCTTACAGCAGGGGTTAGCTGTGTCTTGGATCAGCTTGCAATACGGTTGGGGGAGATTCTCATACTTCAAGCACCTATAGGAAAGATAAAGGTCACCCGCTTCACAGAAATGTTGTGAGCACACTTTATACACGCTAGTAGTGGAGACACACATATGTTCCTGTTATACACTTGTCACATGAGCGCTATATACACCTCAAGCAGGTGAAATATAGATTTACTCATATCGTTCAAAGGTATGTGTTGAATATCCAGCAGGGGAAATATTGAACAGTTGATATGCATAGATCTAGCGTAGCAAAACCTACTACATAATGATTCATCGCAATTTATGTTTCTATCTTACCTTTCGTTACACTTCCATTTCCCGGCCGTGGCATCCTGGCACACACAGTTATAATCACAGCCATCCTGCCATGTTTGACTCTGAGCGTACCGCTGCCCCTTGTACATACAGTACCCTGAAAATACACACGTGCGGTACAGTACCCTGAAAATACACACGTGCGGTACAGTACCCTGAAATACACACGTGCGGTACAGTACCCTCGCAATACACACGTGCGGTACAGCACCCTGAAAATACACACGGGTGCTAAGTACCCTGAAATACACACGTGCGGTACAGTACCCTCAAAATACACACGTGCGGTACAGTACCCTGAAAATACACACGTGCGGTACAGTGCCCTGAAAATACACGCGGGCACTAAGTACCCTGAAAATACACATGTTCGGTACAGTACCCTGAAAATACACACGGGCGGTACTGTACCCTCAAAATACACACGGGCGGGACGGTACCCTGAAAATACACATACACATTTGGGATGCAGTACTATGCAAATTCATATCCACAGGTGCGATATCGATGCCGCACACTTAAGATGCAGTTTAATGATGTATGTAATAAAGATTATGTATTACAGAAGGAAGCTAGGTTGAAGTCAGAAGGAGAGTAATGTACCTATTCCTGATCCAGTGGGCACAACCGCAGGGGCGGTGGGCGGGGCCACGGTGCCACCATTAAAGTTGATAGAGTGCTTCACAGTGAAGGTGCCGGAGATAAGGTCGCCAATACTTGGAGGCTGCACGGCTCCGATGTTCTGAACGTTTGGTCCGTACACTGGGATAGGCAGCTGGCCGGTCAGGGGGTTACAGCCTGGAATCTTACAACAGGGGTCGTTCGGGTCAGCCTTCATGATGCAGTTTTGCGGTATGCCTTGATATGAGGGACATCTGCAATAAACAGTGATTTTGAAATCATGACTTTACAATATAGAGCATAAGTATAATAAGTCTGATAACGTGCAGTACAACAGCACAAGACACATAATTTGTGATCTCGATGCACTAGTTTAACAATCGCAATCACTTACTGGAGACTCATATGTAACATCAACAGTTCTCTCCCGTCACACCTACCTGGCTCTGCATTTATAAAGCCCCTTCGTAGCGTCAGTACAGACACAAGTCTGCTGGCAGCCATCCGTCCACTGTTGACCCTGGACGTACAGATTACCGCTGTACAGACATCCGTCTGAAGTGAAATAGTCGTCATTTCAAAATTCCATGTGCAGATGATATTAATGCTAGGAAATACGATAAAATATGTCCTAATACACCCACATAGAGTACAGCATGAAGGCGAAAGGGCTATACGGCTATTTTTTTAAGGATTCAAACAGGTGCATCTGGCAGCTGACATGGCACTGACATTCACTTTGTTTTGATTCTTTGCATTAGATGTAATCTTAGTATTAAGGTTGACCAAAAGTACTGATGCAGTCAATACATTTAGAGTGTGTGTCACCGTAATGGAATCCTGGCGTTATCCAGTCACTTACTGAGTGTAGGAGCTTGCATGCCGGTACCCCCCGATCCCGGGCCGGGTGTGGCTCCACTAGGGAAGGTTGGGGGGACGTTAATCTGGGAACCGCCTAAACCAGTCACTATAATTCCTCCTCCGTTCCCGATGGATTTGAGGTTAGTAGTGGAGGGGACAAAAGAGCCCCTATCACACACAACAGTCTCGCAGCAGTCCCCGGTCTTCTTCTTGGTGTAACAGCCATTGGGGATGTTGATGTAGCTCGGACACCTTTAAGTAGACGCACAGTAACGTTAAGGTCAGTCCCCTCAAACCAGTACCTACTGCAGCTGAACATACTGTCCACGGGTTCTACTGCCATCTCCTACAGTACTTGGATTGGTACTGGTTCTACTTATAGTTCGTTGTACAACTACTGCGTCCTCTTCCTCGACGTTTACTGCTACCTTTGATCGTGAGGTTCGAGTCCCGGTTTGCTCTGATTATGTCCGTAGGTTTGTCAGCACCATAATACGTGTTAAACTTCTAAGACTTGCATCACTCCGTGTTTTCTTCCCACATTAAGCAGACACAGTGATATAACTGGAATACTGTTCAAAGCAGCTTTGAACCCAACTCACTCACTAACTCACTTGTTGTAGTATAGTATTAGTATAATCACTGGTGGTAGATTATTCTCTTCTATTGCTGTAAATAGCATGTAAATTCCTGCCACTACAGCAGAACAAAATATGTGTAACATAAACATACTTATTACTGCATCTGTAGTATCCAAATGTCGCTTGTTCGCACACACAATCCACGTCACACGAGATGCTCCAGGCTTCGTCCTGATGGTAGGGTTTCCCCTGATAGAAACACACATCTGAAATTGAGAAAAACATCCGGGGTCAATCCTGCCAAGTGTTCTGGGTACATTTTAACTGTTACTTTGAATCGTGATTGTCAGAAATGTTACCTACCATTTGGTCCTGGCTTGGAGAGTCCGTTCTCTGAAATACACAGTGAATGGTTATACTTTGGTAAATAGATACATAGAGGAACAATTAACGATTAAACTTCAAGAAGTATGCATTTCAAGAGTGAGTGAGAACACGGGACCACCTTTACATTTAATGGTTGAATAACGTACCGCACAAATTGCATGTCTTCCTACAGTTGTCAATAGCCCACTGTCTGAAAGGATCCTTGCAGGATGAGGCTTCATACATATTGCAGTTTGTTAGGACATCCTCACACGGCAATGGCTCTTTGGGCTTGTTGGCTAAACAAAATTACGTAGATCTTCAGTCTGGTATATGCAGTGATATTTGAAAGTAGAAATGTGTAGATTATAAACGTAAACTTACAACTGCCGGTACCAGAAGTGGTCCCGCTTCCAGTGAAACTGCCGACCTGCTGGTTGAAGTCACACGATGGTGTTTCACAGCACTGGCCTGGAGACTTGACGAGATGGCAGGAAGAAGGCAGGTTGCTGTACGTTGGGCAGCTGCAATATCACTTGGGAGTCAGGTACTGCTTGGGAATCGGCATTGCTCGAAATAAATACTTTACTGTCCACTACTATACTCTACCATATATGAGGGCGCCAACCCCGAATAACATCTAATTGTTTAACATCTGCTAATCGGAGTCTCATTGCTCAGGCCTGAATCTCGAATACCACTTAACACAACTATGAAAAGCATCGAGAAAAGGGTGCGATTTGAGGTTAATATCGAAAAAAATAAGTTATTATAAAGGAAACCTTTACGTACACCATTACTTTGTTTAAAATGTTGAATGTTAGTATCAACTACAATTCTATTGGCGTCCCGCGTACCACACTAGTAACTCACGAATACCCCCTAATACCCGAACCCTGCGTACCAAACGGCGGTTGATAGCCTCATATATCACATAGCAGTTGGTGTGCAGTTGTCAAAGGCATCTCCCAATGTCTATTTGGCCATTGGTGCTTTCCACATGTACCTGGTCACACCTTGTGACGCATGTTCCATACAGTTTCCAAAGAGCACCAATGGTGGCTGCAGAGTGGTAAACAACGTCCTCCACTTACTAAGACTGGCAGCTGTAAACCCCTCGTTGAGCGTTGATACAGCTACACTTGAAGTCACAGCCCACTTCCCAACTCTCGTCTTGATAGTACTGTTTACCATCGTACACGCACACGCCTGTAGAGAGGTCATACATCGGCATAAGGTACAAACATGCAGTTATGCAGGACACCTATTAGTGAGCAAACATTAATTTTACATTTCTTTTCCAAGTTCTCATGATAAAATTAACGAATCGCAAACTGAAGTCCTGAAAGGCTACAGCTCAATGGCTAATATCTTCATTGTTCAAACTGTTTTTCAACACTATCGATCTAAATCACATGGTAGGTTCGATGCATTTTTCAGAATTTTGCTATTTTGGTGATAGATCTAAATTATGGTTTCTAGTATAGAAGCATTTAGTCTATATATGTTTGACTGAAGGGACGTATTACGGCTGATGTTTTACATGTCCACTAGGTTTTAGGCAAGGTTGTGTAATGAGTCCCTTACTATTCCCAAAGTTTGCATTTAAAATAGAATCATCTTGTGTTCCATGCGTACAGCTACACCCTAACAAAATACAGGTATTTCTGTTGCTATGTCAGATGATATTGTCCTTTTAGCTGTTTGTGTCTATGGGCTGCAAACATGTATTGGTGTCTTAAAATCCTTTTGTGATAACTACCATGTGCCAATTATTTGCGTGTAATCAATTCATGCGTGAAGCAGTCATCCTCAAATGATGTTGTTAGAGAAGAATGAGACTATGTACATATGTGTGTGTTATGACGTACTGGTGTAATATATGACAGGATCACGTCTTGTAAAGGAATGGTATACTGTGGTAGTGGTGAGGCTGACCGCGCAGACAGGACAGCAACAGTTAAACAGTCTATTGTCTACTGGTTTTTGGTATGAACGTGAACAAACATTTGTTAGCAACATTTATACTTCGTCTAACATCTTCTTAAGAATAAGAATGTCACGCAACCCTAGCATCAAGTTCGAAATCAACCATTTATAGTGCATTCAAATAGAATTATATTTAACAGTAATAACTTTCTTTAATATGTAAGAGTGAAATTTCCCTGTTCATTGTTATTCCCACCAGATTCGAAAAAAGAGTCGTCCGCCTCTGTGGTCTAGTGACAAGAGCGTCTACTCGGAAAGCGCCAAGTCGGTGGTTCGATTCCCATATTGTGATGGCTTCAACTGGTCTATCTTCTGTTCGCAACTTAGCTATCTTTACCTATGTAGCAAAGCGGTTGCGACTTGTGTAAATAACGTATGCATTGTATCTTGTACATTAACATTCCCACACACTGTAATGTAGAATGGGCATATGATCTACACTGAAAAGGATTATTCTCGAATTTGTCTGAAGTGATAATGGTAGAACTGTATCCAGACTATAACCGATTGCCACTCACTGATTCCTGTTGGTGTTTTGCCCATCCCTGATCCGGTGTTGGTTGTCACCTTCTGCTGGAAGTTGCATACGGGCTTGAGGCAGCACTGTCCCGGGGTGACCACAAGCGTGCACTGGCCCGGCAGGTCGTTATATATAGGACACCTACACGAAGGTAGTACACATTTACTTAGATCTTCTGAACAGATTAGACAATATGCTGATCATTTTATTCTCTTGGAAACCTATCTTTAGTTATCAAAATGTTTAGAATGTTAATGTGACAATGCTTAAATATTGTCTAAACGTCATATTCGGGCAGCCAATGACCCTCCAGCCCTATACCTCGGTGTTACCGTCGCCGGTGTGAGACGCTACTTTTTAACGCGCAGTGCAGTGAGAGGTCCTCTGCAGAAGCGATGGGCATGTTTACCTTGTTTACTAATATTGCTTGTGACCACACTCCATGTCTCTACTCTCACTCACAGCATCAGTGATGAGTCTAATACGTACTTATTATAGCAGCGGTATTTCCCGGTATTGCCGTTCTCACACACACATTCGTAGTCACAACCGTCGTCCCATCGATCTCCCTGCTTGTACGCCTTTCCCTTGTAGAAACACTGCCCAACTGGCGCAATATCATGGTGTTAGAACATGTTCAGTCAAGTGATAACAGTTGATATCTACAGATATATTCTCGCGCCATGATGCACTCTTACTATTTCGAAACACGGAACATTATTTTAAAAAGTAATGATTTATAACGATAACGGATAATACATCTCACCCTCAACATTTCATACAGCATATTTCCAAAATTCGAAAAATTTATTATACGATCGACTTTTTTTTTATCTCTTGCTATCGACGCGTGTTGGTATATATAATATCATGAGACATCATAGTGAGATTGAAAAGGGTAGACAAAGGTAACGTAGTCATTGTGAATGTTTGTTTGTTTGTTGTATAACGACGCACTCAACAACCTTGAAGGCGGTCTGTAAATAATGGAGTCTATATTAGACAATCTAGTGATTCACATCATGAGCATCGATCTACGCAATTGGGATACGATGACATGAACCAAGAGAGCAAGTTTGACCACCCGATCCCGTCAGTCGGCTCTTAACGACAAGCATAGTCGCCTTTTACGGCAAGCATGGGTTGCTGAAGACCTGATCTGATCCGGATTTTCACGGGTTTAATTGTGAATGATAACTAAACATCACCTGTCGGAAGAACGACAGGAGCACTACAACAGGCTGTAAAACGCAACCCAAACGTTTCTAAACGTGCACGTGCCAGGAACTTCTAATATTGGTTCATTAGAAAAAGGCCAGGGAGATGGAGCTACTCACAGAATCCTGCTGAGATGTCGCCTACAACAAAAACACCCATTGTTTAGTCAGTGTCAGACCAAATCACAGTAAACTGAACAAATTAACCTGTCTGTATGTATATGGTGCCATGTCCGCTATATATATCTGTATGTTGACGGTGTCATGTGCGCTATATGTATCTGTATGTAGACGGTGTCATGTCCGCTATATGTGTCTGTATGTTGATGGTAGCATGTCCGCTATATGTATCTGTATGTAGACGGTGTCATGTCCGCTATATGTGTCTGTTTGTTGATGGTAGCATGTCCGCTATATGTATCTGTATGTAGACGGTGTCATGTCCGCTATATGTGTCTGTTTGTTGATGGTGGCATGTCCGCTATATGTATCTGTATGTAGACGGTGGCATGTCCGCTATATGTATCTGTATGTAGACGGTGGCATGTCCGCTATATGTGTCTGTATGTAGACGGTGTCATGTCCGCTATATGTATCTGTATGTAGATGCGGGGTTCTGAACTCATGTAGTGACTGTCTACTACTAGTGAGGATGAGGAAGTTGAACCTACCACAGAATCCGCAATACTGACGACAGTTGGTGTGTGCCCAGGACCCGAAAGACTGACACGTGTCGGCCGCGTACATCTTGCAGTTGTCCAGCTTGTCTTTACACTCCTCAGTGACGGTGAACTGGGCTGTGGGCAGAGGGACGAGGGGCGTATGCATGGGCAGGCAAAACAGTCATGTACAACGATGAAGCTTAGGAAATCACTCCATTGGGACCACTATTTTTTAAACAACGGATTAACATTTTAATTGTAATATTCAATGATTGCCTTTTACGCGTACATGCTTACATTATAACGATCAGATAAAATAAGCACAAGAATTAAACACTTCAGCTGTGTATAAGTGTGCTGTTCTAAAGACGTACGTGTACATATCTGGCAGTATCTAGCACAGTTCTCCGTGGCCCATGGCTTGTAATCGACGCACGCACTCTTCTCATACTCGTGGCAGTTGGTTAGCTTGTCCTGACAGGTGTCTGGAGGATGTGTTACCCCTGGCAACACAGATAGCGCCAGTTGGACACCCCGTGCGTCATTTACACGAATATAGTAGGGGGAAGAAAGTATCCATTGTACACTTCAGAAATATCTGGATACATGCCTTTGTCAACTTGGACGATATTGATCTTTCTTAATGCGTATATTTAACATGCAATCTAGGGTAATAGAAGATTGGATTTTGTTATGCTCGACACAAGCCCGTGGACACAGGGCCTCTTTCCTTCCCTTGTGAGTAAGGAATTAGTTGACAAACATTTCTTCATTTCTGTTTTTAATAAACTTAACAGAATACAAATTGGAATCACATGTAGTAGAATGTGTAAGTAACTTGCATACATAATTGACCATAAACCATCCGAATGTCATACTGGGATGCGAACCACGATCCTTCTTACTGAAGTCGGATGCCTTATGGCCAAACTGAGAACCTGACGTGGTAAGGATGTCACGTGTGGGATGACCCCAAGCCCTGCTCCACATAGATAAAGCCCAACAGCTTTAAGATATGCTGTTTCTTGCTGTAGTGTCTATTGCATAAGATATACATTGTGGCAGATAACATAACACGTAAATCTAATGGCTTTGTTTGTTTTCTTTCTAACGTCCTTAATGCAGAAGAATGCATTTGAGCGGGAAATTCTAACAGTATTGTTACCCACCCTGTCCTCCAGTGTGCCCGGGAACCATCCGATTAACTGAAAGAAAGATGCACTTTAAATCACACAGCTGATCAGTTAATGGTTGTTAACTCATTGTAGGTTATATGCTTCCATGGGATGCCAATGTATTACAATAAGGAAAAAAACGTGTGTTCGTTCGTCTTCTCCACGTCGGAGCCACAAATGAGCGTTTGCTACAGATGTATACTAAGTTATTATCACTTCTTCTTGGCGAAGTTGAATGTCCTAAAGAATACGTTTTTCCATAAAGAGAATAATGTGTACATGCTGAATTATCACAAGACAATGATTCATGCTTACTGTTACATGCAGCATTAAGAATCTGCGGTATGGAATTTTGCAGCTGGTCGTAATCACTGATGGTGAAGGTGTTGGACGTATGTGGGTTGTCAGCAATGTTGTTCAATTCATTCAAATCGAGCCCTGAGCCAACTCCGACACCAATTAGTCCGATGTTGCTAGATCGGGCCTTGTCAGCTTCAGTGGTGGTGGCCGTAGGGTTAGAAGAATGACCGTTGGTTACAACTATGCCGATTCTAGGAACATCCGTCCTAGCTCCAGAAGTCTGTGAGAAGGCTTGTTCCCTCATGTACTTGAGGGCATCAGCAGTGTTTGTTCCACCGCCCATATAGCGCAGAGAGTCCACGGCTTTTAAAAGGTCGTTCCTGTCAGTGTACATGCTGAGGGGGAAGCCAGCAGAGGGGTAACTGCTGTACTGTATCAGGCCAACCTGCACCTTGTCCTTGCCGACGGGTAGTCTGATCAGGAAGTTCTTCAGGAAGTTCTCCAGCTGTTGATGTTGGGCAATGCCAACGTTGGAGGAGGAATCAATCATAAAAACCAGATCCGCCTTCTGCAGACAGCCTGTTGGTTGGACACGAAGAAGCTATACGTTGGTTTACGCAAGGCAGATGCTTTGTATTTTTTGTGAACATAATAGCTAAGATATTTCTTTTCATATAACTTCGTGATTTGTCAAACATTACTTGAAAATAGCCATACGCACCGTTAGGCTGAGGGAGCATGGTGTTGGAACCTGGAACCTCTGAAACATGAACACAAACAACCGGTCTTTATTACGTTTCCAAGTATTTATTCACTCATCAATCCAAAAATATATTTTAAATTATATTCCATGTTTATTAAAATTCAAGGGAGCCAAGTGTAAGACGAATTGACAAAAGGTTTAGCGTGTATTCTCTACCGTTTTCGATCCTAGTCGCCAGTGGATTGACAAGGGTGTCAAGTGACTGGTAGGTGTCCGCATGGAGCACGTATCTAGAGGCTGGGCTTGTTGCGATATTTTGAACCTCATTGGTTTCAATACCACTTCCAACAGCAACGTTGTAGATGGCTACACCGTGATCCCGGGCTGCCTGGGCCTCCTACAATGTCAATCACAGGATAATCAGGGCCATAATGAAAACAGCTAACCAGACGGGTGAAGGATCCTGGTGTTATACATTTGGGTCCGTAAGATTAGTAACTACACTGACATGGCCCATCTGACTGAAAATATGGCTGTACCTGCAGGGTGAAGGCTTTGTTACTGGAGACGCCATTGCCGATGTGTACTATGACATGTGGCACATGATCACGTGAACCATGTTGGCTGGTGAAGGCATCTCCATAGGCGAATCTGAAAGCATTTCCCAGATCTGCAGCACCACTCTGATACTGGATGTTCCCTATGGCGTTGACCAGCTGCGCGCTTGTCTGGTAGTTGTTAAAGTAGAACTGGTTTCTGGCGCCATTACCATAGGTGACCACGCCCACCTGTATACGTTGCGGGCCTATCTCCCAGTGACGGACCAGGTTCTGTACGTATTGGATCATATACCGGAAGTTGTCTGCCCCCACACTGTCCGAGGAATCAAGGACAAACTCCACATCGACAGGAGTATTCCACACTGAGGAAGCCAGAAATGCAGTTTACACAGTAGACAATGAGCATTTAGTATAAGTATTAGTTTACTATGTTCCACCTACATAAGAAATACACAAGAACATAATGTGGAAAAGTAAACTATGGGAGCTGAGTCACAGGCCGTATGCACGGGTATTTTGGACAGAAATTATCCTTTCACTGTGTAAATATTTGTGTTTTTCAACGCATTGCTTTAATATTTCTTTAGGGGCGGACATGTGCTAATTTCTCGTTTTGGTCATTCATAGCTACTGTATGTCAGTGAGTGATATTACACATGAGACATACAATCCATAGCAGTCATACAGGTTCAACCATCTGTTGAGTTGAGTGTCATGATTTGAGGCTTCAAGTCCACGTATACGACAGGGACTCGCATTATGTGGGCACTAGCATATATACCTTCATTTACATTGAGAATACTACAAATCTCATAATTATGTTAAATACGTGTATGCCTGACACAGCTTTCGCCTTGCAGATGCACGAGTACTTACCATAGTTATTGTTGATGCCGCTGTTGTAGTACGCCTGTCGCTCGACTGAAATATGCAGATAAAACAATGTATAGTGTACGTCTTCATATATTTCTATTGCAACACGTCTCCCAAACAGTTTACAGATGTACCTGATAGTGTCCCGAAGACGTTGTTGTAAAGGTGACGAATCTTCTTCAACATTTAATGAAGAATCCTTGTTACCGTATGTCAGTAGATAGAGGTGAAGACATGTGTTCAGAGCTGTACTGTGTACTCGGTGAGCGACAATAAATACAACAATGTTACAACACAACAACAAACTATAGTCTAATCTTTCCTTTAAATACAAGATACCATTCTCACAAGCATCAAGTCTACTACGGCATCGTCATATAAAGGAATCTTCACAGTCAATTAATTGCAATGTCAGTACCATGTGAGCAGTAGCAAAAAATAATAATTCTTAAAGTGTCTCACCTCGGGAACGTTTCTTTCTGATTGTTGTAGCTTGTATAGCGGACAGCACCGCTAGGATGAAGCACAGCCGATTCCACATGGCTGTTTAACGCAGCTACATCACCGAGGAACAGTTGTCAAAGACTTATATACACACGGTCATGTGATGTGTCTGTCCAATCCTTAGGTAAGCTCATATCATAACATGTGACATAACCTGACCTGCACTACCAAAAACCTGTTGTATTCCACGCCCCCACAACCTACTAAAATGTCTAAAACTTTTGTTTTGGCCGACTTAATTATCTATCGGCCACTTGTGATAAGATATATATGCGTGTGTGTGTGTGTGTGTGTGTGTGTGTGTGTGTGTGTGTGTGTGTGTGTGTGTGTGTGTGTGTGTGTGTGTTTTCAAACATATATGTTAGGTCACAGCGGCGATTTCCGAGACAGTGTACACATATTTATATGGTCATAAACCTAATTATCCTCACCAACACTTTCATTTCATTGTTACGAAGCGAATTACCTTCGTTATCACATATTCACATAAATAAGAGCCTGATGTCAAGTGAAACCTTTTCCAAAAATGCTCTGTCTGCAATCAACGACCTACTAGAGGCACCATATGAACCTTACTTGGGTCTCATTGCATGTGTACGTGCTCTTTCTTTCCAGGTAATTATGTCCGACTGTATGAGCTTGACTCGACTCTCACTGTAGAGTCACTCACATGTCGTTCCAGACAATCGTGTCTGACTATACAAAGTTTAGGTCACTCTCACTGTAGGTGTACATTAAATGTCATTCCAGACAATTGTGTCTGACTATACAAAGTTTACGTCACTCTCAGTGTAGGTGTACATTAAATGTCATTCCAGACGATTGTGTCTGACAATACAAAGTTTTCGTCACTCTCAGTGTAGGTGTACATTAAATGTCATTCCGGACAATCGTGTCTGACAATACAAAGTTTTCGTCACTCTCAGTGTAGGTGTACATTAAATGTCATTCCAGACGATTGTGTCTGACAATACAAAGTTTACGTCACTCTCAGTGTAGGTGTACATTAAATGTCATTCCAGACAATCGTGTCTGAAAATACAAAGTTTACGTCACTCTCAGTGTAGGTGTACATTAAATGTCATTCCAGACAATCGTGTCTGACAATACAAAGTTTACGTCACTCTCAGTGTAGGTGTACATTAAATGTCATTCCGGACAATCGTGTCTGACAATACAAAGTTTACGTCACTCTCAGTGTAGGTGTACATTATATGTCATTCCGGACAATCGTGTCTGACTATACAAAGTTTTCGTCACTCTCAGTGTAGGTGTACATTAAATGTCATTCCGGACAATCGTGTCTGACAATACAAAGTTTTCGTCACTCTCACTGTAGGTGTACATTAAATGTCATTCCAGACAATCGTGTCTGACAATACAAAGTTTACGTCACTGTCAGTGTAGGTGTACATTAAATGTCCTTCCGGACAATCGTGTCTGACAATACAAAGTTTTCGTCACTCTCAGTGTAGGTGAACATTAAATGTCATTCCGGACAAACGTGTCTGACAATACAAAGTTTACGTCACTCTCATTACAGGTGTACGTCAACATCATTTCTTTCTTGGAAATCGTAACTGATTTTATGAGCATTACTTGACTGTCGTTGAAATGCACTGGCCTTTTATTGCAGGTGTACATGAACACTTCTTTCTATGAAATCATCTCTGACCATATGAAATGCACTGGTCTTTTATTGCAGGTGTACATGAATACTTCTTTCTATGAAATCATCTCTGACAGTATGAAATGCACTGGTCTTTTATTGCAGGTGTACATGAATACTTCTTTCTATGAAATCATCTCTGACAGTATGAAATGCACTGGTCTTTTATTGCAGGTGTACATGAATACTTCTTTCTGTGAAATCATCTCTGACAGTATGAAATGCACGGGTCTTTTATTGCAGGTGTACATGAACACTTCTTTCTATGAAATCATCTCTGACCATATGAAATGCACTGGCCTTTTATTGCAGGTGTACATGAATACTTCTTTCTATGAAATCATCTCTGACCATATGAAATGCACGGGTCTTTTATAGCAGGTGTACATGAATACTTCTTTCTATGAAATCATCTCTGACAGTATGAAATGCACTGGCCTTTTATTGCAGGTGTACATGAACACTTCTTTCTATGAAATCATCTCTGACAGTATGAAATGCACTGCTCTTTTATTGCAGTACTTGATTCTCATTGAAGGTACAGATCAACCTTTCTTTCTGAACAATCGTGTCTGACTATGTGAGCATTACTTAATTCACATAGCAGGTACAGATCAACCTTTCTTTCAAGACAATCGTGTCTGACTATGTGGTCAGTACTTGATTCTCATTGAAGGTACAGATCAACCTTTCTTTCTGAACAATCGTGTCTGACTATGTGGGCAGTACTTGATTCTCATTGAAGGTACAGATCAACCTTTCTTTCAAGACAACCGTGTCTGACTATGTGGGCAGTACTAGATATTCATTGCAGGTACACATCAACCTTTCTTTCTGAACAATCGTGTCTGACTATGTGAGCATTACTTGATTCTCATAGCAGGTACAGATCAACCTTTCTTTCTGAACAATCGTGTCTGACTATGTGGGCAGTACTTGATTCACATAGCAGGTACAGATCAACCTTTCTTTCTGAACAATCGTGTCTGACTATGTTGGCAGTACTTGATTCACATAGCAGGTACAGATCAACCTTTCTTTGAAGACAATCGTGTCTGACTATGTGGGCAGTACTTGATTCTCATTGAAGGTACATATCAACCTTTCATTCTGAACAATCGTGTCTGACTATGTGGGCAGTACTTGATTCTCATAGCAGGTACAGATCAACCTTTCTTTCAAGACAAGCGTATCTGACTTTGTTATCATTACTTGATTCACATAGCAGGTACAGATCAACCTTTCTTTGAAGACAATCGTGTCTGACTATGTGGGCAGTACTAGATTCTCATAGCAGGTACAGATCAACCTTTCTTTCAAGACAATCGTGTCTGACTATGTGAGCATTACTTGATTAACATATCAGGTACAGATCAACCTTTCTTTCAAGACAAGCGTGTCTGACTATGTGAGCATTACTTGATTAACATAGCAGGTACAGATCAACCTTTCTTTCAAGACAATCGTGTCTGACTATGTGGGCAGTACTTGATTCTCATAGCAGGTACAGATCAACCTTTCTTTCTGAACAATCGTATCTGACTATGTGAGCATTACTTGATTAACATAGCAGGTACAGGTCAACCTTTCTTTCAAGACAATCGTGTCTGACTATGTGGGCAGTACTTGATTCTCATTGAAGGTACAGATCAACCTTTCTTTCTGAACAATCGTGTCTGACTATGTGGGCAGTACTTGATTCTTATTGAAGGTACAGATCAACCTTTCTTTCTGAACAATCGTGTCTGACTATGTGGGCAGTACTTGATTCTTATTGAAGGTACAGATCAACCTTTCTTTCAAGACAATCGTGTCTGACTATGTGAGCATTACTTGATTCTCATAGCAGGTGCAGATCAACCTTTCTTTCAAGACAATCGTGTCTGACTATGTGGGCAGTACTAGATTCTAATTGAAAGTACAATCAACCTTTCTTTCAAGACAATCGTGTCTGACTATGTGGGCAGTACTTGATTCTCATTGAAGGTACAGATCAAACCTTCTTTCTGAACAATCGTGTCTGACTATGTGGGCAGTACTTGATTCTCATTGAAGGTACAGATCAACCTTTCTTTCAAGACAATCGTGTCTGACTATGTGGGCAGTACTAGATTCTCATTGCAGGTACAGATCAACCATTCTTTCAAGACAATCGTGTCTGACTATGTGAGCATTACTTGATTCACATAGCAGGTACAGATCAACCTTTCTTTCAAGACAATCGTGTCTGACTATGTGGGCAGTACTTGATTCTCATAGCAGGTACAGATCAACCTTTCACTAAGATAATCGTGTCTGACTATGTGAGCCTTAGTTGATTCACATTGCAGGTACAGATAAACTTTTCTTTCAAGACAATCGTGTCTGACTATGTGGGCAGTACTTGATTCTCATTGAAGGTACAGATCAACCCTTCTTTCTGAACAATCGTGTCTGACTATGTGGGCAGTACTTGATTCACATAGCAGGTAAAGATCAACCTTTCTTTCAAGACAATCGTGTCTGACTATGTGGGCAGTACTTGATTCTCATAGCAGGTACAGATCAACCTTTCTTTCTGAACAATCGTGTCTGACTATGTGGGCAGTACTTGATTCTTATTGAAGGAACAGATCAACCTTTCTTTCAAGACAATCGTGTCTGACTATTTGGGCAGTACTTGATTCTCATTGAAGGTACAGATCAACCATTCTTTCAAGACAATCGTGTCTGACTAAGTGAGCATTACTTGATTCACATAGCAGGTACAGATCAACTTTTCTTTCAAGACAATCGTGTCTGACTATGTTGGCAGTACTTGATTCTCATAGCAGGTACAGATCAACCTTTCTTTCAAGACATTTGTGTCTGACTATGTGGGCAGTACTAGTTTCTCATAGCAGGTACAGATCAACCATTCTTTCAAGACAATCGTGTCTGACTAAGTGAGCATTACTTGATTCACATAGCAGGTACAGATCAACTTTTCTTTCAAGACAATCGTGTCTGACTATGTGGGCAGTACTTGATTATTATTGAAGGTACAGATCAACCTTTCTTTCTGAACAATCGTGTCTGACTATGTGTGCAGTACTTGATTCTCATAGCAGGTACAAATCAACCTTTCTTTCAAGACAATCGTGTCTGACTAAGTGAGCATCACTTGATTCACATAGCAGGTACAGATCAACTTTTCTTTCAAGACAATCGTGTCTGACTATGTGGGCAGTACTTGATTCTTATTGAAGGTACAGATCAACCTTTCTTTCTGAACAATCGTGTCTGACTATGTGAGCATTACTTAATTCACATAGCAGGTACAGATCAACCTTTCTTTCAAGGCAATCGTGTCTGACTATGTGAGCATTACTTGATTCTCATAGCAGGTACAGATCAACCTTTCTTTAAAGGCAATCGTGT